AATATCATTAAAGCAATTAGAAAATCTCAGAGTCATTCCCATCATCATTTTGCGGAAGTACAATTAAAAGTTCAAAGAGTACGGGAGTGGTAAGATACCAGCAATCGACTGGTGAAATCGCCGATGGTGGCTATTATCAAAGGATACTGACTGCAAGTGCTAAGAAGATGGGGAAAGGGAATCTTATGGATACTAAACAGAGAGTTATAAACTTTTACATCGTATATATTAGGACAAATATCAAGTTATTTAATCATCAAATGGCAAATTTTATTAATATGGTCAACACCACATGCATTAAAGGTGAGGGTATGACTAGGGTTCATTTTATCTGGTACGGTTATCGGTGTGGGTGATGACGAAGTCGTTTATTTTCCTCCAACAATTTAACTCGTCGTATAATTCTTTTTTTACGATCTTACTGTTCTTAACAAAAACCTTTGGGTCTGCGTTAATTCGGTAAGAGTAGTAAAGAATTATGTTTCCACTATCAAGAATAACGTATTACCCATATATTGAAGAATTCAATGGTGATGAAATTAAAGAAATCAATAAAATTGCAGATTGGTTGCTATCAGCACCTAACAATCAAAGTCCAAATGGTTTTAAAGTCTTCAAATTAATGAGCTCTAAAAGAGCAAATTATCCTATGGATCAAGGAGGTTGGAATCTTTGGAATATCAAAAACAGACAAAAAGCACAAAGATTATGGATGATAAATCAAATAATCAATAGAATTGAAACTAATAAAATAGAATCAGAATATCAACACAGTTGGAAACATCAAATATCAACCAAAAAGATAACTTCAGATTACTTACTTAAAAACTGCAATGATTGGATACAAATAAAAGTAAAAAAAGGACTACTAGAAGGTTTGAAATCCATTAAAAATAAAGATGGCAAACCTCTTTCTTTAGCAGAATGGTATTCGGAAATAAACAATCTCAACAGTTTTACACCAAAAACAGAATTCCAACAATGTCTTCAACTTACAGGTTATAGCTATATCAACCTATTCAATAATATACTTAATATTAAAGATCCAAAATCAAGAAAAACCCTATTCAAATTCCAAGCAAGATGCTTGCCCATCAACTTCATTCACAAAAAACCATGTAGACTATGTAATGAAAATCTTCATAACGATCCATATGGTCATCTATTTTTCAAATGTAAAAAAACTCTGAAATTCATCAACTTCAATAAACTAAAATCATTTATATTCACTACTTCGGGGAGAGTCCTCAATTGGTCACTTGATATAACAAGATTAAGAAGGAATATATCAATAAAAAATATAACATATAAAATCCCAGAAGGTCGCAAATCAGATGGAGAAATAAATATGGATTACAACAACACCAGATTTCACAAATCACACTTCCAATGGAACAATAAAGCAATAGATTTCGACTTAACTAGATGCTTCGCTTATAGAAATGCCATAGCCCTAATATTTCATCAAGTTTGGATTTGGTTATGTAAAGAATTATACGACGATCAAGAAAATACAATAAAAGAACTCCACTATAAGAATCTACCCTCAAATTGGACTAAGCTAGCTACTTTAGAATACATAAAAGGTTTAAAAAACATCAAGGAAAAACACGCTAAACAACCACAAGCAATTAGCAACATCAATGAAGAATAGCAAGAGCATACTTCATCAGCATCAAATCATTACCAAATACCAATAGTTTAGAATATTTTCTTTAAAAACTTTATAAAAAACATTAAATAAAATTTTACTGATTAATTTAAAGCATTTGCTTTTAATTATCTTCACTTTTTAAAAAAAATAAAAAAATAAAGTATAAATAAATAATAAATAAACAATAAAAATAAAGATAATAAAATTATTTGATTTTTAAGTTTATGCGAAAATTAAATAAAACGAAAAATTTCGAAAAATTTTTATTTTATTTTTTTATTTTTTATTTTTTTTATTTTTTTAAATTTAATTATTAATTATTATAATTGATTGATTAAATGACTATTTAAGTTATAATTAATTGAGTTTTGATGATAATAAATTACAATGTAATGTATTCATATGCATTTTAGAATTAAATGAATATTACAGTTATAATTATATCTCAACTAAATAATATTTATTTTTTCCTTTATTTTAAATAATTTCTCTTACTTTAGCAGAATGTTATTCGGATATCAATAGTGTAGAATATTTTCTTTAAAAACTTTATAAAAAAAAAAACATAAAATAAATTTTACTGATTAATTTAAACATTTGATTTTAATTATCTTCACTTTTAAAAAAAAAAAAAAAAAAAAAAAAAAGAATGGTATTCTGAAATAAATAATCTTAACAATTTTACACTAAAAACAGAGTTCCGACAATGTATTCAGCTTACAGGTTATATCTAAATCAACTTATTCAATACTTAATAAAGATCCAAAATCAAGAAACACCCTATTTAAATTCCAAGCAAGATGCTTACCCATCAAATTCACAACAAACCATGTAGACCATGTAGAAAATCTTCATAACGATCCTAATGGTCACCTCTTTTTCAAATGTAAAAAAACTCTGAAATTCATCAACTTTAATTATTGCTCAGGATCGAGTTTTAAAACTAGGAGTGATCCTATATTTTCTAATCAAAATCCGGATCCTTTTTCCTAAAATTCGATCCTAAAAAAATCCTTCAATAAAATCGTGTATTTTTAATTATAATAAATAAAAACCTTTAATACATTACTTTAATTGTAATTTTATTAAATAATATTTAAAATTTTTTATTTTTTTTTTTTATTTTTTTTTTATAAAAAAGATGATTTTTAGGTGTTTATAATAAAAAAATAATCACAAACTTGGTTCAATGAATTTTTTATTTCTTCTCAAAATTAAATTTGACCATTTTCTTTGATACACTAAAAAAATAAATTTTTGAAATATTTTTTTTAAAAAATAATATTTTTGATACTTATTCTAAAATCAAATATTAATACTTGTATTACTTATAGGTAAATAAAAATATTATTTTTCCACCTCCCAAAATTTTCAAAAAAATAAATCGTGCCTCTAAAAAAATTAAAAATAATAATAACAACAAAAATAAAAATAACAACATAAAAATAAATTACAAATTTCAATAATAGTAGCAGACCAAAAATATAAAAAAAACTATGGAAGTATGTATGCCAAATCTACATTACACCTCAATTTACTGAAATTAACTTAAAAGAATTAATTTCAGAATCAGATTCAAAATATTACGTGTCAGACAAAAGACAAAATAAAATGGGTTTTCAAATAGGCTCTTATTTACACTGGAGATACTGAAATAAAGGTGCAGTTATTTATTCCATTTTATTTAATACATGTCGCTCATAGCAACTGACACCTGCTTTGCTCATGTTAGAATGAAGGTCTTAACAGACAAAATTGAAATAATTAAATAATCAAAATGGAGGAATAGTTCTTGGCTCAAGAAAAATACAAATAAGAGCAAATAGAAATGAATATGATCTATTTAACTGGGAGCATGAACTTCTGAAACAAACCGAATAAGAAATGAGTGAAATAGGAATAGAGGTCCTAGCATACACACAACCTCAAACGGAAAATTTGAACTTAAAATCGCCGAAAAACAAAAATACAAAAAGTACCAAACCTAAACAACCAATAACTCAGGACAGTACATCACATCAAGCTAATCAAGCTAACCAAATATAGACAATCTATAATAGATGACTTCTTCAAAGTAGTGTTTTTGAATATAAAACATTTTAAATAGGGCAATGTAATGAATCAGTAGTCTATATCTTTAATGTGATTATATTTTGTTGCGTCTCCAAAAGTGTTTATTTTAGAGTTTATTATTTTTTCGTTAAGTAGTTTAATTGTGTAACTTCGTCATAATCGTATACCTTTTCATTACAGCATGTAGTATATGACCACCATAAGGTTTGAACATATAAAGTAGTTCAAATTAATAGTATAATGATAACCTTTTGATTGATTTTGGCGGTTGTTGCTTGGCAGAAAAGATTTATAATATTGTCTATTTTCAATGAATCTTGATAGTTTTTAGCTATTTTGCTTGTGTCATCTGCGAATTGACGTATCTTTTGGCCAAATATTCCTTCTATTTCTTAATTTTTTTTATTGCTGTTGCCATACTAGAGCAAATAGTGTTGGTGATATTGGGTCCCCTTTTTTGGTACCTCTTTTTGATGTGAATGGGTCTGAAAAAGCACCATTGATTACAACTCTGATTTCTGAATCTGTGAGCATGTCTTTTATTTTGATGAATTTGATTGGCAATTTGAGATGTTCGACGGCGGGGGGACATTTATTCAACAATAATGTAGTATAACTGCCCCCCCGTCCGACCATATATATACTGTTATGATATCGCTATATTAACGCTATGACCCTAGGCTAATTAAGAGTCACTAACTGCTGTTTACTAACTACTGCTTAGTAACTACCAATTCCAGTGTTTCCAAATAACTTAAGAATTAGCTTCTAGAACCAATCTCATTCAGTATAAATACCTTAAGTTCTCAGTCTAAAACTTCAGAGGTTTTTTTATTCTATATTATTAAATAAACTACAATTTCATTACACATATAATATTTGTTATTTGTTGTTTATTTGTTATACTTATTTTACATATATATACTTAATCATTTGTAAGCTGTATAGAGCTTCATTACATTTTGGCGACAGCTCATCAGAATCTGTTTTGTCTCGTTTTGCGTTTGTTTTAAATTTTTTTGGGGGAAGAGAATTAGGTTATTTATCTCTTTTATTGTTTAGTTAATTATTGTAATCTTTTGTGTGATAAAGATATTTTGTTCAAGTTTTTAATTCAGGTAATTTTATGTGTTAACCCCAGTTTTGTTTTAAGTATAGTAATAATTGTAGTAGTTTATTTGTTTTTAATTGTTTGTTAAAGTGTGTTAACCTCTCCACATAATATTCGGAAGATTTTAAATTTTTAAAAAAATTAATTAAAATTTTAAAAAAAAAAAAAAAAAAAAAAAAATTTTATTTTTAATTAATTTGTCGGTTCATAAATAAGAAGATATAAAAAAAAAAAAAAAAAAAAATAAAAATAAATTTCAAAAATGTTTCCATTTAATAACCAAGGTGATATAAATAGTAATTCAGAAAGTAATAGTTCAAATTTAGAAAGAAATGACGTTTTTAATAATAGTTTAAATAATAATAATTTTGAAAATGAAAATAGTAATTTAGTAAATAATAATAATAAAGTTAAAAATAATTATCAAGTTAAAGCGGAAGCCACAAATCCTACTGTAAAACCTACAGGTATCATTCCACCATCCCAGAAAAAACCTACAGTAAATAATAACTCAAATAATGCCAAGTTAAAAGAACAAGAACTAAAAATGATGGAATTGATAAACAATCAGATGAAAATATTGAAGGAATTAAATTTTCAACCAAATCGTACTCCATTTCCAGAAGAATCTAAATTTGATGGAGCTAATAAAGCAGAGTTCGATAAGAATTGGGATTTATTTGAATTCTTATTTAGACATCATTTTGTTAGACCAACAAGTGCTAACTTACTCTCCAGTTTGCGTGGTAGTGCAATAGATAGATTAAGATCTATTGACCCGTTTAATTCAAATTCCGTAGAAGATAATATTCTCAGGTTAAGAAGATATTATCAAGATAGTCCAAGTGTCGTCTTGGATAGATTCTCTAATTTTTCTAGAGAAAATAAATTTAAATCATTAGATGCCTTGCTACTTGTATTCTCAATAGTAAAGAAAAGAAGTAATTTACCAGATGAAGCAGCAATCACATTTTTAAACCAAGCTTTAGGATGTAATTTTAAAGATTATTTGGCTTTAAAATGTAGAAAGGACTCCACTTATCAAGAATATCTCGAAGAAGTAAGAAACTTAGAAATCGCTTTCACTGAATCCAAAGGAGTTTCCTTATATTTAATTAAAGAACCATTAAATGGTATTTTTGGTACAAATAGAACCCCTAATGTCTCAATGGCAAATGCAAATAATCCAAGTTTTAATGTTGCCGGTATAAGTAATGATACACAAAACATGTCCGTCGTTTGTTATTCGTGCGGAATGGAAGGACACTTTAGTAGAAATTGTCAAAACAAAGATAAGTTTTCCCAAAATAGAAGTAATAGATATATTAATAGTAATCATAGGAATAGTAATAATTATAATCAAAATGGATATAATCAAAATAATTACAATAATTATCAGTTAAATAGAAATAAGAGTAATAATCAAAGATCAAGTTTTAATAGTTATAATAATAATAATAGTAATAGAAATAGATATGTTAATCAACAAAATTATAGAGATAGAAATAATAGTAATTTAAATAATGACTATATAGGTAATGATGTAAACGTCGAGCCAACAATCAACACAATCGCTAGTGTTTCAGGATATAAAAAGGTATGTGCAAATTTGAAGATAAAACAATCAAGGTGTTAGAGTTCTCATAGATACTGGTGCTAGCTTATCATGCATAAGAGAATCACTTGCAAAAAGACTCAATCTCTCAATTAACTCAAGTAAAAAAATCATACAATCTGTAAGTAACCACAAACTACTTCCAATTGGTACAACTATCTGTAACCTTTCGTTTGGTCCTGTTTCTGAACAAGTTGAATTAGAAGTATTTAGAGATTCCGATATCTCCTCGTCATGTATTTTAGGTTTAAACGGTTTAAATGCCATTGGTGCTGATCCAATCCTTTCAAAAAGTAAATTAGTCTGTAGTAAAGCTAATTGTTATGTCCCGTTATATTCGTACACTGAAAATAGTACACCGTTAGATAGTAATTTCAACCCAGCTCAGCTCAATTCAACCTCAGTTAATGTTCTCAATTATCAGTCTTTAAAGCCCAAACCCGATAATAATTGTTATAGAATCAACTCTGTAAGATATGTCAATAAATCAGAAAGCATATTCAGTCGATCATCATCACACCCGGACCATCACTCATCAACACGTCAAACATCAATCAAGTCAAATAATATAAATGCTCGTAATAGTAATAATTTTAATAGTAATAGTTTCAATAGTAATAATAACAACTTTAATAATGTCAATTCCCGTAATATTAATAAGTTCAATAGAAATAATAATAACTTTAATAATAAAATCAGTAAGAAATTTAAGCAACCACCTGCATTCATCAAATCTTTAGAACAAACAGTTATAAGTGCAGATAATCATTCAACTCAAAATCCAAACAGTACACCGTCAATTCACAACCAAGTTTATCAGTCCGCTCAAGATGGATCAATTATTCTCACTGCTGTGCAACAAGCTCAATTAAATAATTTGTTAAAGAAATATGTTCGGAATGTCAAAAGAATTTTATTCTCTCAAGGCCGTTTCAATTCGGTGCCGTCGAATTTCCAAAACCGTGGGGAAAATGTAGTATAACTGCCCCCCCGTCCGACCATATATATACTGTTATGATATCGCTATATTAACGCTATGACCCTAGGCTAATTAAGAGTCACTAACTGCTGTTTACTAACTACTGCTTAGTAACTACCAATTCCAGTGTTTCCAAATAACTTAAGAATTAGCTTCTAGAACCAATCTCATTCAGTATAAATACCTTAAGTTCTCAGTCTAAAACTTCAGAGGTTTTTTTATTCTATATTATTAAATAAACTACAATTTCATTACACATATAATATTTGTTATTTGTTGTTTATTTGTTATACTTATTTTACATATATATACTTAATCATTTGTAAGCTGTATAGAGCTTCATTACAATAATTTCAACTAAGGTAGTTTAGCAAAGTGGTTAATGCGGTGCCCTGCTAAGGCATTCCCTTCGGGGGCGCAGGTTCGAACCCTGCAACTATCGAGTCTTTATAACCTTGTATCTTCCTGGTGATAACTTACTGGGCATGTCTTTTGTATTCATTGCATTCAAAATCCCAGAAGGTCGCAAATCCGATTGAGAAATAAATATGGATTACAACAACACCAGATTCCACAAATCACACTTCCAATGGAACTATAAAGCAATAGATTTCGACTTAACTAGATGCTTCGCTTATAGAAATGCCATAGCCCTGGTATTTCATCATGTTTGGATTTGGTTATGTAAAGAATTATATGACGATCAAGAAAATACAATAAAAGAACTCGATTATAAGAATCTAACCTCAAAATGGACTAAACTAGCTACTTTAGAATACTTAAAAGGTTTAAAAAACATCAAGGAAAGACACGCTAAACAACCACAAACAATTAGCAACATTAATGAAGAATATAGAAAATTTAAAAGAAGAATAGCAAGAGCATACTTCATCAGCATCAAATCTTTACCAAATATCAACAGTTTAGAATATTTTCTTTAAAAACTTTATAAAAAAACATTAAATAAAATTTTACTGATTAATTTAAAGCATTTGCTTTTAATTATCTTCACTTTTAAAAAAAAAAAAAAAAAAAAAAAAAAAAATTAATTATACTTTAAAGTTCATTTACATTACATCATATGCATTTTAGAATTAAATGAATATTACAGTTATAATTATATCTCAACTAAATAATATATTTATATTTTCCTTTATTTTAAATAATAAATTATTTAAAATTAAAAATTAAAAATAAAATAAAAATAAAAAAATGAAAAATTTAAAAAATAAAATTTTATTTTTTAGTTTTCAGTTTTCGGTTTTAGTTTTCACAAACAAAGAATTGTATATTTATTTGATTATTAGAATTATTTATATTTATTATTTATCTATAACTAAAGTAGCTCCATCTACATTACATTTCTAATTTTTTTACAGGTATTTTTAATTGTTGAAACCTGTAACCACCATTTCTAATTTTTGAATGACTAAACAATACTCTTATAAAAAAAAAAAAAATTTTAAAAAAAATTTTAAAAAAAACAAACATTTATCTTTTTTATTTTTCAATAAATTTTCAAATATGGAAAAAATATTACAATTTTTTCGAAACTCAATCATAACAATGTGGAAAATACGGTACGATTTCATAAATTGTTGGTAATTCAAATAGGGAATCAATAAACTCTACAAAAGAATATGAAAGTACTGGTATAGAAGGCAGAGGAATTTTAATAAATATACAATACATTTATTTACATGATGAAACTTCAATCAGAACCTGGCAAAGAATTCAGAGCAAGTTAATACGATTATAAATTACATCTACAAGACGAATCATTTAAATGGCGCTACTAAACGCATTGTAATGTTTTTTTGTAATCAAATAATATTATAACCATAATCAAAATTCACATAAAATTATTTTCATTTAAAATAAAATAAATAATAATTTTATTAGTTTTACTTTTTATTTAATAATTTATCAAATTTTTGGGAAACAATAAAAATTTATTAATCATATTTTAATTTTATTGAAAATTATAATTATTTATTAAATAATTTATTTTTAATATAAAATAATTTTAATAACATTTTTTGAATTAAATTATATTAATGTTTTTAAAATTTAAATATTTTTTATTATCCCTTTGTTCATCTAATCAATTTAAATCTAAGATAGGAGTGTCTCAGAACTTTAAGGTCACAAATACAATTTTTAAAAATATTAATGGATTTATTATAATAAAATATGAATCCGTGCATCATATATTGCATCATACTGTATATTTTTGAATGAGGGTTTAACAATGGGGGTATTTTTTACTGTTTTTTATTTATAATAATGAAAATTTGTTTGAAAAAGAAAAGCATTTTTATCAGTTTTAATTTAAGTTCAAAAATTTGTTTTTTTACAAAATTATAATTTTGGAGTGAGTGGTTAAAATTATATTGATATTTGAATGAGGATTTAACAATGGGGGTATTTTTTACTGTTTTTTATTTATAATAATGAAAATTTGTTTGAAAAAGAAAAGCATTTTTATCAGTTTTAATTTAAGTTCAAAAATTTGTTTTTTTACAAAATTATAATTTTGGGATTAGAGGTTTTAATTATCATAAAAATAAAAAAAAAAAGCAGAAAATGGGGTTGATTTGTAAATCACCCTAATTTTTTTTTTTATTTTTTTAATTTTTTGTTTTTTTTTTTTTTTATAAAATTAAATTTTTTTTGTTATATAATCATTTATAATTTATACAATGTCTCTTTCAAATGAACAAATTACACGTCTACAAGATTGTAAGTAAAAAATAATAGTTTTATTTATTTCAAGATATTAAACAATAATTTTTTTATTATAGGTAGAGATAGATTCAAAAAAGTTTATGAAAACTATGATGAAAAACTTAAAGCTTATTTAGATGAACAATTACAAGAGTTGAAAAAAATTGATGGATCCGTTACTGCATTTGATAAGGAAGAAATGGAAAACCATAAAATAGCTTTTCAAGATATTCAAGCTGAAAAGGGTGCTAAAGAACTTTACAGTGAAGTTCCTTTTGAGGATTTAATGCAAATTTTGGGTATTGCATTATCAGCAGACCCAACCGGTGGTGGTGCAGGAATCATCTTTGGTGCATTAAACTTTCTTTTTGAAAAACTTGGTTTTTTAAATAGTCAAGAAAGATTGTAAGTACTATCAATTTATCTTTTTAAAGTAGGATTTTATTAATAGTTTTATTAATAATTTAGTCTCAAACAAATTATGGAAGCAGTAGAGCGACTTATTGAAAAAAAAATAAGTGAGGAAAGAAGAAGACAATGCATTATTTAATTCCAACAACTTCAAAAAACTGGTGATGATTATATTATTTTGGCTGAAGAGTATTTCAAAAGAAATGGTAATAAAAATGTAAATGATTCTTTAATACCAAATGAAATTAAATCAATGCCAAATGAAACACTTTCATCATCTCTTCAAATCCAATTAATGATTTATCGTGATAAAATTACTGACGGTTTGATTTATTTTGGCGAAGAGAGTGAATTGGTATGTATAGTAATTGTTTATACTTTTTAATTTAACATTCGCTAATATTAATATTTTTTAAAAAACAGATTAACACCATTGGTTTATATATATTAACCGCTTCTCAATATCTATGTATTCAAAGAGATTGTGTATTTTATGGTAAACAATGGGGTTTCAGTGATTTTGATGTAAATGATGCCAGATCAAGATTACATTCTTATTCAATTGACTTTATGAAAAAGGTAATTAAAGCTGGATGGAATCTTACACGTCATTACTTCGATGGTGTAGAAGTTGGATACACTCAACCACCCTATTTTGATACAGCTAGAGTATTCAAAAATGCAGACTTCACTTATTATCCAGTCAAAGCTTTTTCCTACAGTAGAACCCCTCCTAATATTACTTATGAAATAGCTGATACCAAAGGATCACATTTACTTGGGCCAAACGCTTTAATTGGTTGGTCAGTGTTGACCCATAGTTTGGCAAGTGGTTTTAGGGTAATTATGTAATTGGTTTTATTTATACCTTTTAATTATTTTCTAATTTATATTTTTTAAAGGGTCTTATTGCTGAACACATATATAGACCAAACACATTGATAGTAAAATTCCCAAGTGCAAAATCAAGAACATTCAAAGTCAAATTTCATCATCATGTATATATTGAAGCCGATTGGACAATAAAAGCTGGTAATGTAGTTGAAAACTTTGTTTTTAAAGAATACACCGAAACTGAAAAAAGAAATCCATACTTTGTTTATTATGAAGACTATAATAGTCAAGCCGTTTATGGTGTAAATGAAACAAAAGCAATAACAGTTAACACTCAAGAAGTTTCATTTACTTCAAATAGATCAAATGTTAATGGTAAAAGACAAGGATATATTGGTGGATCAAAGCTCTATTTAATCGAAATTATTTTTGAATAAATCATTTTTTTATCAAAATAAAATTTTCTTTTAATTTCTTAATAAAAGTTAAACCAAATTTTCAATTATTAAATATTTTAAAATCAATTCAAATCCTTAAATAATTTTAAACCTTTTATAGCTTCACTTTTATTGTATTCCATTTCAAAATCTTTCCAATTATTTGTTTATATTAAATATTTGAAAGGTTTGGAAGGTTTAATATTGAATACCTTACAAAACTTACCAATTTTGAAAGATAAATATAAATCTCAAAATTTATGATTATAAAAATGGATAAAATAAATTTATATATATATTTTTACCCCACCTTTTTACAATTAAAAAAATAATTTAACCAATTTACAAAAAAAAATATATTTTATAAATTAAATATAAATTTTTGAAAAAAAGACATTATTTGAAAAAAAAGAAGGATATATATAAAAAATATTGATGATTCAATAGTATTTACTGAATATGGTGCCATTAAAGGTTTCACATTTAAAAAAAAATGAAAAATGTTATAAATTTTTTATTTACCTGGGTGTAATAATACACATAATTTTAATTTAAAACAAATAAATTTATAAAAACTCTATTATTTATTTCAAAAGTAAATTTACACTTTTTTTTCTTTCGCATCTATTATTTTTTATTTAATTAAAAAAATAAAAAAAACACACACATATAAAAAAACACACACAATTTTATCTTTTAATAAATTTTTTAATTTTTATTATAAGTAAAATTATTATTAATTTTTATTATATAATTTTATTTTATTTTATTTTATTTTATTTATTTTATTTATATTATTTTATTTTTTTTTAATAATAATAATAAAAAAAAAAAAAAAAAAAAAAAAAACCAATATTTAAAAAATGAAATAAAAAAATTTGTTTAATAAAAAAAAATTATAAATATAAATAAAATATTGTTAATCAAACTTTAATAAATAATGATAATAAAAATTAAAATTAAAACCACTTTACTATTGTTTTTTATATTTTTTAATTTTGCATATTCCATCCAGGATAAAAATATTAGCAGTCGATTATTATTGTATAAAGATAAATGCTCAAATGAATCAATATATCCATTTGCAATGCCTTTGATAATTTCAATTTATTCCAACGAATATGATAAATATGGTAATGAAATAGCAGGTTCATTAAAAGGTTTGTCGTGTTTTCAACAGGGTAGGTATTCTTTTTTTTTTTTTTATTTAATAAGATAAATATTAACTTTTATATATTTTTTAATTCAGTCGATGATTATAATTTAATTTACACCGTTTCCAAAGATTCATTTAATACATTACCAGATATGTTAATCGATCAAAACTTTTTAGCGCGTTTTATAAATATCAATTTCAGAGGAGAGATTTTATCATTCAGTGAAGTGCCTGTATTTATAGATTATAATATTAAAACAAAAAATTTTAAAATTACAATTAATATTAAAAAAAATTATTAAATTAATTGTAATAAATAATAAATCTATTTTTAAAGCCACTACTTAAATTTTTTTTTTTGTAGAGTGGTGGTGAAAAAAAAAAAATTATATATTTAACCACACCTACTTTATTTGTATATTATAATTAATACTATTTATTCGAGATAATATTAGGTAACTTAATTTGGTATTGTTTTTTAAGTTATTTAAAATTAAATAACTTAAAAAAAAAATTAATGTATATTTTTTTTTCTATTTAAGATTAAATTAATTTGAGATTATTATTATTATTTTATTGCAATATTAAAATCATGGATCTTGGTAGTAATAATATTCAATTAGAAAACAGTTTTCCTGTATGTTTTATTTTTAATTTAATTTAAAAAATTAATAATATTTAAAACTAAAATTCAATTTTATAAATTTAGGTCATAGATGAAAAAATTTTTTCAAATGAATTCATTTTTAAAAATATTTTATTAGATAATTATGAATCGGTAATAGAAGAGTTTTCATGTTCTATTTGCTCAGAATTTGCATTTAAAAAAGAAATGTATCAATGTAAAGAGGTAATTATAAAATTAAAAAATAGTTTCAAACCACATTCATTGTTTATTAATTGATTTATTTTATAGGGTCACACCGCATGCAAAAATTGTTTTATTGAAAATATTGAAAAGAGAGGAACATGTATGGAATGCAGAACCCCTTTAACCTCAATTAATGATCTAATAAGAAATAGATTTTTTGAAAACACACTATCAAATAAGATAATTATGTGTCCATTTTCATATAGCCCCCAATTTTATTTTCAAAAAGGATATGAAATTTAATTTCTTTATTCACAAATATTTAGATCATTCAAAAGGATGTAAAAAAACTATTAGACTTGAAGAATTCGAAACTCATATATTAAATTGTAAATGTAGATTCGTTAAATGTCCCAATAATGGTTGTACAAAAATTAAAAGATTCAAAATTTTAACTTCACATTCAGAAAACTCTTGTGATTTTAAAATTTTTAGATGCCCTTGTAATAATGAATTTCAAAGAAAGGATTTTATTGACCATAGTTTGGAGTGCCCACACACAATGATACCATGTGATAAATGTAAAGATAATATTCCAAGAGGTCAAAAAAATTTGCATATTAAAGAATGCCTAAATGAATTATCGGAAAGGCTACCACCAAATTTTAATGACAAAAGTTTATCTCTAGATAGTTTGTCTTTCAGACTCCATCTCCATCAAATTGCTAATACTAATGTTATTTTAAGAAGATTAGAAGTTGTAGAAAAAAAGTTTTCAAAATAAATATTGATTTAAATAAAAAAGTTTTAAAAAAAAAAAATCATATTTTATTTTTAATTTTAATTTGATGATGTTAAAATATCACCATTTATATTTGTATTATTATTGTTATTTTCATAATCACCATTATTATTTAAATTATTTGTATTTAAAGTTAAACAAATTTTTTGATGAAAATTCCAATTTCTAATTTGACATTCTTTTGAACAATAAAATACTCCTTTACATTTTGAACATTTCTTTAAAGGTACATTTTTTTTAAAACAAGTTTGGCATGCTTTAATTAATGCACTACTATTATTTGAGTTGCTATTACTATTACTATTACTATTATTATTATTATTATTATTATTATTATTATTATTATTATTATTATTATTTTTAATTATATTATTATTTAAAAAATCATTATTAAAATGATCATAGTAATTATTATTATTATTATATGGTTGAATTGCAGATTCATTTGATTGTTCTAATGAAAAACTAAAGAAATATAATTCGGCCATTATTAATAAAGAATAACCTAAAGATAAAGAACCTAAAAATAACCATTCCCCAGTTGAAAAATTTAAAAAGTATTGGATTACTAAAAAGATGAACCCAGTTAATAGTTGTTTGACAGACTTTTCTACCAATAGTTTTGATTTTTGATCTTGATCCAAATTATCTTTATTGTTGATTAATGCTACATTTGCTTTATAAATAACCATGTGGAAGAGGAAATGGATGATATAATTTGAAAGGAATTGGTAGATACGTTGAGGTATAAAATAGTAAACACCAGTAGCAGATAAAATTAATGGAGCCGCTATTTTTAATGGACTAGATTGCAATAAAATTAATTTTACAATTGAAAAAGCAGGAGGTATTAACCATTCGATTCTTCTACCTGAAAGGAAATCCAAGAACCATATTGGACACCAAAAAATTAAATAAATGCTAATGTCGAGCTCTGAGTTGTTAAGTGATGTAAAAATTAATGCTAGAATACTAGAGTAGAATGATGGGCCTGTTTCTGGTTTCTTTATGACATAGATACCCAAGAGCAATAATATTATACTACCAAATATTATGATATTGACGCTAAGGAGTCTCCAAAATAGAGAGTAACTACCATTGATGTCGATGTCCCTAAGAGAGTCGAAAAACATAACAAAGAACCATAGTGTTACTGTTATCGATGAGTTTTTCTTTCTAATATTAGGCCATAAAAATACAATTCCGTAAATTATAAAATTTGTAATAAATGGTAAAACTTTGCTTGGTAATATAAAATATAATAATAAATTGGCGCCGCCAACATAAATAAAAAATAAAATTTCTAACTGTGATCTCGATAAAAATAAAAAGTATAATATGAACATTGAAACAAATATCCTATATTGTTAAAAAAAATAAATTAATAAAAAAATAATTTGAAAAAATTAAAAATAAAATAAATTATTTAAATGTTTACCATTCGATATAAATTGAAAAGAAATGATCAATCACCAACGATATTAATGTAAATGAAATTGAAATTAACCATTCTGAACCTTTACTATCCACCGCTTCGCCAAACTGATTAAACATTAACCCATCATAACCAAATGAATCATAAAATAACTTTGTATCGGGGTTTGATAAAATTTGATATGCTCTATTAATTTCTTGAAATTTATCGACACCATGAGGATTTTTATCTAAATAAAATAACAATATTAATAAAACAATAATAACAATAACCATTTTAAAAGGTTAAAACATACCTGGATGATATTTTAATGCCAATATTTTATATGCCTGCTTAATTTCGACCGGGTTATCAGTCTTTTCGATTCCTAAAATTTCATAAGGCGATTTTAATTCTTTGCTATTACTTGAACTATTTGATGATTCATTATCATTGTCTTTATCGTCTTCATTATCTTTATCTATATTATCTTTGACCATTATTTATTATTTATAGTATTATTATCTGTCGTTTGGATAATAATTTTTTTTAAATACAAGAATGGGTCGAAATTTAAAAAAAATAAAAATAAAAAAAAACTTAAAAATAAAAAAAAAATAATTATTTTTTTTTTATTTTTTTTTTATTTTTTTTAAATTAATCTTTTTTTTTTTTTTAATTATTTTTTTTAAATTCATTATACTTAAGATTTTTTTTTATATTATGGTGAATATTTAATAAAATTTCTAAAAATGTCAAATAATGAATTTTATAATAATATAAATAATAATGAAGAAAATTCACCAAACTCACCAGATTCAATATACTCTTTAAATTCACCAAATATCAATAATTTAAATAATGGTGATAATAGCAATTATAGCAATTATAGCAATAATAATGGCACAACTCTAAGCAGATCACTATCATCAATATTATTTGATAATCAAGAACCATTTGTTTTTGCACAGTCCTTAACTTCGGTGTGTATGGACCCAACATCACCAATTAATAATGAATGGCAACCATCTGATTTACAAATACCACAACATCCAAACCCACAAAACCAACTATTAAATGCATCCAATATAACCATACAATCATTTCAATCGTATTTAAATAAAATTAAACCAGTTTATAAAATATTTAAAGAGAATCAAAATAAAGAGTTAATACCTACCAATAAAAAAACACAAGAGGAAATCATATCATTAGAGAATATACCAGCATTCTTTTTTAAAAAGAATATGACGATTAATGAGATTTTAAGCTATGCCGATAATGACCCCTCGCCCATTATATTTCAAAAACTAGAGCATTATCATACTATTATCGAGGAGAATATTGTTGGTCATGTTAGAGATAAATCCCTGTCTTTTTTTTCTGCAATGTCTGAACTAAAGCTATTTAGACAACAATTACTATTACTATCAAATCATATCAAAGATTCAGAGTATGTATTTTATATTTAAAAACACATTTAATTTTAATAATATTAATGCCTTTTTATTGATGTTTAGAAACTTTATGGCATTAATAGATAAAAATTGCATAGATTCATTAAATATTTCAAAACTATTTTTACAGAAAAATAGAATTAAAGATACAATGGAAATTTTATCTTTGGTGTCACAGGTCAAACAAGCACAACCAGCTCTACAACTATTATTATCAAAAAATGATTATATGGGTGCATTAGAATTAATTTCATCAACCCAGCATGCTTTAAATTTAGATTTAGGCCATATATCATCCTTAAAAAATTTAGCACCACAATTATTAGAAATGGTACATTTAGTTGAAAAGATGTCATTAGACGAGTTTATTAGAGTGTCATTAAATGATAATTTATTAAATAACAATAGTAACAATAATTCACCAATTTTAAATAATAATAATAACGATATGAATAATAGCAATAATGATGAAATTAATTTACAATCATTAAGTGATAATATTCAAATATTTTTATTACCTTTAATAACGGTTATATTAAAAGTAGATAGAATTCAAGAGGCATTGGAAGAATTTAGGGATGCAAGTATTGAATCTGTCAAATCTTTATTCAGGAATACTGTAGCCAATATAACCTATCAACTACTAGATAGCGGTAACAGCAGCCACCATAAAACTCCAACTAATAATTTTAATTCAAATAATTTCAATTGGAACGACTGTAAATTAAAGCTATTGAAACTATCATCCAACGACTCATTGCCACTGTTCAAATCTGTGGATCAAGCATTTAGAAAAAAGTTTATTATCATTTCAAAAATCATTCAATTAATAATCGAAAGAGTTAACAACTTACCAAATGAAAGAGAAAAGGAAGAGCAAGAGTTAGGTAGAGAACTATCGTCTAGTGACAGAGAAAAGGTTGTTATTTTAGCCGAATCCGTAACAAACACATGTAACTCTGTAATGTACTCTATTGTGGAAACTATGCATGAAAGAATATCATCGCTACTCAAAGTTAGAAGTGAAATCAATGCTAAATTGGCCCTTCCAGATTTTGTTCAATTCTACAATCAAATCGAATCCTTTTTAAAATTTACAGATAGCTTTGCCTCCACTCTATTAAAAAGAAAAGTGCCCATTTTAAGATCCGCTTTAATCTCTCAAATTAAACAATTTTTAGATATACTACATAAAAATAGAATGTCATCTTTAACATTATTATTAGAAAACGAAGATTGGATACAAGTTAAAGTGGTATCTGAATTTCAGCAAATTGTTAATAATATTGTTAAAAATTCACTAGATCAACCATTAGATGATAATAATAATATAGATAATTGTAATAATGGGGCAATATCAACTGATCAACAACAGCAAGCCGATATCGATATTTCAGATGAAATATTTATAAGCACAGAACCATTTAAAGTTGTAAATACGTTATTAATGCTATTAAAGTTTTTAAGCGATTATTTAAGTTGTTGCGAAAAGCTACCCTCAATCATTATCGACTCTATTCCAAAGATTATAGAGCTACTAAATACTTTTAACTCAATGACCTATCAATTAGTATTGTGCGCAGGTGCTAGACAAACCATGAAGCTAAAAACCATCACTTCAAAACATTTAGGCTATGCTTCCCAATCTCTTAGTTTCCAAATTAAACTTATACCCTATATTAAAACAATTTTACAAAGATCTTTAAACACCAAACAGTATTCGTTATTAAATGGCTTAGACAAACTATTACAAGTAAGTTTTAGCAATATTATGATTTCACCATATTTTATATAATATAATATTCTAATATCTATTTTTTTTTTTTAAAGGATTTTTCAACTCATAGACAAGAAATTTTCGATAAATTTATAGTAATTGTCAAAGAAAGATCAATCTATCATTTAAAACAAATGGCGGCTATGGAATTAAAAGATGATACATTACCAATACCAACTCCTCCAATCGCAGCATTACTAAAAGATATTTTAACACTCCATAAACTATTATCAAGTATCTTACCTGCAGAGCAATTGTTCAAGGTTTTTACAGGAATCTACTTTATGTTTAATCCATTGTTTATGGACTTTTTAACAAAAATAGATTTATCTCACAAGATTTCAAGAAGAAGAATCCACAACGACGTTTTGCATATATTAAACTCTTTAAGACAATTAAATAATGCTGGTGACCCTGGTAATGATATCGAAGTATTTTTAAATCAAAATTTTCCCATGTAAAATTTAAAAACAAAAATTATAAAAATAAATTACTTAATTTTAATTTATTTTTTTAAAATATATACTTTAAAAAAATTAATAAACTATAAAATATAATGAAATATTCTAGAATATAAAAAAAAAGAAATTATTTTTATTTATTTATTTTTTAATTGTTTGGTATGGTAAAATGATCATATTTTATGTATACGGGTAAAGAACTTATAGTATTTTTAACTTGATCCAAATACTTGTCTTTAGATATGCTTTCGTTGTGTGAAAAAGTTTGATGATATTTTAAAATTGAGCTATGTTTTAAAATTGGTTCTAAAAACTGGATTGAAGTGATAAAACTGGTTTCTAAAGTTTTTATTGATTTATTTTCAATTAGTGTTTCTGCTATCCTATTAAAACCCTGGTTGTATTCGAGCTCTCCTTGATAGTTTGAGTGACAGCAGTTATTTCTGTAGTTGCTAGCGGGGCAGATGTGGTTTATGGTTAGATGCTTTAATGAGGTATGGCTCTTGATCATTCTTTCGATAGAGCTCCAGTACAACTTGAAACATTCATCATGATGGTCTATACTGGATAGATCGTTGCAGTCGCAGTTCTTGATATCAATGGAATGGCTACATGTTAGTTTGTAAACTAAAGAGTAAAGACAAATGGTGATGTTTAGATATTTTAAGTTGGGGAATAATTTTAAAATAAAATATAAATTCTCTATTGTGAGTATCTGAGTTTTAATTGATATGACTGTATTGAATTTCTTAAAATTTGGAGTACTTAAAAACTCTTCTATTAAGTAAACTAGTTCTTTCCTATTTTGAATTGTATTATCGATATTTGGTATAGTTTTTTGTGAGTCGTATATTGATAGTTCATCTTGGAATTGATAACAAAAAACATTCCTGAAGGAAAGGTTAGATGAATCTGTGGTCAAAAAGTGAACTTTCTTAATTGAGAAATTGTTTATCAAATCTAAAAAAGTTAGAGCACAACCACATTTTAAAAAGTTTATGGAAAAACTATTTGTACAAATAAATTCATCTCCATGATTCATAATTTTATAATACCCAAATTTAAAACAGTTTGATAAAAAACTTTGATATTTTGGAATTTCTTCAATATTATCATCATTGTTATTGTAGCTGTTGATATCGATGGTTTTTATTTTTTCTACATCAGTAGTATATTCTTTAAATTCTATATTTCTAAATTGGATTCTTTTTAACAGGGACAAAAATAATATTTGAAACCTAAATTGACCATGTAAAGAATAAATCTCGTCATAGCTATAGTTTATGTAAATTTTTTTTAAATTAATAAATTGTTTTATATAGTTGTTTAGCTTTTCGAAATATTGATCCTTGGCCTCCACTAGTTTTTGAATATTTAAGTTTATTTTTAAATACTGAATATTTTTGAAGCTATTATCTTGGAATGGGCTAATGGTACTAGGATCACTTTTAAGTTTTAATTTTTTGTATATTGCTAGGATTAAAGATTTTACCTGTTGCTGCTGTTGTGGTGATTGTTGGTATTGATTATGCTGTTGTTCTATTAGAAAATTAAAATCAATTTGTCTACTATCTACACCCTGGGAAACTATCTTGAACCAACTCTTGCATACAAATGCGAGGTTATCAATTTTAAGACTGATATTATTACTACCCCCATAAAAACATCTATTTTTGGTATAATTATTATTATTGCAATTATTATTATTATTATTGTTGTAATTTATACTTTTATAACTTTTTAATTTACTGGCATCAACCAGTATATCATATTTCTCTACTGTTGAAAGAGGAATAGAATCAAAACTCCATTCATTAAAACTAAGCTGTCTTATTTCTTTATTAAAATTATAAATTATTATTTCTAATATTATTTTTTGGACAACAACTGGTAAAAATGATGAAATATTATATTTTAAATCCATTATTATTTTCTATAATGAAATAAATTTCATTATCTATTTATTTTTATTATTATTTATATAGCCAAATTTATTTTTTTTTTATCTGAAGAGTTTTTTTTTTTTTTTAATATAAAAAAAAAAAAAATGTTTAATATTTAGATGAGAATGAAAAACCCCACACAATAAAAAAAATAATGCCATAATTTTGTGTGTTTTAAATATATATTTATTTTTTTTGAATTTTAAGTTTAAAATAGATATACACATAAAAAATAACCACTTTTTTGAATTTATTTATGTTTTTTTTTTAATTAATTTTTTAATTTCACACACCTTAAACAAATAATTCAAATATTTATTTAAATAGAAATAATAATAAAGAAATGATGGTAACAAATAATAATCTACATTTATCGGTAAAAAATAATCTAGATACCAAAAATATAATTAATTATTTTCAATATTTTCTAACCACATCATATTTTTTTTCTGGGGAAATTTTTAAAAAAAAAAAAAAAAAAAAAAAAAAACTTTTAAACGAATTAAGTTTCTTCCAGTCGATAATGTTTGCAGATATTTATTTTCGAATGACAAAAACTCCAAAACAATGGGTGGTATTGGCAAGCAAGCCACACAAAAACAAAAAAAAAAAGATATTTTACGAAAAAAAATAGATATTTACGGCAATCTTTTTTTTTTAATTCTAAATTAACAATAGTAATTATTATAATATTATTTACTCTTCATATTTTTTTTTTATTTTTATATTTATTTTTTTCTTTTTTTTTTTTATTTTTTTTTTTTTTTCAAAAGAATTGTAATAAATAAATAACAAAAAATGAAAAAATTTATTAAACAAATAATATTTATTTTTTTTTTTATTTATTTTTTTAATTTTATAAATTCACAAGATATAGAGTTCAAATTTTCAGATGATTATAATTCACCCGATACTTTTTCAAGATACCCAATAAATATAATACTTAAACCACCTGGAATGTGTTATTATGAAATGGAACTTTTTGTAATCCAATTAACAGGTGGTTCTGGGGTAATGGATCTGAAAGATGTTGATAGTTTTATTACTATATTTCCATCAACATATAATTCAACCCATTTTTTATATTTCATATATTTCGATAGTAATTCTCCAACAAGAGAAATCACTTTAAAAGCAACTGGTAATGGGATTGAAAAAGATTTTATTTTTTCTGTTTTATGTAATGGTAGGTTAAAAATCTTTTAAAATTAATTAAATAATCATACTAATATTAGAAATTAAAAGAGTTTGATATCAATACTATTGATATCGAATTTATTGGGAATATATTTTATGATATCCCATATCTTCATACAATTCCATTTAGACAGGTAAATGTTCCAAGTTATGTATCTGCATCTGTATGGATAGACGGAATTAATAAAAAAGTTCAAGCTCTACCGGGTGGATATTTTTATTTAATGTTCGATTTTTTTGAATCAATGGGAAAAGGTATCACAGGAACAATAAAAATTGATTTTAGGTTCGGTAATAAAGTTTTATCGAAATCTATTTCATCAAAATATTTTAATGGTAACTATAAAAATAATATAATAGAAATTATAATAATTTATTTACTAATTTTTTTTTATAAAAAAATAGAATCATTTTCTGATGATAGTATAAAAGTCAACTATTACCCTCGAGATATTGAAAGCCAAGTAACACTTATTGGTAAATCTTATTATCCGTTAATAACAATTGAAACTAAAACTCAACTAAATGGACCATTTTATCTTTTTGAAATACAATCTTCTTTTTCAATTCCTGTATATTATTCACCAATAAGTGAAAATAATGGTAGAACTCTATATATTGCAACAGTAATGCCATTTGTCTTACCCATACAACTCACACCCTTGGCTTTATATGCTCAAAATAAATCAAATATTTTTAGTGTATTTGAAAAAAATATAAATATACTTGGTAAGCAATTATTGTTTTAAAATATATTATTTTTTATTCTTTTATTAATTGTTAATTCAATTTATAGATTACCCAACTACTTCAGTCGATATAGGAAGTATTACCGTATCAGCCCTAGGAGGTAAAACTTTTCCATGGTTAAAACTTCAATTTTCAGGAAACTCATATTACTTAAATTCCCTAAGATTTGGAGTTAGTTCTATTAAAAAAGATTTAAATGTTCCCTTTGGTTTTGTATCTCCTAAAAACTCTCAATACGAATTTGCAATCTCTATTCCATTTAGTCCATATAACCCCATTGTAACTTATATGGTCGGTGATTCTCCCTATCAATATACTATTGATGGAAATGAAAACAGTATGTAACCCAAATCTATTTGTTTTAAAATTATATATATAATTAATAATATTTTTTTTAAAATACTATAGACTTAGACAGTATGGGACCACAAGTAGAGGATCTGGAATTTTTATTTATAACAAATAGTAAATATTTGTTAAAATTACACCTCACAGATGATTTTTGTGGTTGTGGTTTTTTCTCTTTGGAAAACTATTATACTTATAGACTTTCACAATATAGAGTTTCAGGTGATCATATGAATGGACATTACGAGATACCAATCGATTTCGAGATTGATATTGGTCTAATTAAAATTAACCTCTATGATTTTTGTGGTAAAGCTACTTCGATCGAGGATGCAATTATTATTCATAATACATTCAAAAAAGTATCTTTTCCAACTTCTCTATATAAATGTAAATATAAAAAATGTTTTATATAAAAAACTACAATAAAAATATTCAAAATATACTTATTAATTTTTCTATTTTTTAACCTATATAAAGCATATTTACTATTAAATATAAAAGATGTGTCATTTTTATATAATAATTTAGACGTTAGAAATCAGTCTGTTGGAAATACTATTTACTTTACATTAGAGGGTGCCGATCCAAAAACCCCATTTTTGCTAAGATTACCAATCAATGAATTTTACGATGGCAATCCTTTTTATCCAAAAGAATATTACTCAAGATGGAATTCAGATAAAAACAAGTTCCAAATTGATTTTGTTGTTCCAAAGAATTGTAGACTTGGTATATTTAAATATTCAATTGTTATTACACAAACAAATACAGTTTCCTCTGAATTTTTCCCAGAAAGTTCACAATTAATAATTAAGAAATCAAACTTTGATGGTATTGGTCCAGTTTTCACTAATGTAGAAAAGATTCCATTTGCAGATAACAAATTTGGGTGGCGTTTAACAATCAGTGATCCAATCAATGGCTTTGATAATGGTACTATAACTGTAACTGGTTCAGAAGATAATAGTATTTACAAGTTTAATCTACTACCAAGCAATATGAAGAGTGGTAATATATCAGAAGGTATTTGGGAAATATTCATAGATTTGGCCCCAAATCACTGTATTGATCAAAACTACATTATAACATTTGTAAAACTCTATGACACCGGTGCTCTCTATACTGTGTTTGAATTATCAACACAAACAATGAATCAAACTCCAAATCAGATTATAAATCCATTTTATTTATTATATGGTGATTCAACAATAAATAAAATCTCAATCAATCAATGTGAAGGACAAACACCAGATACAACACCACCAACCATAGAGAACTTTTCCTTTTCAACTGCTCCAGATTTTGATGTCGGCTCATCAAAAAGAAAAATTACATTCGAGTTACAAGTTAAAGACCCAGAAAGTGGTATTAATACATATGCACAAGGCCCAATCATTTATTTACTCGGTGAAAATTTTGATATGGTGGAATGTATTACCAAATTTGAGGCATTTATAAACAATTACTATCAATTCAAATGCTCCATTGAAACACCTGTAGGTCTTGGATCAACATATGGCAGAATTCATTTTTCAATTTATGGTATTATTAATAATCATGGGTTATACAAAGGTTATGATACATCAACCTTGATGCTAAATTCAATTGATGTATTGTATTCTTTAACTGCACCAATCTTATTCGATACAGGTATAGCATCATCAAGAGGCGGAGAATATTTCGTTTATGGAAGAGCTCTTTTAGATAGCAGCTCTCTAATTATCACTGATACTTTGACAAATCAATCGACAGAATATTCAAACATTAAACTTTACGGATCGTCTGTAATTTCAATTTCAAACTTGAATGCAACAACAAATAACTTTTATGTATCAGTAAAATCAAAATCAGGTTTAATTTCAAACAAGCTTTTAGTATCCCCTTTGATATTTAATAGTTATACACCAGAAGAAGAATCTAGCAGTGGAGATGAAACCCCATTACCAACTAATGCACCACAACAATGCTTTGGTGAACCATTATGTGGAGGTCCAACTCATGGTTCTTGCAACAACCAAACTGGTTGTGTTTGTATATATCCATGGAGAGGTAAATCATGCAATAGTCATATTGTTGAACCAGAAATACCAGTTCCAAATCCAAACGAACCATCAACAGAAATACAGGTTCCAAATGATAATATCCAAAATACTCTTTACAAATCATTAATATCACTTGTATCATTAAGAGAACTCGACTATAAAGGTACTGTCATTAAAACCCATCCATTTGATCAAAAATGGCAATACAGTGAAATAACAAAACTAAAAAGTAATTATTTAAAGAACCTAACAACATCTGCCGATATAAACACAACGATATCAACAACATTAGAGTGGTTTAATGAAACAAAAGCTACAAGTTTTGCAGGTCAAGATTTCGAAATGTATGCAAATTCAATAAAATACTCAATCGAAATTTCAAAATATCCATTTGTAAGCCCACTTAACTCACTTCAATTAATCATGTCAGCAACATTTTCATCAAACTCATCAGACTCTTGCTCATTTAGAGAATATGGCGATACAACATCAGGTGATAATTCAAATTATATCAAAGTTCAAATCGATAATAAATCACTCTATGGCAGATTCATCAAAAGAGGTATTATAAATGACAAAAAAATTGTATCACTCTCAAATATATTTTTAGATTCATCAATGAACAGAATATCATCACAATCAGAATCACAATCATACATTGGTATTATAATTCCACAATTTTCAAAGAATGCTATAATCGATCCAGATTTTTCAGTATTATTAGATAATGACTTTGCATCATCAAACCCAGACTCAATTTGCAAAAGTAAAGGATTATCGGGTGCCAAAATTGCTGGTATTGTTATTGGTTCATTTGCATTTGTTGCCATAGTTGTAATATGTGTAATTTACCACTTTAAGAAGAAAAGTGATGCCAAAAAATTCCAAGCAAACATTTCAAACAAAGTCCGTGAAATGAATAATTTATAAACACAAAGTAAAAAATAAAAAAATTACTATATGGTAATCATAATAAAAATTTAGATCTTTATTTAAAATTTTTAAAACTGTATTAAATAATTTATTCTATAAATTATTCTATAATTTATTCAACTGTCCTATTTCTTTTTATTTTTTGATCCTTGCCTTTTTTCATATTCGTTAATCATTTCTGTACAATAACAATCACTTTTGGCTTCCCATGTTGCCTCATCAACATCATAACCCTCCCATTTAATTAAATATTCTTTTATTCCCCCACGTATACGCATTGAGAGAATTTTTTCTACGGTGTATATATCTTTGTTATCGTCCATGGATTCGTTTTTTTCGTTAAATGTAAAGAGATTCATATTAAAATTCTCTTCAATTTCCTTAGATTTCTTATCAACCACTTTGGCTGAGACAGTTGGTGATTTATCAATTGACACTCCACTTGATTTGTTTCTCGAAGGAGCGGGTGCTGGGGTTTTATTTGGTGTTTGTTTTTTATTTGATGATTTTGTTATATTAATTGGTTCAAGGTCTTTATCTATTGGAGGGGGTGTGCTTGAAAGGTCAAAATCGTGATTATCATTTCTTTTGTTTTTATCTCTTTCATTTTCTTTTTCTTTTTCTTTTACCCTTTCTTCTTTACTAATATTTTGTGTTTCTTCAACTCTATCTTTGTCTTTAGGCTCTTCATCCATCACATCTTCATTTTGTGATAATTTAAGTTTCTTTTTTTTGTGTTTATCTTTTTTATCTCTTCTATCCCTTTCTTTTCTTTTTTTTCTTTTTTCTTTTTCTATTTCCTTTTGTCTTCTCCTTTCCTTTTCTTTTCGTCTCTTTTCTTCTTTTTCTTTTTTAAGTTTTTTCTTTTGTTTTTCACTTTCACTATAATTTGTCAATAAAAGAATGGGACCATTATAATTTGTTTTATTTCTTCTTTTTGCAATTTCATTAAACTCGTTCCATGCCTCATGGACCTTTAACCTTACTCTTCTTTCAATCTCTTCTTTTGTGTCCATGACTATTACTCTTTGCTGATGTTGTTGGTTATGTTGATGCTGATGATGATGTGGGTGTTGATGTGGATGTTGAGGTTTTTGTATGTGTTGCTGAGTATGCGATACACTAACTTGGTTTCTATTTTGAGATGCTGAAGGTTTATTTTGATTTGAAAATGATATTGTTTGCGAAGAAGAAATGGGAATTAAATTTGAATTAGAGGTTTTTAATGAAAAAGGCACAAAGTTTTCTTGGAATAATTCTAACTTTAAAGCATTATTTTTAATTTTATCATTCATCGCTTCTTCTTTTTGGGTTAAATCTCCAAATGGTTTTTGATTGAGATAGTTTAGAAATTCTTTTAATTTATCCATGACGTATTTAAATCTATTAGAGAGATAAATGTGTTCATTTTTCAACTTTAAGATATAACAACTGATTTCTTGACTGACAAAATTTGGACCATATGTAGATGGAACATAATGTGAATTTGGAATAAACTTTTTTTCATTGAAACTACGATGATAACCATCTATAAAAATTTTGAAATTTTTTAAATAAACTAGCAGGTCCCTTTGTCTTCTAACTGCATAATCGACTGAAACTTCGTTGTTTTCAATGTCTCTTTTAATCTTGTAATAGAGTTCAACCAATATAGATATTTGAGAGAAGAGGGCTGGTAATGCATCGTCAATGTGAGATAGTTCTTTGAAAAGCAGTGCTATAGCTGCAGTTATTAATGGGCGATTTCCTGGAAGTGGTCGTTGAACGTGGTCATATGGTCTCTTTTGGAACTTATTTACATTTGAAGTGCCCAATCTTAAAATATCGCTCATAATCTTTTCGATATCCTTCACATTTTTTAAATTGTACTTATAATTTTCTGGAGCAGGTTCATTTGGACCACAAACAAAATGCCTATACTCGAATGAATCTTTACTGAACATCTCTAATGCACGGTTATAATCAAATATAAAATTGGATGAATAGTAACCAAGATATAATACGCTCCTATATAGTTCTTCATCTCTGGCTCTCTTGAGTTTATAATACTCACGGAGATTTATTGGAAAATCAATTGGATTTGGATATATAGATTCCAAATAAATGGTTTCTTTGCATAGCACACAAACACAAGCTCCTTGAATAAATCTATCTTTAGCAAATTCGATACCTGGCAATGTATACCCAGCTGTGCAATAAAAACACTTAAAATAAAAAAACTAAATGAAAAAAAAATAAAAATTTTTATTAGTGTATGTGTAACCAAAGTATAATTATCACCTGTTATAATAACTTACTGTTTCTCTACACTGATAACATGCAGCATAGTTATGTTGTAAAAACCTATCAACTGCCTGAGCTATAAAACATTCAGATTTACACGTTGGGCAAATAACTCTATTATTAATCTTTTCATTTACTTGTCTTCTTTTTTCCTCTGAATTAACTTGGTTCTAAAAAATTTAAAATTAGAATTTATACAATCACATTATGATGAATATTATATATCAGTAATTCTAATACTTACATATGCTTTATCTACAACTAGCATTAAATCGGTCCTTTTAACTTTTTCTAATTCAGCTCTATATTTTAAAGTAGCTTCATGTAGGGTTTCTTGGGTTGCAAATGGTTGGCAACCAATGGCATAAAAAAGAAAAGGGTCTCTTTTAGCATTTTCGACGGCAATAGCAATTTCCTCGCCCGATTTATCGAAATTGTAGATATAGTCAAAACAGGTTGAAATTAAAATATTTTGGAATTCTTGATTAAATGATGTATGAGTGCTACTCAAAGTCTGTTCTAATGAACTTAATTTTTGAAGTTCGTTTGGTTCCAATCTTTTACTATTTAAATTGTATTGCTGTATTTTTAAAAACTCTTGGGATTGATGAAAACTGGGATCATTGGGTTTTGATATTTTCGCTGGCTGAAAAGTTTGGGAAAGTTGGCCTTGTGGTGTCTCTATAGCCTGTGTTTGGTTATTGGTGTTTGGTTGTATCTGGTTTTGATTAAAATTTTGTTGCACATGATCTTGACTAGGTAATTGATCTTTTGGTTGTGGAGGCTTCTTTAAAACAATTGTTGGTGGTAAATTTGGTTGTGGTGGTTTTTTTAAAGTATTTGGTGGTTGTGGTGGTTGTTTTAATTGATTTAGTTGTGGAGTGGCTGGTGGGCTATCATCAATCTCTATAATCTCTTTCTTTGAATCTGAAATAGTTTCTGTCGAATGTTGATTTTGTCCAGATTGAACCCCGCCATTTGATTTTGCTAAAAAACCACTTGGTGTTTCTATTGGAAGCGATGGACTTTTATTTGGAGCTTGTGGCGATATTTGTTGAAGCTGTGATATATGGTGTGGTTGATAATATGAAGGCTGAGGTGGCTGATGATATGAAGGTTTTTGGGATAGTTGATTTTGATGATATGAAGGTTGAGGTGGCTGATGTAATTGCTTTAGTTGCGGTTTTGGTAATTGGCCAGAAGAGTGCGATAATAATGAAGATGAACTAGACTGAGGTTGCGGAAGTTGCTTCATTGGTGAGGCTAAATTTGGTTGCGGTGGATTTTGGAGAGTTGGTTGTGGTGATGCCTCTAATGGAACACTATCACTTGATATTTTATTTATCGGTGTAAATGTAATAGGATAATTATATTTGTCATTGCTAATATTATTGCTTTGGTTACCATTATTATCTGTCATTCTTATATATTTGTGAATTAATAAATAGAAATAAAAAACTAAAATATTATTATAACGAAAATTTTATTTTATTTTATTTTATTTTATTTTATTAAACTATATTATATTATATTGTTGAAGATTAAAGAAAAAAAAAAGAAAAAGAACAAGATATTGTTTTGAAAATAGTTATTCTTTTTATTCTTTTCCTTTCTTTAATTTATTTTATGTCAATGATTTCATATGTATCTTATAAACTTGAATAAAAAATGAAAAAAAAAAAAAAAAAAAAAAAATTTGAATTAATTTAAAAAAAAAAAATTTAATAAAAATTTAAAAAAAAAATTTTAATAAAAATTTAAAAAAACATTTATATATTTTATTACAATAACGAAAATTAAAATTAAACAATTCAATCTATTTTCCCTTTTTAAAAAAATCAAAGAAAAAAAAAATAGAGTAAATTATATTTTAAATTTAAAATAATAAATAAAATATTATTATTATTATTTTGTTTTATAAGGGTAATTAGTTTACTATTACTTTAATTTTTAATAATTAAAAAAAACAAATAAATCTTTTTTTTTTTTTTTTTTATTTTTTTTTTTTTTTGTCAATTTTCTTTATTTTTCAATTAATCAATCACCAAAAATGGTTTTAATAAAAGTACTGTTGCAAAAAAAAAAAAAATAAAAATAAAAAAAAAAAAATAAAAAAAAAAAAATAAATCAAAAAAAAAATTTAAAAATAAAAAAAATAAAAATTTTTAAAATTTTTTTAAAATTTTTTTTTTTTTTTTTTTTTTAATTTTTTTATATTACTCTTTAATAATATATATTTTTATTTATTTAGCAATAATAATTTTTATTTATTTATATTTTTAATCAACTTGTTTTATTTTATTTATTATAATTTTGTAGTAGTAATAGTAGTAGTAGAAGTGATAATAATAGTAATAATAATAATAACAAATAATTAAAAAAATTAAAAACAAGATAATTAAAGAAATACTCTCTTTATTGATATCATAAATATAATAATAGTAATAATAATAATAAAGAGTAGTTTTAATAATTTTATATTTTTAAATTTTTAAATTTTTAATTTTATTTTATTTATTTATTTATTTCAAATTTGTATAATATTATAGTAAATAAAAATATTAAATATAAATTTATTAATAATAATAATAATAATATTAATAATAATAATAATAATAATAATAATAAATTCTATTTTTAAAAATAATTATTTATTTTCACTTTCACTCACAACACACACAAAAACACACAAACACCATTAATTGCGTAACATTAATTATATAAATTAAATTTTTTTTTTTTTTTGTTTTTTTTTTTAATATATTTTAAATATATTCAATTCTTTTAATCAATATAATTTTTTAAAAGATTGTATTATTGTACTTATATAAATATAAATAAGAAAAAGAAGAAAAAAATAAGGAAAAAGAAATAAAAAAAGAAAAAAAGAAATCATGGTTCTTAATTTAGTGTCAGAAGAGAATGGATTGGATATATCATTTATTTCATATGATGTAACATTTATTGATAGGTGTGCACAATTTACGGTTACGTTAAAATATAAAAACATATCGAGTTTACCATTACCATTAAAGTAAGATAATAGCTTAAAATCATCACCATCATTTATAGAATGAATAAAATGATATTAACAATTGTTTTTTTATTATTGTTATGTAGATTTAAAAATGACCATAGGGATTTAGGTATATTAATACAATTGGAAACTAAAATTGGAGATAATGGTGGATTTAAAATTGAAAACAATACAACATCCATTTACCCATTATTAAACTTACCAACATTTAATGAAGACCAACCATCTCCTTCAACCACTACACCATCATCACCAAATAGTATTGCTGAAGTTGAAGAGCTAATTAAAAAACTAAGCATATATGATGACAGCACAACCACCAATATGAATATTGTAGATTTATTACCAGGTAAAGAGATCACCATGACAAGCAAATATTTAAAAGAATTACCAGTTGATAGATTCGAAGATAAACAGCCATTCATATCAATTGTTATACCGAAACAAACTTCTATAACATCACCCTTTCCACCAATTAAAATTCAAGTTACCACCAATGGTGAGGTTAGCATCCCTCTTCACTCTGCGGCATGTCCATCACATCCATCATCTGTCACATCACTAACACTTTGCGAAAACAAGGTCTCATCAACACACGAAATCAATTCAAATAGTTTATTAAATTCAGATTTTAATCTTATAGTTGCATTGGAAAAAGAATTAAATCATTGCGGATGGCAATACAATTTTCAAACAACCACATCACCATCAATATTATCACCTCCATTGTCACCATCATCCAATGATACTCCATCATCCAATAATAACAATAATAATAATATACAAGTATCCTCAACAATAATAAATATATGTCAAGAATTACAAAAGTCGCCAATCGATAAATTATTTATTAATAATGTAGAATATGATAATAAATCAAATTTAAATAACTTAATTTTTTATACAATTGAAACTAATAATAATAATAATAATAGTGAAAATAATAATATTAATAATAATGTAACATTAAAATATAATAATAATGAATATAATGTTTTATTAAAGAATACAACATCAAAACAATTATCAAATATATTAAATAAATATTCATCATTATCAAAAATTCAACAAATTTTAACAAATAGCAATAACAATAACAGCAACAATAAAGTAGATATAGGTTTATTATTAAATTTTGTATTTATATCACCTGAAATCCCAACATCAAACTCAAGCTCACCATCATCAAACTATGCATCACCATTATCATTTTCAGCACCTCCTGAACGTATGGGCAACAACAATGGCTCTGTTAATAATCCTTTGTCAACATCAAATATTCAATTACCAAATAGTTTTAAATTGAAATCAACAAAAAACAACCCAGTTGGATTACAGTTATCAGGTGAATCACTTTCAAAAGTTTTAGCAAATTTACCAAGAGCAAAACCATCACAATCCAGTACAGCACCACCAACTATGGGTAAAGTTTCAAACCCAATTGCAGATTTTATAGCTTCAAGAGGGGTTACTGGTGGTGCATCACTAAACCCCAACTCAAAAGACTCAAATTCTACAGGCGGCGGTAAGACTCTTAAAAAGCCACCACCAAAGTTAGGTTCATCTGTGGCTGGTGGTCAAGTTGGAGGAAATTTAGCAAATTTAACCAATAGCGCTCCTGCTGGAAATAGCAATACATTACCAACAAGTGGTAGTAACGATGACCTCAGCGGTATGAGTAGTACAGATATTCGTTCATCTAGATTAGCATCTTACAACAAATTAAATAAAATGTGGAATGTTACAGTTTCAGATTTTGCAGAGAGACATAGTATCGAATCACACGAGTTGGAAGCTTTTGCATTGGAATGTGGTTTAAATTATATTAAATCAAGATGGTGGAAAAAAAATAGAATTGCCACTCTTCAAGAAATACTAGTTGTACGTTCTTTAGTTGGCAATATTATATATAATCCTCAAATCTATTTAGCTTGTGGCCGTAATAGTTTATTAAATATTCAAGTTGTTAATAATGGTGGTAATAGTTTAGATAATAGCAGTAATAATAGTAGTTGTAATAATAGTAGAGAAACATCACCAATTTTATCACCAAACAACAATAGCGACACTGAACAAACTCCTCAACAACCCACAACACCAAAAGCAAAACCACCCCCTTCAAACTTTTTATTATCAAAAACCAGTTTTACAGATTTAACAAAACTCATGAATAAATCATCATCATCATTATCATCATTAACTCCACCACCACAAACCTTATCACCACCACTTAATACAACCACAACCACAACAACTTGTACAAATTTAAATAATAGTAACAATAATAATAATAATAACTTATCAACATCGTCAGAATCATCCTCGACAACAACAATGGATGACTTGGATCCTGTAAAATTAAAATGGATAATCGAAGAAGTTTTAGATAGCGAAAAGAATTTATTTGAAAGAATGACGTCACCAAATCAAGAAAATTTGAATTCTAAAAATGACCACTTATGGTTTACAACTAGCGTAGGGGAAAGCAAAGGTGGTAGACCACACATGGAAGATAGACATGTCATCATAGAGTATCCATATGATTTTTATGGACTAACTGAAGAAAATGGTGTAGAAGGTGGCGTTCAAGATTCACAATTCTTTTTTGGTGTTTTTGATGGTCATAATGGTAAAATCGCAGCCGAATATTGTCGTACATCACTTCCATTCGAAATCTATACCCATTTAGCAGAAACTCAAAAACGACACTCGCTCCACACATCCAAAGATATACCAGATCAACTTTATATGGATACCATCAAAGATGGATACTTGGCTACTGACCATAGCTTTTTGGAGTATGCCAGAAAAGAAGACAAAAAGGCTGGTACAACTGCTGCAACTGTAATTTTATTACGTGATCGTATTATAGTTTCAAATTGTGGTGATACTGAAGTTATTATAAGCCAAAACGGAAAAGCCAAACCTTTGTCAACCCTCCATTCTCCCAAATTAGACACTGAACGTGAACGTATCGAAAAAGCTGGTGGTGCCGTTATTCACTATGGTACACTAAGAGTAAATGGTTTACTTTCAGTCTCTCGTTCTCTAGGTGACAAGAACCTCAAAGAATATATCATACCCGACCCAGATTCTTTAATCTACTCAACTGCTTCAAATGATCACGACTTTATACTGATTGCCACTGATGGTCTTTGGGAAGTATTCAATTATCAAGATGTTGTTGATTATGTATTCAAATTATTATCAGATACCTCCATTTCAAATGACGATATATCATCAATAATCATAGAGGAAGCAATCAAAAGAAATTCAAAAGATAACATAACGCTATTAATAATATTTTTAAATAAATAAAAATCATCATTAAATCATAATAAGAAATAATTAGATTATAACAATAATAATATTAAAAATAATCAAACACAACCCAAAAAAAAGATAAAAAACCCAAAAAAAAACAAAAAAACCAAAAAAAAAACCAAAAAAGTAAATAAATGAACCAAAATCATTTGAAAATAAAATTGACATATTTAATTTAAACTTAAATCAGTAAATATTTTTTATTAAAGATTTTAAAACTATAAATGATTTTTCATTCGAAAAATTATTTATTTGTGCAATAAAATTAAATTATTTTTTTTTTTTTTTTTTTATAAAATTTTTTTTTTTTTTTAAATTTTTTTTAAATTTTTTTTTTTTTGATTTTTTTTATTTAAAAATTTTTTATTTTTCTTCCACAGAGTAAATAAATCATATGTTGTTTGTTAAGCTATAAACCGACGAATAATTTTTATTTTTTTTTATTAATATTTTTTTATTTTATTTTTTAAAAGAATCAAATATATTGGGTTGTTTTACAGTTGTGTTTATTTTAACTTACCACACAAAAAAAACCATTATAGATTTTTAAAAAAAACATTGTTTTGTATTTTGTTGTTGTGTAGTAATAATTTATATAATAAACAAAATAAATAAAAAAATAATAAAATTAAAATATCATCCTCTTCTCTTTAGCAAAATTAATATATATTAGCTAATATAATAGGGTAGCGCGAAAAAAAAAAATAACAGTTTATCAACCAATATAGTAATATAAAAAAAATGATGGAGTCAGAGGTAGCTACTGAAACATCAGTTACAGAAACTAAAGACGTTGTAGTTGAAGCACAGTCACCAATAGTTGGAGAAAATGAAGAATCAATCATGAATGGTCATGACAGTAGCAATCAAACTGAAGATATTAAAGATTCAGTAGAAAATAATAGTAATAATATAAAAATATCACCAGAAAGTGAAAGCAGTAATAATAATAACAGCAGTGAAATTAATAAAACAAATAGTAATAATAATATAACAAGTGAAGAAGAATATGAAGAAGAGGAATCAATTGAAGAGGAAAGCAGTGATAATATTAATGTAAATAGTAACAGCAATGGGTTAGTTAGATTAAGAAAGAAAATAAATGAAACAATTGTCGAAAGCAGCGATGATAATAATATAAATCATAAAAACCATAATAATAGTAGCAGTGAAACTAGTAATATACCAAAATTAGCTAAAATGGTTGTATCAAGCGACAGTGAATCAGAACAATCAAATAATAATAGTGATGTATTAATAGGGGTATGTCCAGATGGTACCAGATTCGCATTACCATACACAAAGAATCCACTTACTCTTCATCCAGTTAGCGAGTGGTCTTTCTTTGATTATGCCAAAAATGCTTCATTACTCAGTCTCTTATTATTATTTTTTAATCTTCCAGGTTGGGTATGTAGATATTAAAAATAAAAAAAAAAAATAAAAAAAAATATTAATCCATTTTATTTTTATTTATAGTTTTTTATTGCCTGGTTTTTGTTTTGGAGATTCGCTTATAATATTGGTCTTGGTTTAATATTAAGATATCAATCAAATACAAACTTTTTAACTAGAATCTTTAGAACAATTTCAAAACCAGATCATCCACTTTATAATTATGTTAAACAATTTTGTTCATCAGGTATGAAGAGTGATTACGATTTTGATGTATGTAGCAAAGTTTTAATACTTAAAATATTATATTGCAGGTATTAACAAAATTTTATAATATAATAGAAAACTCCAGCTGAATATAATGCATGGTTAGCTTATAGAAATGTTGTTGATATTGTTTTAGCCAACGATTTAGTAACCTATGTTGTATTTGCATTGGCCTATTACGAATTCCCAAAGGACTATAGTTGGACTATTATTCCATGTTATTTATTAGGTATTTTCTTATGTGCTTTTACTTTTTGGGCTAAAACCGATGCATACCGTGTAGTTAAAGATTTTGCCTGGTATTGGGGTGATTTCTTCTTTTTAGTTGATCAAAAATTAACTTTTGATAGAGTATTCTCAATTTCACCACATCCAATGTATACTATTGGGTAAGTGTTTATTAAATTTACATCACTTTCAGGAAATTTTTAAGACCTTTTCATTTTTTTTTCAAAAAAAAAAAAAAATCAAAAATTTTAAACATTACCAAAGTTCTATAGTAAATATCAAGACCGATGTACTAATTTTTATTTTTTATAGTTATACATTTTATTATGGTTTAAGTTTAATCTCACAAAGTTATACAGTACTTTATGTTAGTTTATTTGCTCATTTTTGTCAATTATTATTTTTAGTATTAGTCGAAGATCCACATATTCAAAAGACTTATCCAGAAATTGCAGAAGATCCACACATTACCAGAGAAAAGGTTAAAACCTATTTTGGCCATGATTTAGTTGTTGTAAAGAATTTCCAATACTTTAGAGCTGCCGATCTTTTCACTCTCTTAATTGCTGTATATACTCTTTCTCTTAATCTTTTCAATATCCCAACTTGGTTCTATATTGTTCAAGCTATCTTTTGGAGATGCATGCTCAGTTTTGGTCTTGGCTTAGTTTTAAGATTACAATCCAATTGTCAATGGTGGACCAATAAATATCAATTCGATCTTGGTAAAGATAAATATATTGCCTTTGAAAATTGGAAAAAGTAAGTATTATAATACAAGTATAATTATTAAAGAATAATTTATTAATTTTTCTCTTTATTTTTAATTTTAGTATCTATAATTTATGTTTAATTATGGCACATATTTCATTTACTTCATGTTTCTTCAAATATGCTCAAATTGATTTTAACTTTTTCGGTTCAATCTTTTGGAGACAAATTTTGGGTTTAATGTTAATTTTAATTAATCTTTGGAGTTCATTCTCAACCTACGAAGTATTAGGTGAATTTGGTTGGTTCTATGGTGATTTCTTTATTGAAGAAGTTCCATCTAATCTCTATTATACTGGTATTTACAGATTTTTAAATAACCCAGATAGTACCACTGGTTTTGCAGGTTTTTATGGTCTTTCATTAATCGCAGGTAGTTTCCCATTATTTGCTCTTTCAATTTTCTCACAAGTTGCCAATTTCCTCTTTATCAAATACGTCGAACAACCACACATGAAGAAACTCTATGGCAGTAAAATACGTTCACAATCTGGTATTGCCAAAGGTATTCAAGAAATTGTCAACGAATTAACCGAAACCTCACCACCAATTCAAAAACTAGTCACCAAAACTCGTGTAATCACTGAACGTGTTGAAAAAAGAGTTACTGAACGTTTCAACTCTTTCTTGGAGGAATTACATAGTAAAGGAATACCTTTATCTTCAGAACAATTCGAAATTTTAAAAACTAATTTAAAAGAAAAATATAACAATAATAATATTAATAATACAAATTCATCAAATAACAATAGTTCAAAAAAATCAATTAAAAAATAATATTAATTTATATTTATATCAAAAAATAATAATAATAAAAATTAAATAAAATTTAATTTATTAATTTATATATAATAAATAATAAAAAAATAATTACAATTATAATATACTCTTTTTTTTTTTTTTTTTTTTTTTTTTTTATACAAATATTTTTTATAAAGTTTGAATAATTTAAATAGTACTATTTATACTATTAAATTATTTTTATTTTAAATTATTTAATTGGTTTTTACAACATAAATCATTTAGTTTTAGTTTTCACAACGGTTGTCTTTCCATGCACAATTTTCGATGGTGCAATCGAATTCGTTTTTGATAGATGAACAGTGGACTATACAATTATAAAATAGTTAGGAAATTAATATTCTTATTATTTTATAATAATATAAAATATTAAAACTTACATTTGGAGTTTAAGGTGATACATTGTTCATTATTCCAGTTGCAACCTTTTTCTTCATGGAGTTGGCATTCATCAGATTGTTCGATATCTTCACATGACTTTGGGTAGATCATTTTACATACTTTACCATCCCAAAAACATGGTGGCTAATAATCCCAAAAAAAAAAAAATTAGTAACCACATTCTTAATTTTTAAAAATATTTGCTGTTACACACCTCCATATTGGCACATGTTAATGGGTTTTTGTAATTACCACATTTGACGGCACTTGAAACGGAAACTAATGCTAAGATAGCTAATAATAAAGAAATAACAGTTCTCATGGTTTAAAATAATATAGTTAAAAATAAAAAATTAAATTTTTTATCTCGATATTTATACAAATTGCAAATTTTATGGAAAAAAAAAAAGGAAAAATAAAAAAAAAAAAAATGAAAAAAATAAAAAAAATAAAAAAAATAAAAAATTACAAAATAAAATAATTTTATGAAATCCCAATGGAGGTTTGAAAACTAACTACCAGGATTTCGGAATTTTTATTTTTATAAAAATAAAAAAAAAATCTAATGGTTTTGTACATGAAACAATTATTTATCACACCTGTACATAATTTATATTTAATGTGGGTGGGATTTTTATTTGGCTTTTTATAGTTGGTCTTAAAATTGATATTGTGTTGGAATCTTTATGAATTTTCTAATGATTATTTTTAATTTTATTTTTTTAAAAAGAACCTCCTGTCTGAGCTAAAAAGACATCAATGATGCCTCCATCTTCGAGTTCAATGTCTGAAGGTGTGCTGTTTTCATTAATACCTTGACCATCATATTTAAATCTAACGTTTTCTTTTGTTTTAAAAATAATAAATGTTATAAGGTTAATAATTACCATTTCTATCACTATTTAAATAATAATAAATATAGATTTACCTCTCTTTAATCCGTTTCTTTGACAATAAGTTTCCATTAATTTACCTGTTTTTAAATTGAAAATATATTCCTTTAATATTTAGTATCATGTATTATTGTATACTATGAAGGTTTAGAACATTTCTGAATACTCCATGTTAAACTTACCAAGTTTAGTTGTTTTTTTGATTTTAAAAAAGGTTTCTTGGTTTTGTTGATTTAAAACTCTAACATTGATTTGATCAGAGGCTCCTTCTGGTTTAACTTCAGTACCTGGTTCTTCTTTAGCATGGATGTCTGACATCTTTATTTAAATTTTGAGAAATAATACAATTTCGAGTGATACAAGAAATAAATTAAAAAAATTAAAAAAAATAAAAATAAAAAAAATAAAAATTAAAAAATAAAAAATATAATTTCATTTTATTTTAAAAAAAATTTAAATTTTTTCTTTTCTTTTCTTTTATTTTTTTTATTTTTTTTTATTTTTTTTTATATTAATAAAAAAGTTTCTTAATTTGGATACCACAAGCTATTATAGTTTAAATTTTTTTATATAAAATTAGTTATTTTATTATTTATCGATTTTTTAGGTACAAAATCAAAAAAAAAAAAAATTGGGAAAAAAATTAAAAAAAAAAAAAAAAAAAATGGATTTTAAATAAAAAAATAAAATAATTTTTAGTAATCAAATTTTAATAATCACAGCAATATTTATATAATGGAAATAATAGTTGGAGAAATACCGAAAAAAATTAATATTTTAGATATTATAGCAATAAAAGAGAGCGAAGTTGAAGAGGAGTTGGTGTGTAGTATATGTGCCAATATTATGATTGATCCAACCTCATCTCTTTTATGTAGCAGCCATGTATTTTGTAAAGCATGTTTAGTTAAATGGTTGGAAAAAAGTCAATCGTGCCCAACTTGTAGGTGTGAAGTCCCAAAGGATACAGAGTATGCTCTTGTTTTAAAGGTGGAATTTGAAGATAAAATAAATAATATCAAGGTAGGCAACATATCAAGTTATAAGAAATATTAAAATAATAATATAAATACAAAATAATATTAATACTGTAGTTTTTAATAGGTACATTGTCCATATGCATTTAAGGATGATAGTTTTGAAGAAATTGATCATGATCATGGTTGTAAAGAGATTATAACAGTTTCAAAGTTTAGACAGCACATCAATCAATGCATATATCAATTTAAAAAAATGTGAACATTCATTACATAGTTTAAAAGATAGATGTGGAATGATGAGATTGTATGAAATGCACAATCACTATGAAAAAGAATGCCCCTACGTAATATTGGAGTGCATTTATTGCAGTAAACAATATAGAAGAGGTAATACCGAGTCACATCTTAAAAAATGCCAAAAAGTATTGGTCGAGTGTGGTAACGGCTGTATAGAGAAATTCGCAAGGTCGGAAATAGAACAACACAGCAAAGACTGTCCAAATAGAATCGTAGAGTGCCAATTCAAGGATTTTGGGTGTACCGATACATTTAAGTTCGGTCAATACAAAGAACACTCGTCCTTATATGACAATCATCGGGATTTCTTATTTAAAAAAGTCGAAGTTTTGTCGTTGCAAGTTTGTTCATTAAATAATCAAATAATGACATTCAAAGAGACTATAGATGAACAAAACTCACAAATTTCTCAATTAAGAAATTTAGTTCTTAAAAGGAAGGTTTTGTTTTTCCACCAATCTCTTTTGGAAAAGGTAATTAAAAGGAAATCAATTTCTGTTTCCTATAGCTCTAAAGATCATGCATTTGATAAAAATAAAAGATATTATTATATGCATCTAAATAAGGAAAGTCTCGACGAATATTCAAATTTTGATATGGTTATAACCATTGGTGATAAAATAATTTTAGATGGTAATTATACTTAATTAATTTTATTTTATTTTAAATAACATTATATTAATTTTTCTTTTTTTAGTAAAAGATCAATGTTTTTCAATTCGTAAAGAAATATCATATGAATTTGAATTTAATAGTGTTGGTATGTATAATAAATTAATTAAAACACATCTAGATATAAATATTAAATTTTTTTTTTTAATAAAACAGATAATTCTTTTTTACAAGGAAATAATGTAATAAAAACATTCTATTTACACCTAACAGCATAAATATAGATAATACAAATTGTAGATTAATCTCTTTTCCCCTTTCAATAATAAAATTTAAAAATTTACTTAAAAAAAAAAAAAGTTTTATTTTATTTTTATTTATATTTTTAATAAAAGTTATTATTAATATTATTTTTGAATTGTTGATTGGAAAAAAAAAAAAAAAAAAAAAAAAGTTAAAATAATTTATACTTTAATACCATTTATATTTAGGATAAAGTTTAGAATTAATTTTATCTTCTTCATCATCATAACCGTCCTCATCATGATATTCATCTTCGATGATATCTTGGTAAAGATTGTTATTGTTATTATTGACATTAGTTGTGATGGCAGAGGTGACCAAAGTAGTGGTTTTTGGTGGTTGTTGTGGTTGTTTTTGTTTTCTTTTTTGTTGCTTAATGAATTTATGTAAAATCCAATGTTTTGCTTTTTCTAAATTGCATCCAGATTCTTTAATTGCAGTATCGATGACGTTGTGTGATACATGTGGATAAAGGTCAATTAAAACTTGCTTGATTAAAATGTGTTCTTGGCTAAGACCATATTGCTTGCTGTATACAGTTTCGTCCAAGTATTTGGTAACTAATTTTATGGCATGTGAAAGGTTTTTGGCATCAAAACAAACATCGAATACCTTTTCAAAGTCTAATCCATTATTGTGGTCATCTTGGAAAAATTCTAATACTTTAATAACGATTTCAATTTGTCTTTGTTCTTTATCAATGGTTTCTTGTTGTTGTTGAGCTTGCTTGGCCTCTTTAACAAATGCGCTCTCATTATCATCTTCAAATTCTGAGGATGAGCTACCAGAGTCAATATTGATAAATTCATTAAGTAAGAGTTCATTGACATCTTCTTCTCCTTCGTCACCATTATCATCATCACCAGAGCTTGAATCTTCATCACTATAAATACCATCATTATTCTTATAATAATATGAATATTGGTCGATTGGTTTACCATCAGTTGCTTCATCAACTTTAACTTGACGATCATTGATTAATTGCTCTTGAATTTTTAATTGAGTAGTTTCTTTTTCAAAAAGTTTTGATTTATCTTGTGATCTTTTTTCTTTTGATCTTAACTCGGTGAATTTTTTGAATTTTTTACCAATTTGAATAACAACTTCTTTTTCCTTTTCTTCATCAATCTTCTTTTTGGCTTCTTCGATTTCTTCTGGAGTTAAAGTTGGAAACTCTGGAATAACGAATGGTTCATTAATTGATTTTGAGATAAATAATGGTTCACTATCTAATACTTCAAGGGAGTTTTTAATTTGACCACCATAAATATTGTAGACTCTAAGTTTCTTTGGATCAAATGGTTCAGAACCGGTTGCTGATGGCAATTTGTTTAATTGGGTTGCAATTTCTTGTTTAAAATCATGAAATTGGGTATTTACAAAGATATTTGCTAAGACTTTCTTTGAACCGTTGATACAGATGTTAGCAGATAAAGATCTAATTTTTGGACCTTTGTTTCTTGCAAGGTAGCTTGAACCCAAATTGTTTTCACGTAATAATCTCTTTAATGCTGACTTGGCATGTAGAGAGTTAAACTTTTCCATATTTTGTGGACGGTTGCTGTAAGTGTAAAGTGAGAAAATAGCATTTTCTAAAAGTTGAAGATGTCTTTTGCATTTAAATTTCTTTTCAGTGATAATTGAAACAAATGAACGGTATAAATGATTTACTAATGGATCGTGAGTTTGAAAGTCACCTCTCTTGAAAAACTCTTCCATAAAACTCAAATCGATATCGAATGCTTTACTTGAAAAGGTGTTGAAGAAAAATTTAATTTTAGCATGTTGGCTATTGTTGCAATCATGAGGATATTGATACTTTGAACCACAACGATAACAAAATTGATATTTACATCTGTATTTAGATAAAAAATTAAAAATTCCAATTAATTTAAAAATAATAATAATAATAATAATAATAATAATAATAATAATAATAATTACCTAGAGCAAGTCATATGGTCACAACCACTGTTTTTTTCAATTGGATATTGACAGCTTGAACAAATTGTAGTGTTTTCTAAAATCCATTTGTATGAAAAGAGTTCCTTTGAATCTGATGAGGTATTGGTGCATAGTAATGGCCAATGATAACCAGATTTCTTACAGAGAAGACAAAAGTGATGAGTGTCACAATTAACATAAGGTAACATACCAGTGACTGATTTTAAATTTAAAATTAATCTTCCACAATTGGCCTCTGGACAAGGAAAAGTTCCTGCGACATTAAAAGTATAATCTTTGATCATACCTTTGAGCATATTTGAAGTGTCTTTTTTTGATGGTAAGCAGGTTTCAATGGTGACTTCATCGATACATTTATTTAAACAACCTAAATGTGGACAAGTAATTTGAATTCTATTACCATTACCATCGTTGGCTGAGGTCAAAAAGTATTGAGATAAACAACCATTACAATATCTATGACCACAAATTAACTCGATGGTTTCTTTATTATCGTATTCACAAAAGCAAATTGGACATTCAATTTGGGAACCCTTTGGTAAAACTTCAACAACATTTTTGAATCTGTATAAACTAATATCCTTGGCTTTGTGTGGGAAACTTAAGCTTCTAATAATAGAGATATTTTTTTCATCGCCATTTCCTTTGATTTTTTTGGTTTCAAATTTATTTTGCCATAAAAGATTCTTTGAAAATGAATATGGAATATCATAAAATGATGAGATACTTTCAGTTTTGTTATAAATAGTTGATACAGCTACATTTTGAGATTCAGTTTTGGCACTCTTGATCTCTGAGAATAAATCTAAAGCTTCTGGTGACATATCATAATAAATAATATTTGGAACGTTGTCGTTATACAATTGCTCTACCTTGGTAACGATTTCTACGACATTGGTTCTATTGGTTTTATATTGTTCATTAATAACTTCTTCAATTTGATTAATTGTTAATTTTGATTTTGGTTTATTTTCTTCAATAAAAACTTGGGTCTTGTAATTTAATGAGCCATTAGATGGTTGTTCAATAAAATATAAAACTACTCTGGTGTCTTTATTTGAATTTAAAATAATAACCTTACAACGATATGGATAGGATTCACCGACAATTACAATTCTATTATCTCCTTTGCTTTTTAGAAGTGGCACGATAATTTTATTATAAAATATATTTCTATTACTAGTGCCAGATTTGAATAATTGTAAAAACTCTGATGCTGCTTTCTTTTGACGTTCTCTTAATTCCTCTTGAAAAAAGTTATTTTCTTCAGATTTGGTTAAGGCTCTTTCTGATGTTTCTTCATCTTCTGGGTCTTGGTCTACTATATTACTAATGGTGAAATTAAAAACTTGATTATTATATGAATTTAATAAGTTTTTAACTCTGTGGCCATTAGTTTTAACTCTAATCTTTGATTTGTCACTAGCCTCTAATTTGAATCTATTAATAATTTGTCCTAATAATCCTGAAAATGTTAAATTGTTTGGAACTAATATAACTAAACTTTCATTATCATTTTCATTCTTTTTTTTTTTTTTTAATTAAAAAAAAAAAAAATTAATATTTTAATTTTAAATTTTAAATTTTTTTATTAAAATAAAAAAAATATGTAAACATTGTTTATAATTACTTTTTCATAGGTAATTGTAAATCTTTTACGGGAATCTGGTACTTCAATATTAATGTATAATTCTTCTGAGGTATTTCTATGTGACATATTATTAATTTTACAATTGAGGAGGTGATGTTTATTATTTTTTTTTTTTTTTTTTTTTTTTTACAAATATATACAGGAAAAATATAAAATTAAACTTTATTGTTGTTAAAACAATTATAAATTAAACAAACAAAATTTGAAATTTTATAAAAAAAATCGAGTTATAATTTAATTTTTTATTTTTGAGAAAAAATTTTAAAAAAAAATAAAAAAAAAATAAAAATTTTTTATGAGACATTTCGCACCATTTAAAATATTAAAAAAATGTGGAAATATAGCAGAATATTTATTTATAGAAATCTGGTATTGGGCATTTTAATACAATTACCGATTATTTTACCAAAAATATTAAAAAAAAAAGTAAACAAAAAATAATATATTTAATTTATCAGAAATATACAACATTGTGTGAAAATTTTAAATAAATAAAAAAATTATTATTTGAAGTATTAAAAAAGGTTATTTGTTATTTTATTTATTTATTCTAATTGTTGTAAATTATTTTACATTTTTGTTATTTCTCTATCTTTGAATGAATCTAAATCTTTTTTTGAAAAATTAATGTGTTGTAATAAAAAATGTGTTAATTCTGCATTACCATTCTCTATTGATATAGTGACTATTTCTTTTAAATCATCAATGTTACAGATTGATGTATGGTTAATTTTTAATAATGTAGGTTTTTTAATGAGAATGGCTTTGAATACTGATATCATACCTTTTTTTGCTGATCTTTTTAATAATGTTGTTATAAAATTGTTATTTTCTGTATTGTCTGATCCTAAAAAATGATCCAGTAACATTAATGGACAATTGGCGATGTCTTCATATCTTAAGAGAATGTTATAGGCTTTTGAATTAAATACTTTAAAATAAGCATCAAAACGTCCACATTTCAATAAAAAAATTTGCCAATTTTGGATAGATAATTGAATTTCATAAATTTGATTATTTGATGGATTGACACATGATTTTTTAATTAATATTGAAATTTTTTCGGCTGAATCGATGATATCTTGATCTGATAGATCTTTGAATAGCCAGTGAAAGAATTTATAAGTTTTTTGAGCTGAATGTTGCTGAGCAATGTCAAAAGAAAGAATAAGAGTGGTTTGATTTGAATATGAGAAAAGCTTTTCTAAAATTGATATATGTAACTCTTGTTCACCTGAATGAAATCCTAAATATGAATATAAATCAATAATATATTTAGCAATGGTTTCAACTTTATAAAGTGATGGGTTATTCAGCGCTCTTAAAACGTTTTTTAATTTTAAATTTGTGGAATAGTGTGCATTTAATGGAAATATAAACTTTTTTGATGCACCTTTCATTAGATTTTCATATTTCTCTATTGATTTTTTGCTGACATATGGCCATAATGGGTTGTTGTCCATATTGATTAATTCTATTCTTTCATAAAAGTAATTGAAAACTTCTTCTTTTTTAATTATAGGTAATGTTTCTTTGATAGAGTGTGATTCGAAACATTCAAAGTTGTTTTTGCTAAATAGATAATCGATAAGAACCATGTTACCTGTGGAAATTAAAGATCTTTGAAGATTTATCAACTTTTGATTTACTGCCCCTATTGTTTCTGTTTGGGCGAGTTCAAAGTCAATAATTTGCTTTTGAAAATCTATGCACGAATCGGTATTTTGGAAATATAAAGTTAATTTATTAAAAACAGAGGTTTCCAAATAAAAATGGTTTGAGGTATTTAGTTTATTGTTTGGTATGTTGTTTATTCTTTTATTGTTGATTAGTTTTGCTTTTGATTGTTCTTTAAAAAATAAATAGTATTGTATTGGTTTATAAAATGGGTTTTTTTGATCGCTATGATTTGATTTACTTATTGAATATAGGAATTTTAATATTTTGTGTATTTTTTGTTTTAAAACTTGGATATTTTGTAGTGATATATCTTCAATACTTAAATTTAATTGTGTTTTGTTAAACTGATTTAAATCTATTGGACCATTTAGTTGATGTATTATTAGGTTTTGTTTTTCGGTTGGTGTATGTTTTTGAATTACTGTATTGAATAGTTTTATTAAGCTTTTGAATCCCTTTGTATATTCGAATGTTTGAATGGTATCATAAAGCGATACATTGTTTAATTTGATTCCGATTGTCTCTAAATAAACTTGCATTCTGTAAACTTTAGCCAAATCTAGATCTTTTTCATTTTTTTCTCTGAATATTGTTGTAATTGATCTCTGGTTTTGTTTGAATAGTGATGTGTATGCATGAAATGCTGGGATATTACCACATTCAATTATATGTCGTAGCCATATTCGAGGATCCCTAAAATCATCGATATTTTTACAGTATAATGGATATGTTGAAAAAAAGTGTATATAAAATTCTCTATTTTCTTTTTTAAGTTTTCCTATAATTAATGCTGCCTCCACATTGTTTCTAATAAAATAACTTTTACTCTTGAGTTTATCTTTGATAATTTCTCTTGCATTACTAAAGTTATTGAATATATATTTGGTACCTACTAAACTATCATAGTTAAACAGTTGGCTGAATTTGAAGTTTGAAAAAATTAATTTGAATATTGTTTTATTTCTAAATACATTCCAGAATGCAAGTTCTCCATTGTTGATTGTGTTTTTTTCATCACAATTAGTGATTTCTAAACGTGGTAGTTTCTTATTGAATGGGTTTATATTACTCTTGAATTGGTTCTCGTCTAATAAATCTTTTTTAGCTTTTAAATAGCTTTCTAATCTATTATAAATTACTTTTTTACCCCCACTGGAACCTAAATTCAATTCCTTTGATAGTGCTCTCAGTTTTCTATAGTCTGATCTATTCTCATTTTTAAATTCTTTTTTAAATGTTTCATATGTTATTTCATTATTATTATTTTCATTATTATTATTTTCATTATTATTATTATCACAATCTAATTGGTTTCTTTTTTTATTATCCATACTTGATATTTTATGTTAGAAAAAATAAAAAAAATAATTTATATTTTAAAAAAAAAAATTTTTTTTTTTTTTTTTAAAAATTTTTCTTATAAAAAATTAATATCTAATAGATATTTGAAATTCCAATAAAAAAAATAAAAATTGGAACATCTGCACTATAAAGTAAACTATTTATATTTAGAAATAAAATATAATATGGATAATAATAATAAAAATATTTATATGAAATATTTAATAATTTAAAGAAAATAGATTATTTTATTTTTTTTACCCAATCTAAATATTTATAATCAGAATGTTGTTTTAATTTTGAAATTAAATATGATAATAGAGCTGTGTTATACTTAAATAAATTGTTTACATATAAAATCTTTAAATAATCGATTTTAACTAAATATATTAGCGCATCAACTTGTTGTTTTGATGGTTTTGTTTTTGGTTTTGGATCCAGTTGGAAAAAATCGCATAGTGATTCTAATTCTGTAGATGCAAATGTTATACTATTAATATGTCTATTTAAAACTGATCTAATTACATTTGAATTAAAGTGAGGTTTTAGATGGTCTGTATTATTTAATAATACACTGAAATAAAATTGAGATTTTGAAATATCTGAAATGATTTCATCTGGATATCTGAAAGCAAGATCTTGAATATAATTTGGGTCCATTTCAATAAATCTTTTGACTTTTGGGTTTTTGTAGTGATTTAAAACCAGTTGAGTTTCGTGTTTTGGCCAACTTTCTTTTAAAAGCTCAAAGGGACTTGCTAGTAGTGTTTCAAGTACATAATAGGTTCCATAAACATCGCTACCATAGTCTAGAGCCTGCTTGATTAGTTTTGTTGAGAATCCACTTCTAAAGAACTGAATAATTCTTAAATGTTTTGTAAATAGATCTGGTCTTCTAATATCCAAAAAAAACTCTAAACTATAGTTCAGTACTTTTTTTAAAAATTCATTGTACATATGTTCTCTTAGAAATGATCCCTTCTTGATGCTTTTAATTGCTTCATATGACAATTGATGGACCAACTCCTCCATCAGTATATCAAAATTTGATGATGTTTTTAAATGTGAATTTCCTGTTGTTTGAAAACAATTTAAACCAAATATAAACTCTAAGGTGAAAACTTCTGGATTTAGATAATCTCTTATATCAAATGTATTTGGTGAAGCGATTGAATTGGCACCATTTTGATATGGAACCCAATATTGATAACCTTCAATAGAGAAATTTCTGTTTAATAGCGGTAGATCTCGGATGTATTTTATAAATTTTAACGATTTCATTGAAAGATAATAAATTGAAAATAGTGTTGAGTCTGGTACTCTAAAAACTCTGGAGCTATTTATATACTGATATGCTGAAAATACAAGTTTTATTGGTACATCTTCAATTTTAATTAGAGTTGAATATAAATTATCAATTACCATTTGTAAGTTTTCTATAATTACATTGCCTTCATTGTTGATAGATGGGGCTTCACCTTTAAAGTAGTCTTGAATTAATAGTTCTATAATTGATAAAATTTTATACGGAGTCCTTTTGTTGGGTTGGTATCTTCCAAAATAGGGGCTATTTATTTTACCATAATCTGGGAATTTAAAAAGTTCGATAGAAGGATATCTACAAAGGTTTCGGTTGGTAATAGTATAGCTGGTCCAATTAGTTGCGAAATAATTTGTATTGTATAAAATTGGGTTGAATTCAATTTCTAAAAATAACTTTATTCTTTTCAATGATGCACTTTTAATTGATCTGATAAATACATTAGTCCAATGGTATAAATTCAATTGGTTAATTAAAATGTTTGGTGCACCTGGTGATACTATTGCTGAAATATGTGGTGATGACGCAGATAACAATGTCGTTGATGTTATAAACCTTAAAGAATAATAAAGTATTTGTGGGAAACTTTTAGTACCAGCAGCCAATGTGTTGATTACTTTAATTGCTCCTTCACAGTAATCATCACCTTTAACGGTTATTGACAGAACTCTTTCTTTTGATAAATGTGGACCTATTTCATCCAAGTTATTTATTTTGGATTGGATAGAGTTTAATTCATCAATTTCACAATTGTAAATAGCATTTAAAAGTGGTAGCGAATAAACTTTTCCTTGGTTTTGCAAATAGAAAAGAGGCTCCTTCTTTGATGATGCATAATTGACAATTTGTAAAGATGAAAATTTAAATTTGGTTTCGGGACTTCCACTGAATAGACCTTTGTTCTTTATAACTATATCAATGGCTTTGGTATCTGTTAAATAAAGATTGGGATATTCTATGACAATAGAATTTGAATTTATAATTTCTAGCCAACCTTTTGTAAACCTTGATTCTGGTATTGATTTAATTAATTTAGAAAATGCATCATTTCCTTTCGAGAGAAGTGACTCTAATCTACTCCTCACCATTTTATCGATAAAATCAACTGAAAACCACTGGTTTACATGTTCTAAACTCGCATAGTACTTCAAGTATGCGGTATCGAGATGTAATAATTCTGCTTTTTTACTGAATTCTCTTATACCTTTATATTTGACTGTCTTGATATCGTCACTGTAAATGCCCCTCCAGTCACCTTTATTAGTTTCCAAAAATAATTGTAAGTTGTTTAAATTTAGAAGCAAATAAGACTTTAGTTCTATTTCCCTGTACTTTGAGACAAAATTTTGAAATAAAAAGGCATCCATATTTTTTATAAGTTGTATTATTTTTAAAACTCTGTCTTTTCCGTTGTTATTGGCTATTATCGTTTTGATTTCATCTTTATGTGGCTCTAATTCTGGTGGAATTTTAAAATATCCAAGTTCTAATAAAAAATTTTGATTTTCTATTGATAAAATATTGAACAATAAATTTATTAAATTGATTTTTTCATTGTAATCAACTGGAAAATGGCAACTTTTTTCTGAAGCTTCATGTTCTGTTGATAACGAAAATGTTGGTAAATAAGGTGAGCGGGATGGTTTTGGTATGTTGGGACGAATTGTTGATGTTTCTAATGGAGCTGAATTAAAATATTTTGGATCACTTTGTATTAATTGAAGAACTCTATCTCTTTGAAACATATCGGAAATATTTAGTGCCAATTGAATGGTCTGATATTTATATTTATTATTATTATTATTATTATTATTATTATTATTATTATTATTATTATTATTATTATTTTCTTTTTCAAACTGATCTCTAGTTCTTTTTGATTTAATATTGCTATTTTTTGAAATGAATGCATCTAATAATAATTTTATTTGTTCTTTGGATGATTTTTTAAAAGCTAATTGTAATGTTGAGGGTAATACTTGGACGGAATAGGGCTTGTTTAAAACTATTTCTAGAAATCTTTCATTTAATTTATGAAGTGGCTTTAAAAATAAATTGCAGTTGTAACCAGTCTCGATACTTCGGTTTAATAATAATTTGAAAATTATTTCTTTATCTTCAAACTCTGCATCTAGCCAATTCTTTAAATAGCTGTGATTTAAATCTATATCTAAATCTACATATTCGTTTGCTTCTAATTTACACTTTAATAATTTGTATTGGCCCAGGCTTAGCATCCATTTCAATGAGACTATATCTTTAAATTTCTTTCTTTGGTCATATTTAATGTTATCGAGTTTACTATATTTCAACCAATCATTAATATGAATTTGTTTGATTATATAATTTAATAAAAATTTATTATGAAAAACTTTATAAAAAATGATTTCAAAATTATTATTATTATTATTATTACTATTACTATTATTATTGATATTGTTATTAATACTATAATCCATTTAAAAGAAAGTATCAAGAAATTGATTAAAACTAAAAAAAAAAAAAAAAAAATTGAATTTAAAAATATTTTTTTTTTTTTTTTTTTTTTTAAATTTAATTTTAAAAAAAAAATTTTTATTAAAAATTTTTTTTTTTTTATTCATTTTTTTTCAATAATAAATCATATAAACATCATACAATAATTAGTAAATAAAAAATATAAGCAAATACAATAATAATAGTAAATAAAAAATGGATTTTTTATATAAAATAAATCAGAATAGTTTTGAAGGTTTCAAAGAAGAGGAGTTTGACAATGAAAATTTAATTATAAAATTAGCAAGTATTTATTTCTTTATTACAAACGGTGTAGGCTCCAATAACCAAGATGAAATTATGTTAGCTAAATCCATTATAGGTTTCTGGGAGAGAGATCTAGGAAACCTCGACGTAAATAAAAAAACTGAGGAAGATATTTCTAAATTACCTAAACTTTTAAAATTTAAATTACATAATAGTAAAAACTTTATAAATAATTATAATGAAAAAATAAATGAAATAAATAATAAAATTCATCAATATTTTAATAATAGTACAGATAATTCTACTAATATAGATTTAAACACAACTTTTGGAAATTGGAATAATAATAGTAATAATAATATTAATAATAATTATCTCCATAGTTTAAATAACGATATAAATAATAAAACCATTGATAATAGTAACAACTATAGCTATATTTCACAAAAAAAAACTGAGGATTATAAACAAAATAGTCAATATAATAATCAACGTTTGTATAAAAAAAACCATACTAATATTAAAATGAATAGAACCATCAATAAAGGATACCGTAATAAGATAAATATTAACAAAAACAATAGCATGCTTAATATAAAAATAGTAATCAACAATGACAATAAACGTTACAGCAAAAGATCTATTAAGAAGTTCAACCGCAGATTTGTATTTTATGATGACAATTGTTAAGCTTTCTTTTTCCTGTTGTACTCATTAGAACTTGTATAGATTAAAAAAAAAAGTATAATGGAATATAGATTATTATAATAATACTAAATTAAATAAATAAAAAAACATATTTTTTCAAATAATTTGAACTTTTATCTGTTCAGATTATAATATTCTCCTATTTTATTTAAAATTTAAATTTATTTAATATTTTTTAATCGTATTATGGAGTTTAGTAAAAAATTATAATGAATCACACTATTTAAAAATATTTAAAAACAATTGCATCTAAAAATAAAAAAAAGAAAAGATAAATTTTGTTTCATTTTATTCATTTGCTGGAATGTTTGTATAAATTGTATAATCCGAAAAATACTTTTTTTCAAAAACTTCCTTATCAAGAGGATCGGTAAGATTTGTTAAGTGTCGTTCTTGAACATTGAAGGAGTTATCACATTTAATTTCTCTGTCAAATGCATATTGAATCTTCTCACCAATTTTACATGTTACATATATTTTACCTTTATCTGAGAGAGGAATAATTTATTTATTTTTATATGATTCAATTCTGAATTACATTTTATAATGGGGTGGTCTTTCTTCACCTTCTTTAAAATTAAATTTTTCTGTTCCTCCAAATATAATAATATCTACATCTTGGCTTGTTCTATTTTGGAACGCGATTGATGATTAACATACAAAGAAATAATGACTACAATAGCAACTTCAACAGTAATAAAAACAACAACACAAACCCCTTATAGTCTTCCTTAAAAAATTGAAATATCAACACTAGGCATCAAATATTTAAACAACTAAAAAAGAATTATATAATATACTATAATTTTGTAAAAAAAAATCAAATGTACAAACACTCAAAATTTAGGAATGGAACATATAATAATTATTTTCGTTTATATTAATTTTGGGTTTGAGATATTATTTGTCATATATTAATATAAAAATCAAAAGAATAAAGGTATTTTAGTACTAAAAAATAAAAAAATTAATATATCACACATGATGACTCTTTTTATTAATTAATTTTTGAAGTTGATAGAGGTGGCCTTTACATAAACCAAATAGCATGTTGTTTACTGATTTATTATTTCATTCTTTACTTTTGCTATCCATTTCTTTTTGATATAGATCAATAATTTCTTGAATGGTTTTATCTGAAAAAGTTGAAATTTTTAAATCAACCTTCAATTCATCATTTATTCTACTAAATATATCATAAAGTGTAAGAGAATCACCTAATAATAATTATAATAATTAATATCATATGATTAAAACAAAAAAATTATAAATTAAGTTAATAAAATTAATAATAATTAAATAATAATAAATACACACTATCAAGATCTTTTAATTTTAAACTACAATCTAAGGTTGGAAGTTCCAACTCTTGTTTTATTTTATTACTAATATAAGTTTGCATTGTGTTATTTTTGTTTTTATAATTTATATTATTGATTTAATACACTTATTTTATTATGAGGAATGTTTTATTTTTTTAAAAAAAATTTTGTTATGTATTTTTGAAAAAAAAAAATTATATTTTTAAAAAAAAAAAAAATAATATTAAAAATAATAATTAATATAATTAAAATAATTGTTGGGGATATCTTAATTAATCTTTTTTTTTTTCTGAAAAAATAAACCAATAAAAAAAAGGTAGTACCATAATTTAATGAATAACCATAATTCTATTTTTATTATATAATCGGCAAAAAATTGGTGGTTATTTTTTTTTTTTGAAAAGAAATTTATTAAAAAACAATAAATATATATATTAAAACCCCTAAATCTGACATTTTTATTAATGGGGAACAAAAGATTTTATTATTTTTTTTTAATTTAAATTTTTTTTTAAAAAAAACAAAATTTTTTTAAAAAATCCCCATTCAAAGATTTCATCATAATAAAAGAAGAACATGAGAAGGAAGTTTCAATTACAATTTTGATAATAATATAAATTTTTATTATAAATTCATAAAAAATATTGTAATATTTATAATTTGGTTTTTTAATAATATTTTTTTTTTTTTTAATAACATTTTTTGAAAAAGAAGTTGTAAACTGATTCCCTTTTGTTTTTGAATCTGGGAGTGTCTCTTCTTTTTGATTCTATCTTTGATATTTTTGGTGGTTTTTTTCCACCAAGTTTTTTTTTTTTTTTTATATATATAAAAAGATATCATATGGTGTTCAGATGCATTTTTAATTATTTGTTATTCATAAATTAGAAATAATAACATCGAGGGCAATGAATTATTAATTAAATAGTTAAAAAAAAAAAACTAATGCACAAAAATTAAAAATTAAAAAAATTAAAAAAACCCCAAGTTATCAAAAGACTTTTAACTGAAAACTCTACAACTATTTTATTAATTATTCCATATATTATTTATATTTATTCAAGCTATATCAATCTAGAAAAAACGTGGGTGCATGGTTTTCATTCAATAATACAAATTTTATATGGTTTGATATTGTCATTCTTTTCATTATATTCATTATATTCATTATTATTCATTACTTCAAAAAGTTAGAATTAAAACTTAATACCATTATTATTAGTTTTATTAATATCTTTTTTTTTTAATAGATAATAATTTAGATAAAAAATCATCATGTTTTTCATTAAAAATTACATTGGAATTCTTTTGGTCAGTTTCATTAATGTTATTAAATTACTACTCAGTCCGTATTCCATTTGGAATGGTTGAACTCTTATTGTTCACAATTGGGTTTATATTTTTAATTTATTTTTCATTTGGTTTACCATTATTAAAAACTAAATAAAACAGAATAAATAAAAAGAAATAATATTATATAATTAATTTTAAATTTATATATTTTATTTTTTTTTTTACTTATTATTATTTTTTATTACTATTTTAAATCAAAAAAAAAATCTTATATAAAAAAAAAAAAACAAAAAAAAAAAAAAATTTCACAAAAACTTTTTTAAGTTTTTTTTTTTTTGAATTTTGGAAATAAAATTTAAAAATAAAAATTTTAAAAAAAAAATTCTTGAAATGTGTATATAAGGGGTGTTTGGACAAAAAAAAATTAATAATTTTTGAATTAATAAAAACGAATTTATTTTTTATTTAAGGTTTTTTTTAATTTTTTCTAATTTTTTTTTTGAAGCTTTAAAATATCAAAAAAAAAATCAACAAAAATGCGAGCTTTATGCCACCTAAACTTTAATTTTTATTTTTATTTTTATTTTGAATTTTTTCATTTACAACAATAATAATAACAATAATAATCATATCAATAATAAAAATGTTAAATAATAAATTTATAAATTATTTTATATTATTATTATTATTATTATTTATTTCATTTAATAATTTAGTATTATCTAAACCTACATTAAAAAATGTTTCGAAACCCTACGGCACTTTTTATAAAAGTTATTTAGCAAAATATTACTGCGATTTTACAATAGATATTTTATGTATACCAACAGAAGCTGGAGATTCATGTGTTGGTTTAAAAATTGGAATTGATTCTACCCCAACATCTCTAATTCATAATAATATTTTCTCTAATGGTACAAAAAAAGTTATAACTTATTTATTTCAGTTTGATAAAGTAGGTAATTTTAATGTAGTCTTTAATGATGAACTTAATATACCGCTTCAGTGTATAGGTATGTATATTTCTAAAAAAAAAATAAAAAAAATAAAATAATAATAAAAAATAAACCAACTAATTTTATAATACAGCTCTTGATTTAAATCAAATATCATTCGATTTGATGGGCGATTATTACTTAGGATTGCAAAAAGTTGAAGCTCGATACAGAGTAAATGGATTGGATCCTTATATATCAATTGTAGATACCACCGCAGATATTCTAGGTTCACTATCAAGTTATTGTAGTTTTTATTTTGAATATAACTTTGGATTTTTTTATTGCGAAAGCTTACCAATAGATGTTCCATTCTCTCAAATACAATTGAAGTTGACAACACCAGCAGAAACTAAAACATTTCAATTAAATACACCAGGTATATAATATTATAAATATAAATAGTTGTTTTATACACAACACAACTTACTAATTCTTTTTATAAATACCATTCAAAAAATCACAACTATAGTTAAAGAAAAGTATACACTTTCTTTAAATAGTTCTTATCCAAACGAGCAAAATTTAGAAAACTACAATGCAATGGGTTATAATTACGGAGCGTTACTCTCATATAAATTAAAAGAACCATTAAATAAATTATTCCTCACTTCATTTTATAAAAGTAATATTATTGATATCAAAGAGCTTTCTACATTTGTTCCAGTCAGTTCTGATGAAACAGGTACAACTACAATACTTACACCAATAGAGAGGTTTGGAGAACTGAGTTACGATCTTTATTATCAATCACAATCAGAAATTACTAAAGCAACACCAAACACTCTAAAAACAAATTTTATTCAATGTATGTATAATCATTATTTTTAATATATATATTCAATAGTTTATAACTCAATTCTAATACTTTTATTAATTTAGATCCACTAATTAGTACACCAAATCCAACTAGAGTAGGAGATTATGATAATTTTTTACCTATTGTCACTTTTGGATTTTCAGACTCAACATTTAAAACTGATTTCACACCATTTACTTTCTCAATAATAAAAAATAGAGAGCTATCCTATTTTACTAGATTCCCATATGGCTATGTAAAATCATATTTAAGTCCACAATCATATGATTTCCAAGTTACCTCTTTAGTAAAACCTAAATATGAAATTGCAAGTGATTTAAAAATTAAATTTGGCCCAATTGTAGGAGGTTCATCTCAAGATATCAATTTTTCACCAATGAGTAATATTTTTGTTGTTATTTATAATCTAATAGTTTATATTTTTCTAACTTATTGGTTTTTCTTATTAATTAGATACAACATTTGTTTACGATTACAATCTCAAACCATCCATTTTAAAAACAGAAACCATTAGATTAGGAAATGAAAATTCATTAATAAGAATCACACTCAATACTGCATATGGGTTCAGTCATTTTATTTTAAAGGATCTCTATGGTGGCAGATTTTATGGAGCAGAAACTTTTGTTAGTGGTGATTTATATGGTATCGGTGTTTATGAATTCACAGTTTTAAACAACTATAATTCTTTCTTTGTATATGATCAAGTTTCTTCTGAAGGTATTTTCTTTTCAAATTCAATTATAACAAATATTGATGATGATGCTTTTAGATTTTATCAAATTCCACCATATGGTAAGTAATATTAGTTTTTTTTTTGAAAACAAATAGATAAGGAGTATCAATTAAAATTTTAATTTTTTTATATTATAGCTATCTATCAAATCAAAGATGTATCATTTTTATATAATGATATTGATGTTTTAAATCACAGATTATATAACGTTATGTACTTTGATTATTCTGGTAATATTCCAATAAATTCCTCATTCATTATGACTAATTTTGGTACTCAGTATCAATTCAATAAAGAAAGTCCTATATTTTATTCAAGTTGGAATGAAAGTATTAAAAAGTTTCAAATTATATTTTACATTGAAGCAAATACTGCTCCTGGACCTTACCAATTCAATTTGGTTAGTAGTTATGATGGTCAGTTTTTACATAGCTCTTCACTTGATACTCAACTAATAATTAAAAAAACCAGTAAGTGTTGTTTTTATTTTATTTAATTAAAAATAAATATTAATTATTTAATAAATTTATTTATTTATTTACAGAACTAGACTATCAAGGACCAATATTCAAAGAAATATCAAAAATCTTACCAGATACAGTTGATGGATCAAATGTTAAATATGGTGTACTTGGATGGACTGTTACAATCGAAGATCAAATCAACGGTTTTGATTATGGCTATATTGTTATCAAAGGTCAAATTGATAAATCATATTACAACATATCACTATCACCAGAAAAGAACATTAAATCCGGTAATTTAAATTTAGGTGTATATGATATTAAATTAAACATTTCATTCCCATGCATCACACAAAACTATGTTATCGACGAAGTAAAACTAACCGATAGAGCTGGTAGAGTTTCTTATTTCGGTATTTATGCAGAGGACTCCAAATATAAATCCATTTTCAATCCATTTTTAAATTATCTTCAAGATTCAACAATCAATAAAATTAATTTGCAATGCGGATTAAGCTCAGCCTCTTCAGACTCCACACCACCAGCACTTGTTTTCTTCAAATCATCAACATCACAAAATTCAAAAATAATTGATGTCGGTAAATCATCAAGAGTCATCACATTTGATTTCCAAGCATCAGATCCTGAAAGTGGTTTAAAAAATAACACATTCCCAATAGTCTATATTTCAAATTCAAATAATCAAATGATCGAATGTAACTCAGAGATTACATTATCAACTGAAACCAGTACAACATACAAGTGTACTATTGATTTACCAATTGCTTTCGGATATCCAGGTATGATAATATTTTCAGTATATGGTTTCATTAATAATAATGGACTATTCAGTGGCTATACAACTCAACTTTTAATCAATTCAAATTTTGATTATTTCGCAACTACTTCATTCAACTCAATCGAACCAGTACTTACAAGCACCAGTGAAATAACTGAAAAAGGTGGTAATTTATGGTTATACGGTAAAAGTCTTAGCAATACAGCTTCTGTTTATATTAAATACGATGACTCAACAAGTTTTATATCATTACAACCATCGACAAAATACTCGACAGCTATTTTAATACCAGGAATCAAACCAACAAATAAACCATACCAAATATATGTTAGTACAGGTTCAACTACTTCAAATATTATAAAAGTAACACCAATTGTATACGATTCCTATTTAGTTAATTGTAACGGCAATGGTATTCAACATATATCGACTTGTATTTGCAATAGCAAATGGACAACTATTAATGCAGATAGTCAATGTACAATACCAAATCACTATATATCATCATCAACACAAGTATCACCAACAACAGGTGGCGAAATTACACTTAATGGATGGTTCGGTGAATTAAATAACAATGCAGCACTCTTTATTGATAACAAATCATTACAATTTTCAATTATATCATCAGAATCAATCAAAACGACAATCGGCGCAGGTACTATTGGCCCAATAAAAGTCAATTTCACACAAAATACAATCACATGGAGCGGTATCATATATCCATATTATACCACAGAAAAAGAATGTTCATCTAAATGTCAAGAACATGGTATTTGTGATAAAACAACAGGTACATGCAAGTGTAATTTAGGATATACAGGTTTCGATTGTTCATCACCAATCAATAACAATAATCAAACAGAAACAGAAACCAATAACAATGGAACAGTTATTATTAAAAATCAAGATTTAGGGTATTCAATATTTATCGATTCAATTATAGAATTAGACATTAATAATCAACAAGTAACAACATTCAATTTATCAAACAACTGGATATTAGCAAACAAACTAGAATCAGTTACCACATTCAATCAAATAAGAGCTAATGAAGATAGTACCAATGCAACAATTAAATTAATAATTGAAGAAGTAAACGACAAAGATAAAGATTTCACATTTGCAGGTAATCAATTCACAGTTACAAAAGGAGGATTCAAATTATCATTATCAATTTCAAACTGGTTATTCAAAAGTAATCTCAATACATTACAAGTACTTATGACATCTGATATACAAATCGACGGCCAAAACAAATGCAATAGAGATAATAAAGAAGCAACTCTTGAATCATCATCAAATAATAACTATTTATTAAACAATATAAACTATTTAAAAGTTATTAAAAACAATAGAATACTTTATGCAAGATTCCAAGATAAAATGTTATCAGATAATAGACCAACAACAATTGTAGCAAATGTAGTTTCAAATGATAAAAAATCAATTAAAATTGTATTAAACTTACCACATTGCGATGAATGTTTAATCGATCCAGGTATATATAATTTAAAAAAAAATTTAATATATTAAAACATAATTTTTATTGACTTTAATTTTTGTAATTTAGATTTTTCATTATTAGTTTCATCAGATTATAATTTTGAATGTAAAGATTCAAGAAAGTGGGTAATCGCCGTTGCAGTCTCAGTGAGTGTTGTTGGATTTGCAGTTTTACTAGTAGCACTTTATTTTGTTTTTAAAAAGAGTACAGTTCTAAAAATCCAACTTTATAAATTTAAAAAACAATTAAAAAATAATAATTAAAACAATAAATAATAAAAAAATAATAATAAAATCTTTTTAAAAATAGAATTAACTAATTTTCTCAAACTATAAAATTAAATATAATATTTTTTATTTAGCTGATTTAAAAACTGGTGTAAGACCAGATGGTAATGTTTCATTGCCAATAGATTGATTAAAATCGGTTCCTAAATTTAAATAGGTTAATGTACTTGGGAAAATATTTGATTCGATTAATGGTTGTTGATTATTATTAAAACCATTAATAAAAGTAAGAGATGTTAAACTTGGTGGTAAATGGTTTGGTTTTAATTGATAATTTGGTGAGACTGAAATATTTAATTCTTTAAGTCCCTTTGGTAATTCTTTTTCAATTGAGAAACCCTGTTCAATGGTTAACTTTTGTAAATTGCTTGGTAATACTTCGAGATCTAAATCAATTGAACCGCTATAATCACATACAACTAATTCTTCCAAAGATTCTGGCAAAACTTCTTTACTTTCAATAGTTTGACCCTTTCTAAGTGTGCATTGAAGAGTTAATTTTTTTAAACCCTTTGGGAAGGTATTTTTATCCATTTTATTGAAATATTCGAATAAATATAACTCTGTAAGTGATTCTGGGAATTTTGTAATATATCCATCATAGCAAAAAACGGTTAATGATTTTAAGTTTGGTGTATTATTAAACATTGATTCACTAACAGAAGTTGGATATGTGGAAATTTCGATGGACTTTAACCATGATGGAATGGTTTTAATAAAGCATTTGTCACAGACCAATGACTCGATATTCTTTGGTAAAAGTAATTCTAAACTACCCTCTTTATCTTCATTAAAGCTTTCTATCTCGACTTTTTTTAAACTTTCTTTTTTTTCAAATTCTAATAATTCCGTAATTGACTTAAATTTTTTAAATTCCATTTTATTTGTGTGTATATATAAATAAATTAGTAAAAATAAATTAAAAATAAAAAAAATATGAACTTTAAATACAAAAAAAAAAAAAAAAAAAAATTTCCGACCTGATTTTTCGAAAAAAATATAAAATTTTCGAGTTTTTTAACTTTTTTTGATTTTTCCCAAATTATTTTAATTTTGGGTGGTATCCAAGAATTATTAATAAAAAAAAAAAAAGTTGTTAAATTGATTAATAAAATGGAAAAAAAAATAAAATTTATTTTTTTTTTTTTTAATTTGGAGTACCAGTGATGGTATAGCTTTTACCACTTGATAAACTCTTTAGCATTGTATCTCTGAATTTTCTTTGAACAAAAGCTTGTTCATTAGATTTTGATGACATGGTTTGTTCACTAATGGCCACATGAGCAACAGTTGATTTACCAGATATTCCATTAACTTGGGCTTGGATATTGTGGAATCTTTGACCTCCACTTGTAAAAACACCTTGCATATCAATTCTAATTGATCCATAGTTAGCAATGGTACCTTGGTTATTATAAAATATTTTTGAATATACAATTAAAGCAATAGCTTCAGATGCATCTATAAAAAATAATAAAAAAAAAAAAAACTTAGTAATTCAAAACCACATCACACCCATTCAATTTATATTAAATAAATACCTTTCTTTTGTCTTGATGACATGCCAGTGTAGACATTTGGTATGGTGCTTCCTTGTTGGATATTTAAGGAGGCATAGCAAGTTGAAATTGCCGAAAGAACAATTGTAAATAAAAGGAAAGCTTCTTTAAAATTCATTTTATTATAATTTTTATTAATTAATAAACAAAAAAAAGTTAATAATTATTTTTTAATTAAATTTTCCACCTTTATATTTTTTTAAAGGAGGAAAAATAATAAAATAAAATAAAATATAAAATGATTATAGTTACATTTTTATTATTAAATTAATCTATATTATAAAAAATAATTTAAGTGTTGGTATTTAAAAGGCCAAATTCAGCTTTGTGAATAGATTTATATGCAATATAAATTATTATTAATTAAAATTTAGAACCACTATAGGTTTAAAAGAAAAAGTATGAAACTTTAAAATAAAAAAAAAAAAAAATAAAGTTTACAGATAATAATAATAATTTGTAAGAAATTTTTATTTATTTTTATTTATTTTTTTTTTTTAAAGATTATTTATTTTTGATTATTTGTTAAAATATTAATTAATATTTTTTGGATCACTATTAAAGGGAATATTTATTTATTATATTCTTTTGCTTATTTTGGTTTTTTATCATTTGTTTTTTTTACTAATGATACTCCCATCTTGCAAGTTGGAATACAAAATACTACCACACCCCACACCAAAAGTAAATTCTTATAAAATCTATTTGGTTTTAATTGAGTGATGTTATTGATATTTAAAAATAATAAAATTAAGAGAATAATCTATAAAAATATTTAACACTTTCAAGACAAAATCTTTTCTATATCCCCTAACATATTCGAATATGTTGAAATTATGCTATTGGTGGTTTTGGTTATTATTTAACATATTATTATTTTTATTACCATTGTTATTATTTTATTTTTTGAGTGATAGCCTATTATATTTTTTTAATTTAAAAAATGAAATTAATAATAAAATAATATTAATTTTTAAAAAAAAGTAAACACATACAAACGTTTTTTTAAAATCATTTCTTTTAACTCGAGCTCTTTGCTTTTTAAATTTATTTCAGTACTATTTCCAAATTTGTCGTGGATTCTTTCTTCATTGTTTTTACACTTGTCACTCTCTTCATTGTTGTATAAAACATTTATTCCTATTTTTGAAGTTGATGGAATTATTGATTTACCTTTTACATAAATATTTTCTTGGTTCATTTTATTCTCGATTGATTTGTAATAGTTGTTCTCATTGTTTCTTGATGGTAACTGCCATATCATTTTATAGGAGTGAATTGAGGAAGATGATGATTCCTCACTACTTGCAACTGATTCATTTTTAGATTTTAAAACTATAATTCTATTTAAGTGATCAATCCATTGATTTAACCTATCTATTTGAAATTGAATATTCTCTGGGGTAAGAAGTTGCTTTTCTTTTTGTTCATTAATTCGACTCTCTTCTTTTTCAAATTCAATACTATCTATTTCCTCTTTTTCTTCCTCCTTTCTTATTTGGTTTAATAATTTTTGTTCATATTCATATTGTTGTTGCTGCCTTTTATTATATAATACCTGTTGCTGATAGTGGTGCTGTTGTTGTCTTTCCTCCTCTTGTTGGCTCCTTTGCTGCTTTAGTCTGTATTCATCCTCTAGTCGTTGATTTAATTCCATTTCATATCTTTGATTCTCTTTTTCTAATTCTTCTTCTTGTCCTCTTTTTCTCTTTCTTTCTAATTTCAATTTTTTTTTTTCCTCTTTTTCTTTTTTGATTCTCCTTTTCTCTTCTTCAATCTCTGCTTTAAGTTGGTCGAGTTCTATTTGTAGTTGAAGCTCTTTCTCTTGTTTTTCTTTCTCTATTCTTTCAGACTCTCTATCTCTATTTTCCTTTTCCAATCTTTCCTGCTCTTCTTGCTTCAGTTTCTCTTGTCTTTCCTTTTCTTTTTTTTCTCTTAATTTTAACTCTAATAGTTCCTTATTAAATTTTCTTTTTCTAATGTTTTCATTTGATAAATAGTTATTAAAGTTAAATTCTATTTCTAAATTATTGATAACCTGTTCTTTTCTGCCATCAACATAAACCAATTTTTTACTTTTTATCTTATTAAAGCATTCTAAGGAATCTTTAATATTGCTAAATTGAAATATTATATCGAATGTAATTATATCATTTTTTAAAATTTCTAAATTTCTAAAAATAAAAAGTTAATACGATTTGTTATATAATAATATAGTCATACAATTAAAAACTTACTTTATTTGACCGAAATAGCTCCAAATTGATTTGAATGAGTTTAATATTCTACTCTCATCATTGGACCCGCCACTACCCGAATAGTTTAAAAATATTAATTTTGGTAAGTTTTTTATTATTAATGTATCTGAAACATTATTACTATCATTATTTTTATTATTATTATTATTACTATTATTTATTTGATTATCTAAAACTATAAATTTAAAATTATTTTTTATTCCATAAAAACTTATAATTTTATTGTTTAGTTTTTCAAACAAATTGGGTGTTGATGATGATTCTGATAATTCTATTTTAAAAGTATAGATAATATTATTATTACTGTCACTATTATTTATAGTTTTTTCTATATTTATAAAATTATTAGAATTATTTTTATTATTAATATTTAATAATGAGATTATCATTTCTTTGACGTCCCATGATGATGGAATTTCATTATTATTATTACTACTGTTATTATTTGTTGAAAATAAAATTTCTTTACATATTAAATCTATTAATTTAAATTCTTTACATATTTTAATAACATTCATTGAATATATAAAATATATAATATTAAAATAATTTTATATTATTAGATTTAATAAACACACAATAAATGGTTACTTTGACAATGAAATATTTTTTAAAAAAAATAAGAAGTTTGTAATTTAAAATAAATATTAAAAAAAAAATTAAAAAAAAAAGAAAAAAAAAAAAATTAAAATTTTTTTTATTTTATTTTTTATTTATTTTTTCATACAAATAACATGTTTAAACAAATAAATAGACACATACTACACCCACACACCAAGTATAAATAAATTTATTTATATTTATTCAGATCCATTCACACTAAATATAGTGAATTGTTTTTTTATTATTTTTAAATTACAAACAAAAGTTATTTTTAAATATTTTTTTTTTGTTTTTAAATTAATTAAATATTTTTTTTATTATTTAGATATTTTAAAAATAAAATTAATTTGTCTTTTTTTTTTAATAAATAAATATTTATTTGTTCCATTTAATTCTTATTTTAGTTTGAGTTTATTTATTTATTAATTTCACCCATCATTCACACATCCACATTCAGTAGCATTAATATCACAATGAAAAAACAATTAATTTCATTTAATTTTAAATCTGCACTATTTTTAGTAATAATTATATTATTTTCAAATATTTTTTACGCACAATCATTAGAATTACAAATGTTTGATGTAAATATTGGTAACTGGGGTTTAATATCAGGAGATGAAGGCGAAGAAAGAATAATAACCAACTATTATTTGAATAACCATCAATCTGTATTATATAAAGTAATATTAAATGAACAGGACGATCATATGGCATTAATTCAAATAACTCATAATCAATTTATAAACTCTGGATACTATTCAGGTGAATACGAAAATGTAATAATCAAATCATACACTTTTATAAACAATACCCAAAATAATAGTATTATCTCAAATGTAAATAATAAAACCAATAATAATATGGCATTCAGTAACAATAGTAATGACAAAACCATTGAAATTTCAATTACAGATGTAACTCCTATTTCAATTAATTCGTGTTTCGAAAAAGAAATTTATTTTTCAATTTATTTAAATAATTATTTTTTTGGCGGTGATATTGAAATTTCGGTGGCTTCGCTTTACGATAAAAGTCAATGTTATGAAAAAATAAATAATAATAAAAAACTAAATACTTTTATAAAAAGATTTTGAAAGTATTTCAGAACCAAATTTAAATTTCCTTCTACTTCCTTTTTTAAATTTTTAAATTTTTTTTTTTTATTTAATTTTTTAAAATTTTTTTTGGTTTTATTTTTTTGTTGTTATATAAAAAACACCCACAAACAAAAAAAAAAAAAAATGGAATTAAATCATTCATTTTTTTTTTATAATATAAAACACATAATACACTAATAACAATATGAAGTCTATTCTTTTAAAAGAATTTGGAGGAGTTGAAAATTTAATTATAGGAGAAACAGAAAAACCAAAATTAAAAAATGATGAACTATTAATCCAAGTAAAAGTAATATATTTATATACATGTATAGTTTAAAACTGTAGTATACTAATTATAAATTTATTGTTTTAGTGTTATGCTCTTAATAGAGCAGATATTATTCAACGTAATGGTAAGTATCCTCCACCACCAGGCGATTCAGAAATTTTAGGTTTAGAAATTTCAGGTATTGTCGTTGAAGAAACTCAAACAAATGAAAAGAAATTCAAGGTAGGTGATAGAGTATTCGGGTTGGTTGGGGGCGGTGCCTATGGTGAATATTGCAGCATTGCAGCCAATCAAGCACTTCATATTCCAGAGCATCTTAGTTTTGAACAAGCAGCATCAATACCAGAAGCATGGTTAACAGCATATCAAGCATTACATTTACTATCAAATTTTAAAAAAGACGAATCTGTATTGATTCATGCCTCTGCCAGTGGTGTAGGTACAGCATTAATCCAATTGTGCAAGCTTGCAGGAATAACCACTATTATCGGAACCGTTGGAAGCGAAGATAAAGGTCAATTCATTAAACAACTTGGTGCAACACATGCTATTAATTATAAAACTCAAGATCCTTTCTTACCTGTAGTATTGGATATCACCTCCAATAAGGGTGTTAATGTCGTATTTGACTATGTAGGCCAACAATACTGGAATCAAAATTTAAAGGCACTTCAATTAGATGGGACAATGATCATTCAAGGTTTTCTATCTGGAGCCATTGTCACTCCTGGTGACATCCAACCCATCCTTAGCAAGCGTCTAACAATCAAAGGTAGTACTTTAAGAAATCGTGATAATCAATATAAAGGTAATCTCGTTTCTGAATTCGCAAAGCTCCTTCCCCAATTTGAATCTGGCCAATTAAAGCCAATCATCGATTCGGTATTTGATTATACTGAAATCCAAAAGGCTCATAAGTATTTAGAATCAAATCAAAATAAAGGAAAAGTTGTAATTAAAAGTTTTAATTATTAAATAGAAAGCCAATAAAAACTCTAGTGCTATATAAATAATACAATATTAGCAAAGTAAAATATTATATAAAATCATGGTTTGTTTTTATTTTGTTTTTTTAATTTCTTTTTTATTTTAAATGTTTTTGGGTGTTAATACAAAAATAAAGATAATATTTATTTATTTTATTTTAAAACTTGAATGTGACAAACTACAATATTGAACTTTTGTTATTATTATTATTATTTATTTATTATAATTTACTAATTTAATTATTGTTGTTTTCTTCGCTTAATCTTTCTCTTAATCTATTGTAGTGATCAATTGAAATTTTAGTATAGTCTGAAATATTTTCTGGATAAAAGTGTTTGAGTGATAAACCTAAACCAATGAGTGAGAGTGGAATGGCTCTAAAAGTTTTTGAACCTGAAAATAAAACAATTGGTAATACAGTTGAGAATGCAATACTTAAAATTGGATTCTTATTAAAAGTATCGGAAATTCTTTGTTGAGTCATTTGAGATTTTGGTGAATTGATATTGTCAACTGCAAATGTTGATACTTTTTTAATTGAAAAATCAGTAGCTTTACAAACAAACTATAATATAAGAATTGAATAAAAAAATAAATATTAATGAATTTTATTTGGTTTATTTATGATGATTGCTATGAATGATTGATCAAATGAGTGATTGATTGAATTATAACCATATTATTTAAATATTTACATTTTTAACATCAATAGTTGAATCTACAGTATTAATTACTGTTCTTGCAACTGGAGTAAATAATGTTTCATCATCTCTTGGTGTATTATTTTGGGTCATTTTTAATATTGTGTGTGGGTGAGTTTGGTTTAATGAAAAAAAATTATAAAAAAATTATAAAAAAAAATAAAAGAAAATGAAAATCAAATAAAAAAAAAAAATATTTTTTAATTTTTTTATTTTTTTCTTTTTTTTTTTTTTAATTAATTTTTTTTTTTTAAAACACTATTTTATTTTTGAAAATCAAGTTAGAATCTTTCATTACTTTTATAGAACCAAAAAATAATAGTGTATAAAATAGTAACAATGATTTCCTTATTTTGTAAATAATTTCAAGAAAAACAAAGTTACTTTCTTGTTGTTTTTGTCGATAATTAATTCATATGGTAATAATAAAAAAAAATTGAAAATAATAATAACAATGTATAAAATATATATATTTAGTAATAAAAAAATCAAATTATATTAAAATAATAGTTATAGATCTAAAAGAAAATTATAAAATGTTTTTTTTTTTTTTTTTTTCATATCAATTTAATTAAATTTATTTAATTGATTTAAATTTATAAAATAATAATTAGAAAATCATTTTTTTACACAATAATTGGTATCAATTTATCATTTTTATTATTTTCATTTTATTTTTTTTTATTTTTTTTATTTTTAATATTTTTTATAATACTTAAAATGAAAAGTTCAACAAATATTTCCCACCAAAGAGCTGAGGAAAATCCACACCATAAAACCCACTCTAAAAAAGGCCATTTTAAGGAATTCCCAAAAGAAGAGCCTCAACAAAAAGAAGAACTACCTCAACAAAAAGTAGAACTACCTCAACAAAAAGAAGAACCTAAACAAACATACTCGGAAAAGATTAAAGAATATCAAAATATCCAAGACTCGGATACATCAAAAACAAACATACCAGAAGAACAAATTACTGATACTCAACAAAGCACTATCGATGAAAAAGTCAATGTAGAAGAACCTGTTCAAAATACACAAGATACTCTCATATCTAACTATCCATCTGACATTCAAACTGAACCATCAGAGCAAAGAGAACCACAACAAGAGAAACCATGGTCTGAAAATCAAAATGTTGAACAATCACAAGAACAAAAGCCATATTTTGGATTAGAAAAAGAGAGAGAAAGATTACCACAAGTATCTGAAAATAAAGATAAATGGGAACAAACTGAACCATTGGTTCCTTCTGATCAAATGCAACAACAAAAATCATCAACTTTGTTTAGTCAACAACGAGAGAAAGAGGAAGAGGAAGAAGAAGAGGAAGAAGAAGAGGAAGAGGAAGAAGAAGAAGAAGAAGAAGAAGAAGAGGAAGAAGAAGAAGAAATTCTACCAACACAATCACAAACACTCTCACAACTACCAACACAATCCCAACCACAACCACAACTAGAAACAGAATTTCAACCACAATCACAATCAAACATTGAACAAATTAAAAATGAAGACATCCCATGTAAGCAAATATCCCAAGAAGAACCACCACAACAATATAAAACTGATATCAACTATGGTGAAGAGACTTACAAAGGTAACAATCGTTTAATTGGTCGTAGAGTATTGGTTTCTGGTGAAGAATTTGGTCGTGGTGTTGTAATTTCGTTTATTCGTGAAGGTGCTGATGTTTGCTTTAACTACCTACCAAATAGACAAAAGGAAGCTGATTCATTAAAAGAAATATTACATAAAGAACTTAAAGAGAATAATCGTAAATTAGAATTTATTCCAGGTGATCTTAAGAATGAGGGTTTTTGTAAAGAAATGGTCACTGAAGCTGAAAAAAAAATGGGTGGTTTAGATTGCCTAGTATTAACTGCTGGTAAACAAAGCGATATTTCAAATATATCTGACCTTAACCTTGAAAATTTCAGAGATACCTTTGAAATTAATCTCTTTTCAATGTTTAATATTGTAAAGTATGCTATCCCGGTCCTCTCAAAAGGCTCATCCATCATCCTTAACTCCTCAATGGAAATATTTAAACCATCTTCAAATCTTATTGATTACTCATGCTCTAAAGCAGCTGTTGCTTCGTTTACAAAGTCATTGGCCTTGCAACTCGCCCCCAAAGGTATCAGAGTAAACTCAATTGCACCTGGTAATATTGTAACTTCAAGACATCCATCCATTAACAAAAAAAATGAAATGAAGCATGTTGGTCAACCTGTTGAACTCTCTTCGCTATATGTCTTTTTATCATCAAATGAATCGTCATATTGCACCGGCAACATCTATCCAATTGCAGGTGGTAAAATATTTTAATCAACATCCTCAAATACACAATTTTAATAATAACTAGTTTCAAATAAAAAAAAAAATAAAATGAATTATAATCATCTTTTAGATGATGATTATTGTTTTAGTTAAAAAATAATAATAAAAACTTTATTTATTTCTTTGAAAATGCTTTTATTAATGGTGGAATCCTTCACCCTCCTCTTTAGATAGAGGTTTAACTAATGGGTGTTTTTCAAAGTATTCCAAACAACGTTTTATGTCATCAATAAGTAGAGATGCCATATCACGACTGAAACCATGACGGATTAAGACACGAGTGATGATCATAGACTCTGCATTTTTGGGGAGTGTATATGATGCTATTTGCCATCCACGAGTTTTCATTCTATCTGAAAGATCGAAGAGATTAAATTTGACTTTAGCGTCTTTCTTGAGAAGCCAGCAAACACCTGGAAGAGCACCTTTGCCATCATAAATTAAGTCAAAGATTCCCATCTTTTTAATTTCTTCCCCAATGTAAACACCATGGTCAATACAAGCTTGATGAATTGCTCTATACCCTTCACGACCGTGACGTATAAAGTTGTAGTATTGAGAAACTATTTGACCACCTGGACGCGAAAAGTTAAGAGAAAAAGTTGGCATGTTACCACCAAGATAATTAACATTGAAAATTAAATCTTTGTGGATATCTTCTTTGCCCCTCCAGATTACCCAACCTACACCCAATGGAGATAAACCATATTTATGACCTGATGCATTAATGGACTTTACACGTGGTAATCTAAAATCCCAAACTAAATCTGGTGTGATGAATGGTGCAACGAAACCACCGCTAGCGGCATCTACATGAATTGGGATATCTAAACCAGTTTCTTTGTGGTATTTATCTAATGCATCTGAAATGGCTCTAACATTTTCATACTGTAATGTAAAGGTTACACCTAGAGTTGGAACAACACCAATAGTATTCTCATCACAACGCTTGAGGACTTCTTCAGGTGACATTAGCAAACGGCCATTTTCCATTGGTATTTCTCTTAGCTCTATGTCGAAATACAAAACAAACTTATGCCAACAAATTTGAACTGGACCGGTGATTAAATTTGGTCTATCACATGGTTTACCTTCTTTTTTTCTTTGTTCTCTCCATTTCCATTTCAAAGCTAAGCCACCCAACATTGCTGCCTCACTTGAACCAGTTGTTGAACACCCAATTGTATTTGCTGAATCTGGGGAATTCCATAGATCGGCAATCATATGAACACATCTTGACTCTATTTCAGCAGTTTGTGGGTATTCATCCTAAAAATATAATTATTTAAAAATATTAATTAAAATAATTATTAAAATAAAAAAAAACTATGATTATAATAATATTTACCTTATCAATCATATTTTTATCAATACATTTGTCCATTAAAGTATGGATATTAATATCTACATCGGTTTGACAGAATGTTGCTAGATTTTGCTTTGCATTACCATCTAATAACAACTCGTCCAAAATTAAATTTTTTGAAAGATCTGGGTCTGTTGGATGATCATTAATTTTATATTTATTTATTGGATGGGTTGCACTTTTTTCAGCATATAAATCATAACATCTTTTATATTTATTTGAATTTCCTTTTTTTTCCTTAGTGTTTTCACTTTTTATTGAATGTAGTGACATATTATATTATTTATTATACTATTTACAATTAAAAAATAATATTAATAAAAATATATATAATAAATATGAAATTTAAATAATGTGTAAAAAAAAAAAATAAAAATAAAAATAAAAATAAAATAAAAGTTTAAATAAATAATAAATAAAAAAATTCTGTTGTGTGGTGTGAACTGTTTTTTACAAAATAATAATATTTACCCAATTCATTTTTCTATCTGCTAGTCTGTGTGTGTGTTGTTCAATTATTACAAATAATTTTTCATTATTTTTTTAATATTTTTCCCACCCACATAAATTTTTTATTTTTTTGCCCTCTTTTTCCCCCACAAAAAAAGATACACAATTATTTATGTTATAATAAAATAATTGTATCAATTTCAAACAAATATCAAAATTACAAAAAAGAAAATGCCAATTATATCCACATTATCAATTCAATTATTTTAAAATATAAGTTCAAAAATATTATTGTATTCATGTGCATAGTTTGCGGCAATATTATTAAGACCTATAATTTTTCAACCTCCTTTTTATTTTATTTTTTTTGTTAGAAACAAAATATTATAAATAAGTTCTTATAGAAATTAAAATAATTTATTTATACTTTATTTTTATAGTTTTTTTTTTTAAAAATTTTTTTATTTATAACATTAATAAACCACCAGGGGATTTATCACCTCCACCATTAGTTTCGATTCTAATAACTTGAAGAGCTTCGGGATTACCTTGTTTTATTTCAATACACCAGGTACCTTTATAGGAGAATGTTGCTGTTTCATTAGGTTGTAAAAATACGAAACCTCCAATATGTTCACTCATTCTTTTATGTGATTCTAATACAATTGTTTCTGTACTACTATTATTTTTTAATACCTAAAATTTTTAAACTATTAATAAAATATTATTTATAAAAACTATTATTCACTTAATAAACATTTATACATACAATATAACCAGTCATTTGGAACAATAAAAATTGGTCAGATGATGGGAATAATAAATAAAATAAATCGTTGTTATAGAGATAAACCTGTTCTTCATCCTCGTTGTAGTATGTATCTTGTTTATTTAAATCCTCTCCTTTAACCAAGCCATTGGTTGTCAATTTGTTTTCTGTTTTCAAAGTGTTTGTTGGTTTTTCTGAAGAGAATCCACCAGTAAAGAATTTGATAGCAGTATTTTTAATGGAACCTGCACCGTAAGGTCTAATACCATGACTTTTACCATTTTGACCATTAATGACAAACATGTAATCACGATTATTATAATGGTAACTAATCTTGTAAATTGGAATAAAAACAGTTCTATACTTAATACTTTCGAATTTTGAACTTGTTTCTACATTTGCAACAGTGTGAGCTTGGTAATCTTTTTTAAGTTTTGAATCATTGCCATAATTTTCAATCTTTTTGATTTTTTGTTCTGCTAAAAGCCATGCTGCTTCCCAATCCATCTTGTTAAGAACTTTTGGTTTCTCATCACCATTAAGATTTGCTTGAATATTTTGATTCTCTAATAAATATAATGTTTGTTTAACTGGTTGTTGTGATTGGGTCGATTGTTGTTGTTGAGTTTGTTGTAATTGTAATTGTTGTAATTGCATTTGTTGTTGGTAAATAAATTGTTGTTGTTCTAATTGTGTTCTAAACATTTGCTGTTGTTGAGCTTGTTGTAATTGTAGTTGAATTTGTTGTTGGAAGTGTATTACTGTAGATTGATTTAAAAATTGATCTGTTATTGCGTTATTTAATTGTGGATGATTTGAATGAAATGGTTCGCTAATATCCAAACGCCACTCATTAATTTCCTTTATATATTCGTATGGTGGTAGTTCATGACGATGGTAGCAATTGGTTTCAACTGGCCTTTCTGGTGAGTAAATTAAAACGTCACTATGTGTTTGAGAGTATGGGTTAGTTTCACCAAGATTCCATTCAATCTCTTCCTCCTCAACAGTTTTTTGAACTGATTGGCCTGTAGAACTATCTTTTTGTACCACTATCATATCTTGAGTCTGTTGTTTTAAATATCCAACCTTGCCACTATGAACTGAATGAACAACTACACTAAAAGCATAATATGGTACAAAATATTGCTCCATCTTTAAACTATGTTCTAATTTCTCTTTAAAATCAGCTGGTGCAAACCATAAAGATTTAAACCAATCTTGGAATATATTTATAGCTTTTGATGTTGATATTGTAAAAGGTAATAGAGCCAAACCACCTGGTTGGTTATGTGGTAAAAACATATTATTAATCAATTGACTATTATTAATAGTATTTGGTATTATATTATTATTACTATTTGAAATTTGAAAACTCGAATGTTGTGGTAAATATAAAGACTGTGGCCTTGATGTTGATGGTTGTTGAAATGATTGAGAATGTACAAGTTGTGATGGTGGTGGTAATTTTTTAAGTAAACTATTTTTATTATTTACTTTATAAGTATCTAAACTATTTTTAATATTATTATTATTATTATTAAATAATTCATTATTACTACTATTATTAATACTATTACTATTATTAAATATTTCATTATTACTATTAATAATACCATTGCTATTAACAACATTACTATTATTAATACCATTACTATTATTAAATATTTCATTATTATTAATACCATTGCTATTATTAATGAAATTGCTATTAACACCATTACTATTATTAATACCATTGCTATTATTAATGCTATTTGAATTATTACCAACATTGTTATTATCTATGTCGTAATTAGATGTTGATATTGTTGCGATACTGGAAACTGCTGAAATTTGTGTAACTTCTTCCGATAAATACTCTGATGAATTTGATGTACTTGACATAGCTGATGTAGTTGTTTTGATAGTAGTATTATTATCAACGATTGATGCAGATGTAAATGATGTTGGTAAAACTTTATTAAAAAATGATGACATCCAAGATGATGTTTTTTTTAATTCTACAACTGGTTGTCTTAAAGTTGGATCTTCATTTACATCACCAGTATTATATATAGTCTGCTCTTTTTTAAGTTGATTTTCATCCTCTTGATCCTGCTCTTCTTCTTGCTCCTCAACTTGTTGATCTTGATCTTCCTCTATTTGCTCTTCGAATGTTTCTTGGCCCTCTTCATAACTTTGCTCTTGTTGCTCCAGGTATGATGGGTTTTCATCCTCATCCAAAATTATAAAATCAGATACAACCTTTTCGAACTCTGGTGAAATTGTTGGATCAAATTCTTTAAATGAAACGTTGCTCTCTAAATTTCTGCTCAACTCTTCTGTATCTTCCATTGTTAATACAGGGACTATATCATCTGAATTTGATAAATCTATTATTGGTTCTTTTGTTGATAGGGTTGATTTTTTAACTAAAGGATTACCACTACTACTAGGGGTTCTATTTGCTGTGGTACTTGTTGATTTTGGATTAATAACACTACTTTGTGATTTTCTAACAAGCATTGGTGGTCTTTTTAATGAAGATGATGTTGAGGAGGATGAAAATGAAGATGTTGTACTGGTTGATTTTAATCTGCTAGAGCTGCTAGAGCTGCTACTACTTGGTACCGATGACGATACAGGTCTAGATGTAGTCTTTTTAACTTCTACACCCTCTGTATTAATAGTTGTACTGGTTGTTGAAGTACTAGATGCAGCAGTTCTTGATCTTGTTATTATTGTTGTTGTTTTTGTTGTTGTTGATAATGGTGCCCCCATTGTGCCTCTTCTAGTGCTTACACCTCCAATAACATTTGATGCTGGTGCAACTGGTTTATCTCCACTACTACTAACTGGTCTCCTTGATGCTGAACTACTACCACTACTATTATTGCTGATACCACTAGAAATAGAACTAGATGGAGTTCTTCTTATTTTATCATTATCCATTTTTATTAACTATTTAAATTATTGCTCAGTAAAAACCATAGTTTTTATGTTTGGTTTTTATTTTAATACAATGTTATAAATAAAATTTTTTATTTTTTTATTTATTTATTTATTTATTATTTAAATTATTTTTATTTATTATATTTTCTATTATTTATTTTTATAATAATTTTTATTTTATTATTGTATGGATATAAATAAATATTTAAAATACACACAATAAATTTATATTTTAAATTAATAGCTATAAGATGTGTAATAGTGTGTACCGCTTTAAAAAAAAATAATAAAAAAATACACAAAAATTTAAATTTAAAAAAATAAAAAAATAGAAAAAAATTAAAAAAAAAATAAAATTAAAAAAAATAAATAAAAAATCTTTTTTAAAGTAATAGATTAAAAAGGATATTTTAAATAAAATATAACAATATTAAACAAAAAAAAAAAAAAAATTGATTCATATTATCTGTTTATATTATAAATTTAATTTATTTTGGTTAGAGAAAATTATAAAAAATATTATAAAGTTTCCCATGGGACAAAGCTTAACTGTTTCAAATTTGTTCTCATAAATTTTAAAAATAGTTCTTATAAAGGGAATTTATTTTTTTATCCTTTTCCTCACACTTTATTATTTGAATTTAATACACATTAAAACAAATAAAAAAAAATATTTTAATATTATCTTTTGGTTTCAAAAAAGCTGATGATAAAAAAAAACCTATATAAGGTTATATTTTTAAGTATTAAAATATTATTTTTGTTTATATGACATTTAAACAATTAGATTTTGAAAATAATTTTAAATAATAATAATATTTTATATTAAATAATAAAATGAATATAAAGTTTACAATAAATAGTATTCAATACCATCGGTTTTTATTTTATTTTATTTTATTTTTTAATATGAATATAACTTGGAAATCATGTGTTTTGATTAATCAAAAGTAGCTATTTGAGAGTCATCTTCATCATCTAAAAATGTTGGTCCTGGGCCACTATTAACACTTGCCATATCCATTCTGGCTATATCGGATGAAGAGTCTGTAAATGGAACCACTCCTCTATAGTTTTCATTCATATTTCTAATATTACTACTATTATTATTATTACTATTACTATAATTGTTATTTGAAATACTATTTGGATTGGTACCATTGTTACCACCATTACTATTTTGATTTATATTTCGATTACTATAATAACCCCCATTGTTGTCATTAGTAAAGCCCCTACCATTGTTGCTATTGTTAAAATTTTGATTTATGTTTTGATTATTATTATTATTAATATTATTATTAATACTATTATTATTATTATTATTATTATTATTACTATTATTTGTATTATTATTTAGAATCTCGTTATCATGACTACTAAAACTGTTCAAAGGGTTAGAAGAGGGATGTTGAGATGGCATTCTTTGTTGCTGTTCTTGTTGTTGCATTTTTTGCATTTGTTGCACTTGTTGTTGTTGCATTTGTAGATACATTCGTTGTTGATACATTTGTTGCTGGTGTTGTTGCTGTTGCTGCTGCTGGTCATAGATTTGTTTCTGTTGTTGTTGATATAGATTATTTAAAATAAACTGTTGTTGAACCAATTGATTTTGTCTCATTACTTGTTGTTGTTGATGATTATTATAAATATGGTGAACTAATTCTTTGGGTAATTGTTGTTTTTGTTGGTATGCATATGAAAATCCACCAGTACGTGGTATATGATCAACCTCCTCAGTGTCACCTACATTTGTGTTATTTTGATTATTATTATTATTATTGCCATTATTTTCAAACAAATATGTATTATCATTCTCCATAACCCCACCACTACCGTTATTATTATTGTAACCATAATCATTATTATTATTAATATTATTATTATTATTATTATTATTATTAAATTGAGCAATGGTATATGTTATTAAAATTGAATAACTATGTTTTGTTACAAGTGATAGAGAAGGTTCAGATGGTCTATTTTCACCTGGAGGTGTATATCTTTGAATATTTACATATTCTTCATACTCCTCTCTTAAAAGTTCCCATGTAATACCTCTTTTTTCAAATTTACTGCTAATCTCTTCTATTTCTGCTTCAACTTTATTTGCAACCTGTAGTAATAATATTAATAAAATGTTAGTGCTTAACCTTCAAATGCATTTATAGAAACGGTGATCACCGTTACTTACTCTACTCTTCAAAAAATTTCGAGTTATGACGTGAGATACTGGGCCCATTGCTATTAAAAAGAAACCACCAAAAAATATAAATGGAGTTGATCCAAAACCAAAAGATTCAAATTTTGCAAATGTTGCAAATGTATATATCATCATTGCTGCACCTGCGATTGTTAGCAAATAAAGACCCAATAAATAATATTTGGGTTTGCTAAATTTTTCATTTAATTCTTCTATAATCGATTTAAACTCTGTATCACTTATATAAGGTTTTAATTTTTTGTTATAAGAATTATCAAACTCTCCAAATATTGATAAAAATCCAAAATCTTTTGATGATTCAACTTTTATTTCTCCATTCATTTTTAAAAATAGAGAAAAAAAAAAAAAACCAACTTTAAAAATAAATAAAAACAAAAAAACAAAAACAAATAAATAAAAAAAGAAAACTGTTTGTGTGTGTTTAAAAAAAAATATTATTTAATAAAAAAATAAAAATAAAAATAAAAAAAAAAAAAAAAAAAATCGTTTTTTTGTCTCAATATTTTAAGAATAAATTTGGTGAGGTTTTTTTGGTTTTGTTTTTTTTAATTTACATTAAATAACAATAATTAAAAAAATTAATTTTATTATTTTATCATATATTTTATTATATTTTTCATGCGTGATTGGATTTTTAGTTATTATAATACTGTTATATTTCTTGGATGCGTTTGTATAGTGTATTTTTTAAATTATAAATAAAAAGTATTTTTTAAATTATTATTATTATTGTTATTATTATTATTATTTAATATAATTTTAAAAGAGGTTGTTTTTTCTATTTTTTTTTTTTTTTTTTTTTTTTTTTTTTGATGTAAAAAAGTAATTTCAATTAAAATGGTTTATAATTTTGAATGAAATCTTTTTTTAAGGTTGTCGGCTAGTCAATTATTGAACTTTTGGTCATATGATGGATTGTATTGATTCATTCTAACAAAAGCTTCAATATCAGTTGGACGTGGGGTTAATTGAGCCATACCTTCTTCATAAGCTTTTTCGATAACTCTAACGGCGATTTTAGTTGAGATTTCACGAATGTGTTGGAGACCTGGGTAGATTTTACCAGTGACGACTTCACTGTCATCAACAAATTTGGATAAAGTTTTAGCGGCAGTGATGATCATAGCGTCAGTGACGTGTTTTGAACGGCAAAGATGAGCACCTAAACCAAGACCTGGGAAAATGTACATATTGTTACCTTGACCTGGAACAAAAGTATGGTTTTTATATTCGACTGGTTTGAATGGTGAACCTGAAGCGAAAATACAACGACCATCAGTCCATTGGTAAGCTTGTTCAGCAGTACATTCAGCATTGGTAGTTGGATTTGAAAGAGCGAAAATAATTGGTTTTTCGACGTGTTTTGACATTTCTTCAATGATTTCTTGGGTGAATGATGCACCAATACCTGAAAGACCAATGAGGGCAGTTGGTTTGACATCACGAACAACTTCTAATAAACTCTTTAATTGATAGTCGTAATCTTCACGAGCGTAGGCTCTCTTTTGTGGAGTTAAAGTGTCACCACGAGTGGTGGTAATGAGACCTTTAGAATCGACAAACCAGAAACTCTTTCTAGCTTGTTCTTTGCTAACACCAGCCTCTTCGAAAAGTGACATAATACAATCAGCAACACCAATACCAGCTGAACCGGCACCTAAAAAGACCATACGTTGTTCGGTGATTGGTTTTTGAACAGCACGAACGGAATTGATGAAACCTGAAAGAATGACTGAACCAGTACCTTGAATATCGTCATTGAAACATAAGAATTTATCTCTGTAGTCATCTAATAATTTGAAACAATGATCATTTGAGATATCTTCGAATTGAACTAAAACATTTGGCCATTTATCAAAAGCGGCTTGTAAAAATTCGTCGACTAATGGATAGTATTGATCATCAGCAACACGAGTGTGACGTTCACCTAAATAATATTTGTCTTCTAAATATTTCTTGGTGTTTGTACCAGCATCAATGATGACTGGAAGAGTACGGGTTGGGTGGAAACCGGCACCAGCAACGTAAAGTTGTAATTTACCGACTGGGATACCCATACCATTGGTACCAAGATCACCTAAACCTAAAATACGACTACCATCACTGACAACAATAATATCTACACCATCAGCTGGCCAGTTATCCATCATTGAACGAATACTACCTTTATCTTGAGTGGCAAAGTACATACCTTGAGCGAAACGGAATTCATTGCCAAACTTTTGACATGCTTCACCTACAGTTGGTGTATAGATAATTGGGAACATTAATTCTAAATTATTCATTAATAAATAATAGAATAAAGTTTCATTACGATCACGTAAACAATTTAAGAAAATATATTTTTCTAAATTATTTGTGAATGATGTAAATTGTGATAAAGCACGGTCTGATTGTTCTTGTAAAGTTTCAACTTTTGGTGGTAATAAACCTTTTAAAGCTAATTTATTTCTTTCTTCATCATTGAAACCAGTACCTATTTTAAAAAAAAAATAAAAAAAAATAATGTTTAATAATTTGACCAAAGGTTTATTTTATTAAATTTTTGAAAAAGATTTTTATTTTAATTTTGATTTTTTTTTGATTTTGATTTTTGATTTTTTTTGAATTTTTTGCAATGCAATAGAAAAAGATTTATTTAGAAATTTATGATTGTGTGTATATTTTTAGAGAGTGTGAAGTGTGTGTTATTATATCCCCATTAAATTAGATTTTGATTTATTCATTTTACAAATATTATTTTCGAAAAATTTATTTTTAAATTTAAAAATATTATCGTAATTACTATTATTATTTTTTTTATTTTGTAATCGGTAAATTTCGAAATTTCATAAACTAATTTACTTTATTGTTTATTTAATTTATTATTATTTATTTTTCGGTATTGTGGAATTATGAAATTTAAAATTTTTTTTTTTTTTTTTTTTTTAAATTTTTTTTTTTTTTTTTGTGTGATTAGTGATGTGTTTTATATTTACCTTTATTGGCTGATGGATTTCTTAAAACAAAAGATGGTTTGTTTTGCATTTTATATAACTATATATAATAAAGATAATTAAATTAGAATTTATAGAAATTAATTTAAATATTGAAATTTCACAATATTTGATAAAGAGAAGAAAATATGTGTATTTGTTTATACCTTCAATCAATATTGAACGAGTGCATAAAAAAAAATTGAAAAAAAAAAAAATTAAATAAAAATAAAAAAAAATAAATATAAAAAAAAAAAAAAAAAAAAAAAAAAATAAATATAAAAAAAAAAAAAAAATAAAAAAAATTATGAAAATCCCAATACGAAAAAAAAAAAAATATTTAAAAATACAGGCTTTGTATATTTTTCTATGATTTTGATTCTAAAAACCAGTCGCTATGACAAAAAAAGAGACAATGGGTGTGGCTTTGGAAAAAAAAAAAACAATGGGTGGTCATGCGAATTGTGTGTGAAAGTGTTGCTTTACCTTTTATATTTACCTTTTTTTTTTTATATGTTGTAATGTATTAAACAAAAAATAATTTAAAAATAAATTAATTGCATTTTCGAAAAAAAAAAAATAAAAAAAAAAAAAAAATAATTATTTATATTTTAATTTTTAATTAAATTAAAATATGAATATAAATTAAATTAAAATAAATAAAAAATTAAATAAAATTCAAATAAAAATTCTTGTTTACTACTACTACGAGTTCCCACATACACACCTAATAGCTTTGTTTTTTTTTTTTTTTTTTCTAATTTTGGTTATTATTATATTTTTTAAATTAAATTTAATTTAATTTTATTATTGGAACTTTATAATTAAAATAATTATAAATCTATAGATTTTTATATATATATATATAAACAAATTCAAACAAATTCTTTTCTATTACATGAAAAAAAATCGAAAATCTTTAAATAAAAATGATAATAAGAAAATAAATAGTGTGGGTTTTTAAATTATTATAAACGAGTTTTTTTTATTCTTTTATAGTCTATATAATAGTAGAGTTTATTGTAAAAAAGGAAATTAGTTGCAAGAAAAAACATTCAGCACAAAAACCCACGGGATTAAATAAAGTTTCTGATTATTACTGTTAATTATTATCCTTGTTGGTGAAAATATAGCGGAGAATAGTCTATTGGTTTTATTTATATTGTCGGTCATTGGTTATTATTAGTATTATTATTAATTGACCTATTATTATTAATAAAATTATTAATAGTAATATTATCATTATTATTATAATGATTATTATTTTATTATTATTAATTATAAATTGGTTTACAAATTATTTATTTACTGATTTAATTTGGATATTTCTATTTAAAAGTGCAGAGTTATAAATCGAAGGAGGCGGAAATGGTGGAGGTGGAACGTATACCTTAATAGTGGGTGATGATGATGAAGGTGATGACTTGTGCGTTATCGAATCAGTTTTATATTTTTTGCTGGGGTCATTAAGGCTAGAATCATATTCTGAGCCACTTAAATACCTTTTATTGTTTATGTTCATTTGGTGTTGCCCTTTTTCTAGAGAGTAGTCTGGTATTGCAATAAAAGTTTGTGATGTTGTGTTTTTCATTATTATTATTATTGTTGTTGTAGAATATATTATCTATATCTATAAATTGGGTGATAATCTTTTTTATATTTATTTTCTTTTATTTTTTTCGCTCTGTCAATTTATACTACTATTGTTATATTATAAAGGAGCATTTATTTTAAATATATATTATTTATTATAAGGAAGAAAAAATAAAAAAAAGTTACTAAAATTTTTTTTTTTTTGAAAAAAAAAAAACAAAAACAAAAAAGATTATATATTTAATATAGTTATTTATACATAATAGTTATTAGTGGGGTATATAAATAGTTAGTTTTTTATTTTATAAAAGTTTTTTTAAACATTTATTACTATTTTTTATTTAAAATAAAAAAAAAAAAAGGAAAATATAAAATATAAAAAATAAAAAATAAAAAATAAAAATAAAAAATAAAAAATAAAAAAAAAAATGAAAAATAAAAAATAATTATTTTCAAGTTATTTAAAAAAAAAAAAACATTTAAAAAAGAATTAATAACAGTTAAAATAATGGTTGTTAATTAAAAGATGTTTTAATAAAATAAAAAGAATAGTTTGTAGAAATAAAAAAAAAACGGTGTGAATTTTAATATATATTTTATTAAATAATAATTGGGGTTTAAAGTGAATTCATTTTGTTTGATAAATTTTTTTGGAAGATTTTGTTTTTATATTTTGAATGTAATACACCCGAAACACCAGCTATTAATGCAACACCACCTACAGCACAAACTGAAGCAATAACAGGTACTTTCCATTTATTTTCGCATTTATTATCTGAAGAAGTTCTAATTATTGAATTGAATGATGGATCTAAAACAACTCTTTGTGAAAAAAATGGTGTGTTAATTGAGGTTAATCTATTATAGTATTCGTCATCTAATGGTCCTTGATCCGCATCGACGGATGATTCATCGTTATTGCCACTGGTATTGAGTAGAAGGTAAAGTGGATCGTCAATTGGTAATACCGAAACTTCAGATTTTCTTACAGTGTCATCAACAAACATACGTCTAGAGAATTTGGCATCCATAACTGATCCACCAGAAACTAATTGGAACCAGCTTACAGATTCATTGGTACTGCCTCCAGAGTTACTTGAAGCTTGATAAACATTGCAACCATCATCGTAATATTTCTTTGTTTTTGAATTATAAATAACTTGAAGAGTGTTTAAAGGTGATTCGAATTGCCAGTTTGAAATGGTAATTACATATTTAATTGAATTTGAAGGAATTGAGACAATATCTCCTGCAAAATCGTATTCGTATGCATCTTTGTAGTAGGTGACATCTAATTCGATTGTGGCTGTATCATTTTCAAAAGTACCTTTATAGTATGAATCAGTGCTGTTGCTTTTAGTTTTATTGTTCCATTGAACATTTGACATTGAAAGAGTTTTAACTGCACTGGAGGAAATGTCTAATTCCCTAAGGTAAACTATAGAAACTGTAAAATTAAGTGTACCGCCACTGATAATTGAGTTGCCGTTGCCGTCTACAATTGGTGGTGGTAATGGTTTTTGTTTTGGAATTGAACAGTCAATACCATCAAAGCCTTCTTTACAGGCACAGTTACCATTAATTGGATTACAAACACCTTGATCAGAGGAGCAGTTATTTGGGCACTTTAATGGTTCGTAATAATAGAATACTTGATTTTTACCAATCATGTTATTAGATAAAATTGAAATTGTTAAAGAAGTTTGATCTTGGTTTGGTGGGACACTTGCGTCGTAAAAACATCTAATATGATTATTATCTATTGCTACCGGATTAGCACATGAAACATTTGAAACATAAACTTCTAAACTATTTGATAAAAAGCTTTCTGCTGTGATTGTGATATTTCCTGGTGCATTGTAATAAAGTGATGTTGATTTAATAACTTTAGGTTCTTGGAATGAAAAGGTTATATTATTTGATGAGTATGGTGTAGAGTTATCGGTTTTAATCAATAATAATTTAGCATTTCCATAACCATTGAAACCTTTACATGAGGCTGATTCACCGTTAATATAAGTGCATTCTAATATTGAACGGGTGTTTGGAGCAGAGTCTAATACATAGCTAAATGAAAGATCAACTTGACTGTTGGTTTGATAGTTTTTGTTTGAAAAATAAAGACCATTAATTGTTACAACTGAAGATCCATCAAGATATGGTTTAAATGATAATGACTTAATAATTGGGGTGAAGAATATTGGGAGAGTATTGGATAGTTGACCTGAAACATTTAAAAATATTTGACCATTTGAGGTTTTGCCATCGACAGTGATTATTAATGATTTACGATCTTGTGAAATAGATGGTGTGATTTCTAAGTCATTTAAAATAACTGTGTTTAATGATACTTGGTCAATGCTAAACTGTTGAGCTTGGATTGAAAATTGATTTTCATTAATTTGAGTAAACCCTGTAATAGAAGGTGGGGCAAATGAATATTGAACTTGATTTGAGATTCCACTATTTGATTGTGCAACAAAATAATGGTTTTTACCAGATCCACTAATGCTTTTAGCGATAATTGTTGTTCCGTCGATTTGAGAAATAGATAGTTGATCGATACCATCTGATAAAAGTTTGAAGTTGTTATTTGAATTGGTGATTGGGTCTACAGTTTCGAAAAATCTACCGGAAATCGTAATAGTTTCACCACCAGCAGTATCTAATATTGGGGTGCTAAGTGAGATAATATAAGGTTTGAAATAAAATGTAAAACTGTTTGCTTTGGTAAGTTTATTGGAAACCTCTATTTTACCACTAAGAATATAAAGAGGGATAGTGCTACAGACAATCTCGGTATCACTATTAATATTACAGTTTGGTGTAAGTTCTTGGGTAGAGATAAATATAGTGGTGGTGGTGATATCGTATGAGAAACCAATACCAATAATAGTAATGGTATCGTCAATTTGATTTACATCTGTAACTTGGAGAGGCTCCAAATATTTAAATGCTTGGTTTTGACCAATACTTCCATTAACATTTACAATTACATTAAAATATGGGTCAGTTGGTAATGGTTTTGGTAAAGTTGATGCAAATTGACATGTAAGTTCTGTTATTGATTTAACAACAGGATTTGTACATTCTAAATCATTATTTTTTGAATCTTGGATATGAACTGTAACTGGGGTAGAAAATTGATCACCAATAATTGTAACTGTGCTGGCTATATTATAAGTTGTACTTGTTACAGTGATAACTTTTGGATATTGGTATGATGAGCTGATTACATTTGAATTTATTCCATCAATGGTTAAAAATGAATTAAAAGAACCTGACCCACTTGGTATCATACAGCTATATTTATAGTCGATATTGGTTGTTGGAGCAGAAATTAAGTTACATGTTGTTTGTCCTTTGCTAGTATCTAATACAAAGCTTAACGGGTTATCGTCCGATTTTTGATTGCTCATAAAGGTACCGGCAACTGTTACCAAACCCCCTGAAACTGGTGGGCTTGAAATTGAGGTTAATCCTGGTGTAAGTTTAAAATCAATTGAAGCTCGCTGGCCACTAACAATGATAGCTAATGGACCATTTTGTTGAGTATATGGGATTGTTAAAGATATTGTGGTATGTGGGGTGGTGAGACTTGCTGTTTGAATTGCATTTGAACCAATTGTAATAGTGGTGGTTAATAGATCTTGACCCAAATTGGTACCTTTAATTAAAAGATTGGTGCTCGTTTGGGTGTAACTAGTAATGGTTGGTGGTAAATAAGAGAAGCCAATCGAGTTTGAAACAAATGATGTTTGCTTAAGGGCTAATAAATGGTCTCTTCCTTTACCCGATGGAATTGTAAATTCTATTATGCTTGAGCTTTTTAATGTGAATGTGGTAAAAGTTTGAGCACTGTTATCGAAAATAATTGAAAGTGTTTGTGATGGTTGCCCAACAGCCAATTCAAAATATTTACCAGTTATTGTAATTTTTTCACCAGTGGTTGGAAATAAATTATTTGAAATGCTGTCGATAATTGGAGTAAAAACAAATGGATAGCTTGAAATTGTTCCACCAGTTATAGTTACAGTACCACTTGGAATGTTGGGTAAGTTTGAGCATGTAATTAGTGAGGAGTTTGTCACTGTGCAGTAAGTTGAAATATCATTTAAACCTATAGTGATTTTTGAAAATGTTGTAAATAAATCTCCATATAAATATAGAATATCACCTTGTTGAATAATGTTGCTAAAAGTTTCTGAGATGTAGAAAAATTTTCCAGGAGAGTTACCATTTGGTGTGGATACAACGATATCTAGACCATCTGCTTGTGGAGGGACATCTGCACTGAAAGTACATGTGATTTTTGTTGAGTCTACGAATTGGGGATTTGTGCATGATTTAGAACCAATAGTAACACTAATAGTACCTGGCAAAAAACCTTCACCAGTAAGTGTTATAATGCCTGCTACACCATATGTTAATCTAGTGGATGAGTATAAGATTTGGCTTATATATGGAACGCTGATAGTTTCGGTTAATTTGTAACCGATCTCGAGTTTTACCATTAACGTTCCACTACCTGCTGGGGAGTTACAAATTAAAGTTGTGGGACTAATTGTGGGACATTGTGTACTTGTAAAGAAATTGCTATTATAATATAATTTCCAAGATACGGGCGTTCCTTGGTAATTAGTATCTGATAAGAAGGAACCTTTAATTGTAATTTGACCACCCTTGGCTGGAGGTGAACTGACTGAAGTAATGTGAGATGGGATTGATAAAATACCAGTTGGGGAAATTTGATTATTAACCTCTAGGTCGATAAATTGGCAGACTTTATTATTAAATAACGCTGAATCGAAGTAAACTGAAATTTTTGTATGTGGTTCGACCAATTGGATCTCCTCGGAAACTATACTGCATAAAGATACTTTCAAAAGATTCTGGTATGCTCCAAAATTTTCACCCACAATAGTAACGTAGCTATTGCTTTCATCATAAACTACCGAGGAAATCGATGGGCTCATGTACATAATATTAACAAAAGTTGATGCATTTACTATAGATCTAGCATACATAGGATTGTCCAATCTACCTGGAGTATAACCGGTGCCATCCGGAATTTGAACAGCAATACTGGTACTATTCGTGACTGTATAACTTGAAACTGGCATTGCTTCTCCTCTAAAAAATAGTTGAAAACTATTGCTTTTGGCTTTTAAAAATTTTTGTTATTAATAATGAAAATATAATAAATAAAATTTATTAATTTATATTTACAATCAAATCTATTCAAATCAAAATATCTTCCATATAGAATAGCATTACCTCCAGTTGTTGGAATTCTATTGTATGATGTAGAATAGTATGAACCTATATAAGGCTAAAAAAAATTTGTTAGTATAATAATTTATTAAAAATAAAAATATTATAAACTTACCGTAAAATCATAACTTTTGATTATTTCAAAACCATTAAAAATAGTTTTAATATCTCCAGATTTAATGGCATTATTTACAGGTAAATCTTTACACTGAACACCTTTTAAAATTGGAACACCCACAGGGTCTTCAATATAGATACAATATGATGATATTTCATAGTCATTTACAAATATTTGAAAAATAGTATTTGAATCTATATTGTATACATAAAAAATTAGACTGTTGATAAAATTACTTATTTGATTTATTACCGGGTTTTGAGTATTTACTAAAAAAATAAATGATAGAGTAAGTATAAGATTTTTATGGAACAATTTAATATTTTAGAAAAAAAAATTTATTGAACACACCCAAATTTCTGCTGTTTAAAAAAATTAATAAAAATACAGCAAGAAAAAATGATTTTAATTTCATTTTATTTTTAATATTATTATTATTACCAAATAAATATTTTAACGATACAAAATTTTTATTTTTATTTTTATTATTATTATTATTATTATTATTATTATTATTATTATTATTATTATTATTATTATTATTATTATTATTATTATTATTATTATTATTATTATTATTATTATTATTATTATTATTTATTTAGTTGTAATGATAACATTTAATTTTACAATATAAAATTTAATTTTTTTTTTTTTTTTTTTTTTTTTTTTTATTCTTTATTTTTTTTTAGATGGTTTTAAAAAAAAAAAAAAAATCATGACAGGAAATGCATATTGCGAAATATTTTTTTTTTGTTGGCAGTTGCCCAGAACTTTTTATAGTCCGATGAATTGGACATAAAAAAACTGTATTTTTAAATACCAATTTTTGATAGTCATTTTTTTTTTTTTTTTTTTTTTTTTTTTTTTTATTTATTTTTTTAGATTCGAAGATATTTGCCAAAAATTTTGCACATAATCTTTGTTTTTTATCACCAAAATTTTTTTTTAATTTTTTTTAATTTTTTTAATTATTTTTTCTGATTTGAATTTTTTTATGCGCAATAAAGATATTTATTTAAATTTTTTGAGAGTGGCCCAATTTCCTAAAAAAATTAAATAGCTCATTTTTTTTTTTCTATTGTGTTTGTTAATGTGTGTAAAAAAAAAAAATTAGTGTGTAATGTTATTTAAAAGTCGGAAAATTTTGAATAAAAAAAAAAAAATTTCAAGTGGTCGAAATATAAAATATAAAAAAAAAATAAGTTTTATAATTACATCACATCCCTTTTTTTGGAAGCACGAACCCGTTTAATAGGCAAAAATAAAAGAAAATCAGTTATTTATATCCAAACTGATTTTATTTTAAGTTTATATAATTTATTAGATTGTTAATTTTTATTTATTTATAAATAACATATAGTTATAATTATAATTTAATTCTTTTTAGCTATAGCAGAGGATGATCGTTAATGTATTTTTTTCATTAAATACTTATTTTGTTATAAGCAAGTTTTTTTTTAAAAAAATAATTAAACAGTTATATTTTAAAAAATAATATATCAATAAAAATTGTTTATAGTTGTAATAATATCTTTATTATTGCCAGCTGTTGAATCACCAAAAATAATGTTGGTTCTTAGTTTATAGTTCTGATATGAAAAGATAGAGTATGTAAATTTGGTGGTAAAACTTTTAATTTATTATTATTATTATTATTATTATAATTAGTATTAATATTATTATTTTGATTTTTATCTACTATAATTTCAAATTGGGTTCTTAAAGCATTTAGTGAGAATTGAATATTTTTTTATTGATGCTGGGAATTCTATTTGATCTAAGAAATCTAATAATTCTTCTTCGTTGGAAATTCGTACATTTAATCTTGGGTAATATGAAATGAATGGTATTTCATTCATTTATAATTTTTGAAGTGCTGACTCTAATTTTATTACTTTCTAAAATATTAAATAGTTTAATATGAAACCATATCCTTTCCCTTATCACAACATTATGATAGGCACAGTAAAATAATGAATCCATTCTTTGTGTGATCATTGATATTGGTTTATTATTTATTAATATTATGTTGTTGTATTACATTATTTTAAAAATAAATAAAAAAATTCAATTAATTTTAATATAAAAAACCAAATGGTTTAAATGTTTATTTTTATATTGTCATAAATTAAATATTTACATAAAAATAAATTTTGATTTTTTAAAAAAAAAATTTAAAAAAATAAAAAATTTTAAAATAAATTTTTTTTTTTTTTTATAAATAAAAAAATAAAATAAAATAATGTATCCAAATGACTCTTTCTTTTCAGTTTGGAGAAATAACTATTTAAAAGATCAAATATTATACCATTTAAAATTATATCGAGAAAACTATTGCAAAAGATTTATTACATTAAAAGAATTTAGGGATTATAGATATGCATCATATATAGTCGACTTGAACTATGGCATAAATGAGATTTTTTCAAAAGCAGATATCCCAGCCAGTGTCGAAACATTAACGATATCAAGCGATATAGAGCTACCATTGAGCGAAAATATAATTCCAGATACAGTTAGAACCTTAAAATTTATAAACTATAACTACCCAGTTTCAAAAAAAACATTTCCTAGTACAATCAAAAGTTTAATAGTTTCGTCTTTTTTCAACCAGTACCTCGACCCAGGTATACTACCTTCATCATTGACCCATCTAGAGTTAGGTGATAGTTATAACCAGCCGCTATTGCCCAACGCCATTCCACCAACGGTAACAACTCTTAAATTTGGTACTGAGTATAGCAATGGATCCTATAGGCAAATAATATCACCGAATGTTATACCAAACTCTGTTACTTTCCTTTCAATAGGGTTTGAGTATATATCGTTGTATCAATTGTCTATTCCAACATCAGTAACTAGACTGCATCTTTATGGAACAACCGACCAACCAATATCACCCGGTCAAATACCCAACTCTGTTAAAATTTTAAAATTAAAATGTTTCAATAAGCCAATTTTAAAAAAAGCAATACCAGAATCAGTAACCAAACTTTCACTTTATGAACCTTTTGCACAACCAGCCCCATTCTCAAAAGATATAATACCCAAATCTGTAACATCCCTTAGCATCTCCAATATAGACCTATTAACTTTTAAAAGTATCCCTAAGAGTGTTGTTAAATTAAAACTGGGTAACAAACATTCAAATAACCGACAAAAGCAAGTTTTAAAACCATTGGTAAGAAGCAAGCCATCAATACTTCAAAAAGTTTTACACCATTCCAACAGCGATGTCAATAGTATGGAAACATTAATACCGCCATCTGTAAAAACATTGGTATTAAACTTAAACATAAAGCTGGTTCCTCATTCAATATCGACTTCAATAACAAGTTTAAGATTTGGTTTTGGATTTGAAGAAGTATCTTTGGTTCCATCGATATTACCGTCATCAGTAACCTCACTATCATTCGAATTCCGCGACCGAATATTACTAAAACCAAATATAATCTCATCACTTCCTAATCTAACATCATTGACAATCTGTGAGGATTTCCTAGGAGCCCTTATTCCAGCATCAATACAACATTTATCTTTTAATCGTTTCTACATAGGATCAATATCACATATAATAGAACATCTATCAGCACATTCAATTACAACACTCGAATTTAAAAATGCATTTTATGATAGGTCCAATTTAGATTTTTTAACCTCTTTACCAAATAACACTCCAATAAAAAATATTATAATTGGTAAAAAACAATTCAAATTAATAAACAATAAATTAATAAGAATTTAAAAATAAACTTTTATTTCTTTAAAAACTATAAAATAATTTTATTGTAATGATGGTTTTTTAGTGATGTATAGATGAGTTGTTAAAACAATTGAGAAATCTTTATTACCCTTTGTAAGTTCGAAAGAGTTGAATAGATCTTTAAATTCTTTAATAAAAATTTCTTTTGTTGGTTCATCCAAGAGAGAAATAAAACTGATTGAAAGTGCATGTCCCAATGCCTTTTCATAATTAGTGTAGTGGTTGTGTTTAAAAGTCTTTAAGTCAAGATTTGGATCGATGAATTTTTTTAACTCTGGACTTTCTTTAATTTCATCGAAAACCTTCATCCATTCACCTGAGTAAAAGGAAGGTGACTCTTCAGCTCTAAAACGCTTATCTCTATATAAGCTAATGATTTGGTTGTACTCTGGATTATCTTCTTTATTGCTGTTCCATACTAAAATTAATTTTCCATTTGGTTTTAGTACACGTGAAATTTCTTTAATGGTTTCGATATTTGAAAACTATATAAAAAAAATTAGAATGTTTATTGGCATCTATATGTCTATATATGTATTTAATTTACCCAATGAAAAGCTTGTGCTGTTGTTAATAAATCAACAGAGTTGTCAGGTACTGGGATGGAGGTAGCTAAACCCTCAATAACCTTATATTGTAAAGATGGGTTAGAAGTTTCTTTAATATTTTTTAAAACATTATCACATTGTTCAATAAATTGTTTAGAAGGCTCAACTGCTGTGACATTATTAAATACCGATGCTAAAACCTGGGTAAATTTACCTGTGCCACATGCTAAATCAACTACAACCGAATCCTTATCGATACCGAGATTATCTCTCATATATTCAACTGATTCAATTGGATATGTTGGTCTTCCTTTAACATAGTTTTGTGCTGCCTCATTTGTTTGAAATCCAGCTTTAGCATTTTTATGAAGATTATCCATGATATTTAGTAGAATATAAATTTATTTATAAAAAAAAAAAAAAGTTTTAACAAAACTAGCTTAATTAAAATTGATTAATATTGTTTATTATTTAAATAATAAATTGTTTATATACAAAAGAAAATAAAAAAAAGAAAATTAATCAAATTTATAATTAAAAAAAAAAAGTAAAAAAAAAATAAAAAAAATAAAAAAAGATATTTTTGAAACACAAAATAATTTGTTTTTTTTTTTATTTTAAGTTTTTTTATAATAAATTAAAAGCACACGATAATTTATTTTAAGTTTTTATAATAAATTAAGAAAAAAAAAATTTTAGATAAATATTTAGTAAATTAATTTATTAAAAAAGTGAGAAAATAAAAAGTAAAACTGATAATAATAATGATATTGATTTGAAAGGGGTAACAGATGAAGCACTTGAACCTTGTTTATTATTATTGCTGCTTTTTCCATTACTACCATTTGCCCCTTCTTGGTTAATTAATACATCAGAATTCTTTGAAACACATTTTAATGATCTATAATATGATGATTTCTTTGGATTAAAGTGTTCATTACCAAAACATTCATATTTGAAGCATTCATATTCTTTGAAACATGGGCATAAAATTGGATTTAATGAATAACAGAGGTCTCTATTGGTAACATTTTGAGTGCAACCCATAAAGTCATTTAACATTTTGAGGCAATTGCCGTTGCTAAGGGTGTAGTTGGCGCCTACACAAATTTTTTTGCCATCTTGACAATTACATTTACCTGAACCACAATCACCATCGACATAACATGAACTACCATATCTTGAATTACTTTTACAGATTTTATCCATAGTGCTACATTCTTCACCACCAAAAACATTACATAATTCGCCGTTATTGAAACATGGTTCGCTAATTTCTTTGGTAAATTTGGCAATACATTGACTCTTATAGCAAACATGGGTCATTGGACACATTGAGTCACGAGAACATGAATTTTGAGTTACAATTGGTGTACATGTAGATGAGGTATCTTCACAATAGTGGTTAAATGGGCAATCACTATCGACTTTACATTTATTTCCTTCAATTTGACATCTTGAGTATTGACATATGGTGCCTTCAATACAAACACCTGGATGACCTTCACCACATGGATCACCATTCTTTAAATTGATTTGACATACACTATCTACACAAACTGCTTGTTGATTATAAAGGAAACCACATTCTTCATCTGAAGAGCAAGGATCACCTTGTTGTAATAATCCTGAGCATTGACCATCTTTACAAAAATTTGGATATTCACAATCATCAGAGTTTTCGCATTCATCACCTGATTTTTTAAAATCTGGCCATGAACATGATTCGTCTGCGATTATTAATTTTATTGATGTTAAAAATATTATTAAAAATAAAATTTTTAAATTTTTCATTTTTTTTTTTATAGTTTTATTAAAAATTTTTTTATTCGAATTATTTGATTTTTTATTATAATATTTTTAATTTAAATATATTATTTGATTAAAAAAAAATATATTTATATTGATTTATTTTATTTTATTTTAATTTTAAAATTAATTTAAAAAATAATTTTAAAATAATTATTTAAACAATATAATATAAAACAAAAGAAAAACTATTATTTGTATTTAGATATAATAAAATAAAATAATATTAAATTATCATAAAGCATAAAATATTTTTTAATTGTCAGCAATATTATTATAAAAAAATTAAAATAAATATATAAAATTTATATCCATAATAAACACACTCACTCTTTACATATTATATTTTTGTATTAATTATAAATTATCCTTATTATATATAAAAATTATATATATAATTACTTTATATTGTAATTTCCAACTTCAAAAAAAACCACCACACTTTACTTTATTCTTTTAATTAAAAATTCTAATTTTATTTATAAACAAATAATAGAAATTATTTATTTATATATTTATTATATTTATTTATTCAATTATATACATAATATCAAAAAAAAATATGTATATATTTGCCCCCATTTAAAAATTAACAAAAAAGTTATTTTTTTTTTTAAAAAAAACAACATTAAACAAATAAAAAAACCCCTTTACCCAAAATAACCACACACTCTCAAATAAAACAAATAATTTAATAAATATTTTTGTTTAATATTGTCAAATTAAAAATAGCTTATCGAACTTTTAATCTACTAATATTTATAATCTATAAAAAGTATTTGTTTTAATCTATTAAAAATAAAAGATTATACAAATACTAACAAATTATTATTACTTTTTGATCGATATACAAATGTAATAAATCTTTTGTGATATTTTTTTAAAATTTGGGGTTTTTTTTTTTTTATTATTTTAAATTTTTATTATTATTAAAATTGATTTTAATATATTTTTATTTTTATTTTAATGATAAATTTAAAACCTGAATCATTTTTCTAATTGTATTGATATTATTTGAAATTGAGTTATCATTATTATAAACAATATTTGATTTTGTGAATTTTGAACGTGCTGGATATAACCAAGGTTTGGTGCAATTTATGAATGATGATGAAGTTGGTTTAAGTATTGCTTCCCAATCTGGTTGTTGATTTTTTGGAATATTTGACGATATTTGGATATCTAATGAGAGGAATAAACCCAAGAGTGTGGTAAAGCCTAATGCAGCTGAACCTCTTGATAAAGGCATGAAATTATACCAATAAAAAGTGAGAGCCAGAATTAAATCACTTAATTCATTTAAGATTTCTGTTTGTTTTTCTTGTAACTTGGTACTTGCACTTCCATGATTTGCAGTTTCGTGTTTTACCCGCATATCTAATTGGTGATAAGTAAAAGCTTTTTCAATAATTTTATTGAATACAACTGTCATTTCTTCATCATATTGTTTCCAACGAGCTGGTGTTCCTGGTGTACGTATTGCAAACTCATATCCTTCTGGGTGAATATATTGCAATGTTAAACGAGTACCCTCCATAACCTTTCCTTCACTGAACAGGCCATAACATGGTGTAACTACATAGAAATCTTTATTCATTATCTTGTAAACATCTTTGCATGTTGAAGCACGGTCGAGATCCATTAAAAAAGTTGGACTTTCATCTACATAGCTACTGTGTTGAATTGGAATTAAAAGTTTCATTATTTCAAATGATTTTTCAAACATTGGATAATATCTAACTACTTTGCATTGGCCTGTAACAATTGGGGTATGGGATCCGAATCCTTCATTAAATTGTTCTGGACTTAACAAATCTACCCACCATACTGGATCATTTGGTTCTGATATTTGTCTCCACTTTACACCAATATCATATAGATCTCTCCATCCAAAAGTGTGTTTTTTATCAGCTCTTTGACCACCAACATCTTGACAAAAACTGCTTGATTTACCATCAACTTGAAAAGCAATATTATTTTTAGAACCTGATATCCATAGTTTTTTTAAGGTTTGTGCAATTTCTATAACAGCCATACCACATTGAAGCTTTTGTCTTGAATTTGATAAAAATCCTTCACAATCATATTGTAATTTTTCTCCCATTTCTTTTGCAAAATCCAGTAAATCTTTGTTTATTATATCTTCATCTGAAATGATTTTTACATCTGGAATTATTTCATTAATTGATGGTTGTGGTTGGTAGGATACAAGTGATGTATGTGCAATACGTTGGCATTGGAATGTCTTTAGATAGGGGTTAAATGATCGATCAATACTAAAGGTATTTAAGGGTTGATCCAAGTGATGATGAGTAAACAATGCAATTTCTTTTTGATAGAATACATAGTGCAATGGTGACTTGTTTAATATATCATTGTAATCATTCAAAGCTTCTCTAATTTGACCTAAACTGTGATAAGTGACGGCTCTAAACTGTTTAACATCATTGGTAGATGGGTCAATTGGTTGGATTGTACCATTTGGTTCTTTTTCTTTTTGAAGTTGCTCTTGTAAAAATATTGACCAATCTTTAATTGCGTCAAGGTGGCGGCCCGAGTTATAAAATAATAAACCTCTGAGATGAAGTGCATTGCAATAGTTTGGACAAATCTCTAATGCCTTATTGAATGCTTCTAATGATTTATCAAAAATACCTAAATCTCTCCAACACTGGCCAATGTTTGTATAAGACGCTTCGAAATTAGGATCAATACTGATTGATTGTAAAAATGCATTATAAGCTTCCATTGGATATCCATTAACATTTAAGCATAAGCCAATACGATTCCATGCCAATGTATGCTGTGGCTCTATTGAAACTACCTTTTTAAAGTCCTTTAATGCCCTTTCATAATTTCTCATTTGATAATGTAAAAGACCTCTGTTGTAATAAATATCATAGTCTGACTCTTTGTCAAATGCCACCGCTTGATTGAAATCTTCTAATGCCTCATACTCCATACCTCTTGCAACCTTTGATTGGCCCCTACGTTTATAAGCATCAGATGATGTGTTGTCTAATTCAATGGCTTTGGAAAAATCATAGATAGCCTCATCCAAATCCCCCAAGAATGCATTTGATGTGCCTCTTCCCAGATAAGATGATGGTATTAATGGGTTATTTTCTATTACAGTTGTAAAGATGGCAATTGCTTCCTTATATTTACCCGAGTTTACAAAAAAGTTACCGTTGGATATCAGTGTGGCTATATTTTCAGTTGACAACTGCTCCAATAATTTGTTTAACTCTTCCATAGAATCTGATTTTGTTATCTTTTGGTTGTGTACATTTTGAATGCAATCATCATCATCACTATAACCATTGAAATCTGCTTGCTTTCTTTTGTTGTTGTTTATATGGCCATTGTATTCATTTTCATATAAAAGCTGCTCTACAATATCACTGGCTTCGCTATCATTAACTATATTGAAATTGGGTGAACAGGTATTATAATTTCCTATATTTGCTCCGTTTACATTTGGTGTACCTCTATCTACCATTAGTGGGGATATAACAGCTTCATTAATTTGACCATAAAATGGACTATCAGTTTGCATCATTGGTGACCCATTTTGGGATGTTGAAACAAAAACAGATTTGTTGTTACTTATTATTGGAGATGTTTGTTTTTTTGTATGGTTGGCCCATAGTAATGTTTGTACGTCTTTCAAACCGTCATCTGGGTCGTCACCGTCATCCAAATTTATTGACATGTAACCCCATGATTCATTTGACTGCCTCTTTAATTTCTCTATTTCCTCTATTGCATTGGGATAAGTTGATGAAATTTGTTTTAATGCTTTGGCTTTTCTTAACAATGCAACTTTGTTATTAGGTTCATTATTTAATACCATATCACAATCTTTGATACAATGCTTATACAATTCTAATCTATAGTTGCATGTAGCTCTATTACTTTAATAAAATAAAATAAAATATTAGTATCCCTTTTTTTTTTATTAATTTTAAAATTACAATAGATCTAAACTTACCATAATGCGACCAAGTCATTTTGATTTATTTCCAGTAATACATTTAACATTTTCATTGAGTCTACATATTTTTCCTTATTAAAATAATCAATGGATCGAGATTGGTACTCTTGTATTCCACCTTGACTAAAAATAACCCTTTGACTATTATTATTATTATTGCTATTATTATTGATCATTATTATTTATTTTAGTTTATTTATAAATATATTTATACATAGATAAATTAAAAATGAAAGAAAATGATTATAAAAATATAAAACAAAATATAAAATATTTTTTAATATTTTTTTTGATTAAATAATGCTATTTAATGCTACGTAAAAAAAAAACTGTTATCGTACAACTATTTTTTTTTATTATTATAATTTGGTTTTATGTTTAATGTAAAAAATAAAAATAAAAAAAAAAAAAAAAAGAAATAAAAAGTAATTCTCTTTGGGGTGTATAATTTTTTTTTGTTTTGTTTTTTTTTTTGTTTAATTTTATTATTTTTATTGTTTTTAATATTTTTTTTTATTTTTGATTTTGATTTCTTTATTGTTATTTTTTGAATTATGCCACTATTTATTTTTATTTATATATAACTGTATGTGTGTATGTTTGTGTGTGAGAGTTTGTGTGTTAATGGGTGAGAGTTTGTGGGTCACATGTGCGAAGTTGCTTTATAATTAAAAAAAAAAAAACTTTTTTTTATTTGACCAAGCATTTTGTCAAATTAAAACACATAGAAATATTTTTTTTTTTTTTAAATATTAATTTTTATTTTATAATATGAAATAATTAATAATTTGCTAAATTTAAAAAAAAAAAAACAAATATAAAAAAATTAAAAAAAAAATTAAAAAAAAAAAAAATTAAAAAAAAAATAAAAAACCCCACCCCTCCCCCAACACACACACACACATATATATATTCTCTTTCATATCCTCATAACAAAATACCCACCTGATTTTACCACATTTGAAGACATTGACACTATTCATTTAAATAGATAGAAAACAATAATTACAAATGTATAAATATTATTAATATGATTTACAATTCTATAATAATTATAATAATTATAACTGTACAGATAAATGTTTTTACTTTTTTTGTATAAACCCAAGTAATAAAGTATATCTAAATAAAAATAAAAATAAAAAATAAAAAAAGATATAATTATTTGAATTTTATTTAAATATTAAATAAATTTTATTTGAAATATTATTTGGGAAATTTGTTTATTTTGTTTTGTTTTGATTTGTTTTAAATTTTAATAACAGTTCTTACTGAAGGTTCGTTAACTGGCCATTCTTTTTCGATATCTTTGAGGTCAACAGTTCTGATATCAACTTTTAATTTACCCTCTTTAACATAACCTAAAAGTTCGTTTAAATAGTTTTTAAAGTATTTTCCTAAAGTAGACATCTCAAATGAGCCTAAACCTGAACCAATGATTTCTATAGCTGTGCTTCTAAGTGCAGCAGATGGGAGTGAAATATTGGCACCAGCCATTTCACCAACAGTGATGATTTTAGTAATGTGGAATTTCTTTTGACTAACAATTGCATTGATGACTAACTCAGCTGGTTTACCCCAGAGATAGTCCAATACGATATCGATTGGTTGTTTATCGAGTAATGCTTTGTATTGGGCACTGATATCTTTGTCATCGCCATTGAGATGAATGATATCATCGACACCTAAATCTTGTTGCATTTTTTTGAGGACTTCAAGGTTTCTACCAGTGGCAATTACTTTTGAGGCACCACGAATTTTAGCGATTTGAACAGCAACCTTGCCAGTTACACCAGTTGCACCATTAACTAAAACAACATCGCCCTTTTTGATATTTCCACGGAACAATAAAGCACAATCTGAACCGAGTAAAGTATTTGGTAAAGCAGCAGCAATATATGGATCAACGTCTTTGTCGTTGATAACTGCATATTGACCTTTCTTTACAATAGCTTTTTCGGCGATCATACCTGTTAAACCCATTGCATAAATTAAACTTCCATCTTCCAATCTGCCAATACCATCGACACCAATAGTGGTTGGGAATTGTCTATATGCAGTATAATGTGCACCGCTAACCTTACCTCTATCTAAATTTTTAATACTTGATGATACAACTGAAACCAACTCTTGGTCATCTGCTGTAACCTTTGGGATTGGGAAATCTGCATATTTTGGAACAGTGTTGCTTTCATATAAGACTGCAGCTTTCATATTTTCTGACATTTTATTGATATTATTATATATTATTATAAATAATTTTATTTAATTTATTTTTATTTTTTTTTAATTTGAAATGAAAAATTTTTTTTTTTTTTTTTTTTTTAATTTATATTTTTTTTTTCCAATTTTAAAATATTTGTCAATTAAAAAAAAATTTAATTTAAAAAAAAAAAATATTAAAAATAAAAACGAATAATCTGGAGCTGGCTCCGGAAACAGATTTAATGCATTCAAAGAAAAATACAAAAAAAAAATAAAATTTTAAAAAAATTAATTTATTCTCAATTTTTCTGAAAGAAATAATGTGGGACATGGTATTAAAAATTTAAGTATTGGATATAAATATTATTTTTCATTTATTTAAGTATAAGTTTTATTTATTTCGTGTATAACATGTAATAATTATGATAAAATTTTATTTAATTTTATTCAATTTTATTCAATTTTATTTATTTTATCCACTTGTTTTTTTGACTTGTTTTGATTTAATAAATATTTGGTGTCCTTTTTATTAAAATTGAAAATGTGACTTTTGAATTCGATCATTACCAATTTTTAAAATTAAATAATAAATAATAAACTAAAAAAATAAAAAAAAAATTGCCCCATTTTTTTTTTTTTTTGGAAAAAATTTATCAAGATATTTTAATATTTATAACACATATATAAAACCAATATATAAAACCAAAATATAACTAAACCATTTTTATTTAATATAAGCATGCTTATAAAAAGGATAATTTTAGAATTTTTGTGATAAAAAAATATGCTCTAAATTTAATTTTATTTTTTCGTTTTTTGGTATTGGAAAAAAAAAAAAAAAAAAAATAAATAAAAAAAAAAAAAAAAAGTGATTCTACAAACAAAAATGTAGGGTCGCTATTTTTTTTTTTTTTTTTTTTTAATTTTTTTAATTAATTTTTTTTATTTTCTATTTTTTTTTTTTTAAATTTCAAATTATTTTTCTTACATATTTTTTGTTTTTTGCTACAGAACCTTTTTTTTTGGCATTAATAAATTATAATAATTAAAGAAATATTCTAATAATATAATATTAATAATAAATATATATTTGAATTTACTAAAAAAACTAAAAAAAATATTCATCATTTTTTTTTAAAAATTTTAATTTAAAAAAACGATTCACCTTTAAATGTATGTATAAAATAATTATATAATAATAAAAATAATAATAATAGAAAATTAAAAAACAATATGAAAAATAGATAATTTTAAAAATTTTTATAGATGTTTAAGTGATGTGTTTAGAAATGATATTTTAAAAAAATTACTTTATATGGGGCTATTATAATAAATATATTTATAATTTTCACATAAAATTTTTTTTTAAAACAAAAAATTAAAAAAATTAAATTTCACACACAACACATATTTTTTTTAAAAATAAAAAAAAAAATATATTTGTGTTTCAAAAATTTTAAATCACATAAACAAATAAATAAAAAACTAAAATTTCTTTTTTCTAATAATTTAGAAAATATTTAAGTAAACTGTAATACAAATAAAACATATAAAAATGAAATCATCAATATCCAATACCAGTATATCATCAATTAGCTCACCATATCCAAAAGCTTCACCATTGTTTAATCTTTCAAATAAATATAATAATTTAAGTTTTAATCAAGTACATGAAAATGATGAAGCTAGAATTGTTATTGTAAGTATTATAATACTCAAATATTTAGATAATCATCCATAAAACTTATTTGTAATAATAATATTAACATTTTTTATTTTTTATAATATTATTAATATTTTAGTTAAATGAACCATCATTACCACAATGGATGGGTTCAATTCATCCAAATGGTTCATTATACGAAGAACCATTAGATTTATCAAAAGCACAAGAAGAACACAGAAAATTTAGAGAGTTATTAGAAAAGGAAGGATGCACAGTTTATACAGTCAGAGAGATTTTAGAAGGTTCATATGATAAAGCAAAGTCAGAAGATATTCAACATAGAGTTAAATTGGAAGATTTTGCATTCAACTCAATTCATTATGAATTGGATACAAATCAAGATGCTGAAGAGATTTCAGAAGAAGATAAATACTTAATTTCAGATCAATATAAAAAGAAATGTATTGAATCAATGAGCAATCAACAATTGGTCGAAGTTATTCTTACTCGTCCAACCATTAAATTACGTAAGAGCGAACGTGATACCGAATTATTATCCACCGAGTACAGTTTCAAACCATTGGTCAATTTAATTTTCCAAAGAGATCAACAAATTACTACCGCCAAAGGTATTGTATTAGCAAGTCTCAGTTCACCAATTCGTGCACCTGAGGTACAAGTTATGAAATTATGTTTCCAAATCTTAGGTTTACCAATCATTGGTGAAATTCCAGAACCAGGCAAATTAGAAGGTGGTGATTTCTATCCAGTAGGTCGTGACCTCTCATTGATTGGTGTAGGTTTAAGAAGTAACTTCTATTCAGTAGAGTATATGATGAATAACGATCTCTTTGGTACTGATAGAGTTGCTGTTGTCAAGGATTATTTCGATCAAAATCAACAACGTATGCATCTTGATACAGTCTGTAATATTATTGATGAACGTGTAATGTTAATTTTAGAGACTATTTGTGGCCAAGATTCACCAATTAGAAGATTAGTAGACGAATACACTAAAGACGCCCACGGTGTATATCAACTCACCAGAAATGATATCGAATATTCACAATACTTGAAAGAGGAAGGTTTCGAATTAATTTATGCTACCGAACAAAATCAAAAGGATTATGGTTGCAATGGTTTAAATATTGGTAATGGAAAGTTCATTGTCGTCGATAAAGCTACCGCTAAAACTATTGCTCGTTCAACTAAAACTAGCAGTCAATTATTATTTGTAGATTTCCGTACTGTAACTAAAATGTATGGTTCCGTTCATTGTTGCAGTCAAGTCGTCTCAAGGCAAGATCGTGATAACTCACCAATGAGTGGAAGCTCACCATCAAACTCTTCTAGATCATCAACATCAGAAAACTCAAATCCAAGACTCCGCTCAAATGTTGCCAATGTTAATAGTGAATGCGATAATGTTTTAATGGTTGCTCCAACTGATTTCGTTAAGGATCGTGTTGGTATGAATGCTAGCAAAATTCGTGAACAAAGACAATTGGTTTTACAAGATTACTCTAAACTCCACAAATTACTCAGTGATACAGGTGTCCAAATCCACTTATTCTCTCACGAACCATGGCACAAAACTGACAAGGCTGTATTTGTAGCTGATTGGTTCTCAACTCACAGCAAAAAAGAAATGGAAGATAAATCAAAAGAAGACGTTCTTGTCATTTATCCATTATCAAATCCATCAAGAAGAAGAGAAAGAAGAGAGGATATAATGAGATTCTGCTTCCAAGAAAAATACAACACAGTTTATGATTTCACTCCATGTGAAAAGGGTGAATTAAAATGTAATATCATTTCAATGCAAGATTTTATAAATGGCCCATCATGCTTAAAAGCTGAAACAGATTCATCAAGTTCATTCAACTGCAGCACTTCAGCCTCCTCAAATGCAGGTACTATCAATCCAGAAGGTTATTTCATTGATTTTAGCGAAATTGTTTTAGATAGACAACACAAATTAGCTTATTGCTCAATTAAAAATGATAGACAATCAAAACTCATCGATTATTGGGCCGAAATCATGGGCTATAAAGTTATTAAATTTAACTCTGTTAATAATATTCCAGCCAATTCATTCTTATTTATTGGTAATAGTTTTTCAATCTTTTGCCCAGAAGCTTTACAAAATCCAGATGACCAAAAACATATTATTAAATCACTCGAAACTACCAGTGACAAAACTGTTGTTCTCATTACAAAAGATCAAATGTCTTTATCTTGCGCTAAAATCATTGAAATCAAAGGAAATCAATCAAAACCAATTTTATTAATGTCTGATAAAACTTATAATAGCTTTACTCAAGATCAACTTTCAAAATTCAGACAATCAGTTCATGATGTTTTACATGCAGATATTTCAAATTTAGAAGGTATGGGCGGTGATGGTATGATTGGTATGTTGGGTAAATTAAATTAAATTAAACACCCTCTTTTTTTAATTTAAATATTTTTTTTTACTAATTTGTAAAAAAAAATTAAAAACCAAAAATCAAAAAAATCATAACACTATTTTAATAATAAAATTATAAATTACAATAATAATAAAAATAAACTGCTATATTTGTATATTGTTTTAATATTTTAAATATTATCATTTGCATATTTTTTATAATTATTTAGATTTTATAATAATAAAAAAAAATAAAAAATAAATTAAATTGTTTTTTTATATTTTTTTTTATATTTTTTTTAAAATAATATTATTTTATAGATATATTTATTTTTTTTTTAATTATTTTTTAATTTGTTTTTTTTTTAAAAATTTTTTCAATTATTTATTATTTATTTATTTAAATAAATTACATAATTTTTCAAAAAAAAACACACACATAAAAAAAAAAATATATCATTTTTTAACATTTATTTTTTCATATTATTTATTTATTTATTTATTTATTTATTTTTAAAACATGGATGATTATATTAGAATTTTTAGTCAAACTGCAATAGGGGATATAATCGAAAAAGATCAATTTATTTCAATAAAAAAAACCGAATCAGTCGAAAAATTATTAGAATTGTTATATCAGCATTCACTTACATGTTTACCAGTGGTCGAGGGCGGAGAAGATGGAGAAAGAACTAGAGTAGTGGGATTTGTTGATACCAACGATGTATTACAATTAATGTCAAAGATGTTTGATACTATAGATAAGAATTCCACAGATGAAAATATCAGATTGTTTTCAATTGCTTTTCTTTACAGTAATGTTCACAACATTATGAACGTCAGTAAAAAAGATCAGTTTCAAGTCGTTTTAGAGGAACAATCATTATTAGAGGTACTTAGATTATATTCGACCGGTATTCATAGAGTAGCATTGTTATCAGTCTTTTCAGAAATCGAAAATATAGTTTCTCAAAGCCAAGTAATTAAATTCCTTTCAAAAAACCTATCAGTTTTAGGTGAAACTTTGGAGTTTGCAACTATTAGAGAGCTGCTACCATTCCTCACACCCAAAGAATCTTTAATCACCACCAAAGCTTCAACTATGACCATTGATTCTTTCAAACTAATGAATCTTCATAAAATTTCAGCAGTACCCGTCCTCAATGATAACGATAATAAAATAATTGGCAATCTTAGCATTAACGACTTGTATGGTCTTAAAGAATCAACTATAAAGTTATTATTGGAGCCCACATTATCATTTTTAAACATAAACCAAAATAACCAACATAACAATAATGATTTACTACAAAATAAAAATGTAAGAATAATGTTATATTTAAATGGATTTAATAATAATATATTAATTTTTTTATTTTATTATTTATTTTAGAAACCAGATCATCCAGTTGTTTTAACGCTTAATGATACCTTTAAAGATGCTATTGAAAGGGTTTCACAGAATAAAATTCACAGAGTTTGGATTGTTGACGATAATAATGTACCAATTTCATTAATATCATTAACTGATATCTGTAAATTAATAGTTGAATCGCCATATTGCGATATTATTGAAGAAGAAAAAAGTAAAGAAAGATACCAACAACAACATGAAGATAATAGTAACAATAGTAATAACAACAGCAACAATAACAAAGCAAGAGAATGAATAGTAATATAAATAGTATTTTTTAAAAAAAAAAATAAAATAAAAAAGTTAATAAATAAAATCCTTTTTTTAGATAATAAAATAAATACTTTAAAAACTTACCTTATTATTAATAACAAGACATTTATAGGGAACGGTGAGAATGATAATAAGATTGGGCTGCTTTTGTTTGTGTTGTTTGATAATTCCATTACTACTATTGCGCTACATGTTAGAAGGATAGCTCGTCATTCTCCTTAGTTTGCAAACCTAATTGGGCAGAGGTAAGTTTAAATTTCATTCTAATATCACTTAATGTACTCATAATATTTTCGTCATTAAAATCTAAATGATAATCTTGTAATAATTTGGTTAATTTTTCTAAATTTTGAATACCCCTATAAATATTAATATTAGTATTAATATTATATACTATTTGTTGGTAATTATGCGCAATAATAATTATTTATTATACCTTGTTGAAAATTTATGTGTTCCATTGAAGTTTGAAACCAAATGGTTCCATACTGTAACACATGATTGATAGTATCCAATCTCTTGTCCCAACTCGGTGCCCTTGTCGAATCCCAATTGATAACCCTCTACATATCCTAATCTTTTACCGTCATTGATGCCCTTTTCTTTTGATGATTCGTAGGTGTCATTTTCAATATTTAATAATTGATCAAATTCTTTCATTTTTAAATTATTATAGTAACTATTGTTATTTAATTAACCTTTTAAATTTATTTATTTATAAATATAAAACCGAATGTTTCTGAAAATAAAAAAAGAAAATTAAATTTTTCAAAAAAAAAAAATAATTTTTATTTTTTTTTTTTTTTTATTTTTTATTTTAATTTTTTTTTTTTGAAACACTCTTCTTTTAAATGTAAAATATTTTAAATATTACAATTTATAGATCGATAGGATTATTAATAATATTTCTTATAAATAAAATTTTATTTATATTTAATATTCAATCCCAACAACGAAATGGCATCTCAAAATATTTATGATGACGAAAAGTTTTTTAACAACTATGCCCAACTACCAAGATCTAAAAATGGCTTTGATTCGTTTTTTGAATGGCCCTATTTAAAGAAACTATTACCAAATATGAATGGTATAAATGCATTGGATTTGGGTTGTGGATATGGGTGGTTTTGTAGAGAATCTTTTAAATTGGGTGTAGATAGTATATTGGGTATCGATTTGTCAAATAAAATGATCACAAAAGCAAAAGAGTTAGATAATGATTTTGGTAATAAAGAGGGATTATTATATAACGAAAAGATTAAATACGAAATACAAGATTTGGAATCATTACAATTGAAAAAAGAAAGTTATGATTTAGCATTCAGTATTTTTGTATTCCACTATATCGTCGATTTAGAATCAATGTTAAAGCAGGTACATCAATCATTAAAACCAGGTGGCACTCTTTTGTTTACTATAGAGCATCCAATTTATTCATGCCCTAAAGTTTACACCGATTTTATTGATTTAAATGAAAAAAAGACATGGCCAGTTTCAGATTATTCCATAGAGGGTGAACGTGTCTCTAATTGGATGGCAGAGGGTGTCATTAAACAGCATCGTACAATGGGAACCTATATCAACCAACTTATCAATTGTGGTTTCTCAATTGACCATGTTAACGAATGGGCTCCTTCAAAAGATCAAATAGAACAATTCGATTTCTTAAAAATAGAAATAGAAAGACCAATGATTTTAATTATCAAAGCTTCTAAAAAGTAAATAAATAACTATATTTTTTATTATTTTTTTATTTGAATTTTTCTTTTTTTTTTTTTTTTTTTTACAACATTGTTAATAATTTAATAGAATGTGTTTTAATAGTTTAAATATGGTTATATAGATTATTATTATTATTATAATAAAGTTATCATTTGTTTTCAATAAAATTAAAATGGCCGATAAAGCATTTCAAATAATTCAAATTTTATTGTTTCATTTTTTAATTATGATCATTCATTAAAATATTACATAATTCAAACAATTATTATTTATTTATATCATATTCAGAATAAAACAAAATTAAACTAAATTTCATATTTATTTAATTTTTGTTCTAAATACAATTTTTTTTATTATTTTTCCAATTACTGTGTATTTTTAAAAATATATCCACACATCTGATAATTTTTTTTTTTATTCAACAAATAACAGTTTTTATTTATTGTGTAATCATTAAGCGATCTGGTACCCTATTAAAATGAAAAGCTTTATTATAATTAATTTGTTTGATTATCAAACCTCTTTTTTTTTTTTATTTTTTTTTAATATAAATTAATTTTTTTTTTTTTTTTTTTTTGTAATTTGGTTTTATAAATTAAAATTCAATTTTTTATAAATATTATAATTTATATATACAATGTCTCTTTCAAATGAAAAAATTACACGTCTACAAGATTGTAAATAGGAATAATAATTTTATTTTATAATTTCAGGAAATATTAAATAACAATTTTTTAATATATTATAATAGGTAGAGATAGATCAAAAAAAGTTTATGAAAACTATGATGAAAAATTTAAACTTTTTTTAAATGAACAATTACAAGAATTGAAAAAAATTGATAGTTCCATTACTTCCTTTGATGCTGAAGAAACGACCGTCTTAAAATAGCATTTCAAGAGATACAGGCTGAAAAGAGTGCCAAAGAACTTTACAGTGAATTTCCTTTTGAGGATTTATGGCAGATATTGGGTTTTTCATTATCAGCCGACCCATATGGTATTTCACCAATCATCTTTGGTGCTTTTAACTTTCTTTTTGGAAAGCTTGGTTTTCTCAACAGCCAAGAGAGGTTGTAGGTACTACCTATTAAATTTTTTATAAGTGATATTTTATTAATGATTTCTTTTAATAATAAAGTTTCAAACAAATCATGGAAGCAGTTGAAAAGCTCATTGAAAAAAAATTAAGTGAGGAAAGAAGAAGACAATGCATTATTAGATTCCAACAACTCCAAAAAACTGGTGATGATTATTTTGTTTTGGCTGAAGAGTATTTCAAAAGAAATGGTAATAAAAATGTAAATGATTCTATAATATCAAATGAAATCAAATCAATGTCAAATGAAACACTTTCATCATCTCTTCAATTCCAATTAATTTTATATCGTGATAAAATTACTGATGGTTTGCTCTACTTTGGAGAAGAAAGTGAATTGGTATGTATATTAATTGTTTTTATACTTTTTAAAATTTTAAATAAACTAATATTAATTTTTTAAAAACAGATTAACACCATTGGTTTATATATTTTAACCGCTGCTCAATATCTATGTATTCAAAGAGATTGTGTATTTTATGGTAAACAATGGGGTTTCAGTGATTTTGATGTAAATGATGCCAGATCAAGATTACATTCTTATTCAATTGACTTTATAAAAAAGGTAATTAAAGGTGGATGGATGCTTTCACGTCATTCCTATGGTGAAGAAGCTTCACCATATCTTGGATACTTTTTTCCACCCTATTTTGATGCAGCTAAAGTGTTCAGAAGTGCAGACTTCACCTATTATCCAGTCAGAGCATTTTCCTACAGAAGAACTCCTCCAAATATTACTTATGAAGTTGATGACTCCAAAGGATCACATTTAATCGGGCCAAATACTTTAAACGGTTGGACAATATTAACCCCTAGTTTAACAGGTGGATTCAATGTAATTATATTAATTATTTAAAATTTCCAAATTGATTTTTTATTAATTATTATCTAATAGGGTATTTCAGCAACAGGATTCATTTTACAAAACACATTGATTGTAAAATTCCCAAGTGCAAAATCAAGAACATTCAAAGTCAAATTTCATCATAGAATAGTTCATGAAGCTAATTGGACCGTAAAAGCTGGAAATGTAGTTGAAAACTTTGTTTTTAAAGAAGGTACTGAAACTGAAAAAAGAAATCCATACTTTGTTTATAATGAAGATTATAATAATCCACCCTATGGTGTAAATGTAACTAAAGCAATAACAGTTTCCTCTCAAGAAGTTTCATTTACATCAAATAGATCAAATGGTGCTGGTAATAAAACCGGATATAGTGCTGGATCAATTCTCTATTTAATTGAAATTATTTTCGATTAAATTTTCAAAAGCCTATTAAATTTTAAAATTTTTATTAATTTAAGTATCTCCCTTTGTTTGACCAAATCATTTAAATCTTTAGGATAGGGGTGTCACTTAACCATTACAATAAAATTTTTTTTTAAAATTTAATTTTATTTTTTTTGTTTTTATAAATTTAAAAATTGAAAATAAAAATTTTTTTTTTATTTTTTTATTCATTTTTTTTTTTTATTATTTTTTTTTGAAACTCTTCTTTTAAATATTTTAAATATTACAATTTATAGATTGATAGGATTATTACTAATATTTCTTATAAATAATATTCTATTTATATTTAATATTCAATCCCAACAACGAAATGGCATCTCAAAACATTTATGATAATGAAAAGTTTTTTAACAACTTTGCCCAACTACCAAGATCTAAAAATGGCTTTGATTCGTTTTTTGAAGGCCCTATTTAAAGAAATTATTGCCCAATATGAGTGGTATAAATGCATTGGGTTTAGGTTGTCGATATGGTAATAAATTGAATATTTATTAATAATAAAATAATAATTATAGGGTGGTTTTGTAGGGAATCTTTTAAATTGGGTGTAGATGGTATATTGGGTATCGATTTGTCAAATAAAATGATCACAAAAGCAAAAGAGTTGGATAATGATTTTGGTAATAAAGAGGGATTATTATATAACGAAAAGATTAAATACGAAATACAAGATTTGGAATATTATTTTTAATTTTTTTCTTTCTTTTGTGTGGTGGGGGTATTAAATTGTTATTTTTATAAAATAAGATATTACCCTTTTTTTTTTTTTTTTAATTATTTTATTTATATTTTTTTTTAATTTGAATTTTTTCTTTTTTTTTTTTTTTTTTTTATAACATTGTTAATAATTTAATAGAATGTGTTTTAATAATTTTATTTATTCATATGATTACATAGATTATAATTATAATTATAATTATAATAATAATATATATATTAATAATATAGATAATATTTTATTAGTTTTAAATACAAAACTCGATACATTAAACCAAAATAAAGTTTTAAATATTTTAACAACATATTTTAAAAGTTTCAATTTAAATTATTACATAATAAATGATAATCAGGAATTAAATCAAGATTTGCAAATTACAGATAAATCAGTTATTTACTTTTTACCAACTTTAGAAAAATTAGAATTAAATAATTTTAAAGAAATAACATTGCAATATTGTAATGTTAACAAATATTTATTAAATAATAATCTATCAACAAAATTTATAATTTTATCGACAGATACAAAGAAAGAATGTATAAACTATTTAAATTCATCAGTATTGGGGGCAATGAGATATTTTTTAGAATTTAGGCAATTAAATTTATATTTAACAGACTTTGATAAAGCATCATTAAATAATATAAATATAAACATAATAAATAGTATTATTTTAAAAAAAGATGATGCTGGTGATAGAGATCATATTCAAAGGGAATTCATTTTTAGAAATAATCAAATATTAATAGAAATAATAAAGAATAATCCCATGCTATTTATAAAAAAGAATAATTCAAACCAAAATCAAAACTCCAACAAAGATATTGGCAACACTATCCTAGTTACAGGTCAAACAGGAACAATTTTAAATATAATAACTAGGCTTATAAATAGCAAATCAAATCATGTTGAAAATATTATTATTTTAACAGTATCAGATTTAAAGTTGGATTTAAAGAATTTAATAAATAATCATTTAAATGATAACAGCTCTTCAAAAAAATAAAATTTTATTTTAATAAAGTGGATATTAGCGATATGAATTTAATAGAATCTTCAATAAACCAATTATATGAACAAAATAAAGATTTACCAAAGCCAGATTCAATTATTCACTTTGCTTTCATAAAAGCATCTTACAGCTACAACGAAATATCAATGGAGAATTTAGAGAAATCATTATCAGCCAAGGCAATGGGTTCAATATATTTACATTTGCTCTCAATAAAATTAAATTGGCCGGTAAGGCATTTTATAAATGGTTCATCAACATGTTCACTACTTGCCTATAGAAGCACTCCTTCCTCTTCCGTAAACTTGAAGCAAAAAATGCAAGGTGATTGGAAAGAAGTTTTTCTTGCTTTGATAGCATCAGTCATTCTAAGGGGATGTGCTGCGATGTATAAT